CTTGTAATTTTTCTATTAGGGCATACAAACAATACTACTTGATTTATGACATAAATGACTCCGGTTTAAAAGGGCAGTCAGTTTTGTCAAACTAGCCACAAATAGGATTTTCTTTGCTTTTGTTTGAGCTGAAGGAGGGAAGTGACACCCTGAGCAGCTCAAACAGAAATTAAAGGTTATAACTTTTTACAAGGAGCAGAAAGCCACAGCTCTGATAGATAAAGTGCTCGGCCTCCAGAGCACTCTGCCAATGAGGGCTACCTGCACACACAGTTTGTTTCCATTGTATGCAAGGTGGAACAAACAAATAGATGTTAATGTAAATTTGAATTATCAGGGTGGCCAGATACACACACACTGTTGCTATGAAGTACATCAATGGCAATGTTGTAATTGCTCTGTGTGAAGCAGGCAAGTTAGGCTGAGCAGCAGTTGGTGAAATAAAAGTAGAATTTGACCCAACATGGCTGCTCAGCCACAAAAAAATAAACACCCATCAACATACATCTACACAATCAATATATATCTAAATCTGTGACTATGCAAGAGTTGGAATGTTATGTTTCCAAATCAGCAATGTTTGTTTGAATTTTGCTATTTGGTTTTCACAACAGTTCAAAGGTTAGTAAATAACCCTGCATGCATATACCCATATTTAATGTCCTGCTTTAAAAAAAATAAATTAAAAAAAAGCCATGCTTAAAATTTAACTTGAGAATAAAATGTGAATGTCACATTTTTCTATTACATAGTTACATAGTTGAAAAGAGACTTGCGTCCATCAAGTTCAGCCTTCCTCACATTTGTTTTTTGCTGTTGATCCAAAAGAAGGCAAAAAAACCCAGTTTGAAGCACAATTTTGCAACAAACTAGGAAAAATATTCCTTCTTGACCCCAGAATGGCAGTCAGATTTATCCTTGGATCAAGCAGTTATTACCCTGCATTGAAAGATTATATCCTTGAATATTCTGTTTTTGCAAGTATGCATCTAGTAGCTGTTTGAATATCTGTATGGACTCTGATAAAACCACTTCTTCAGGCAGAGAATTCCACATCCTGATTGTTCTTACAGTAAAAAAACCTTTCCTTTGCCTTAGACAAAATCTTCTTTCTTCCAGTCTAAACTGATGACCTCGTGTCCTATGTAAAGTCCGGTTTGTGAATAGATTTCCACACAATGGTTTGTATTGGCCCCGAATATATTTGTATAATGTTATCATATCCTCTCTCAGGCGACGTTTTTCTAAACTAAATAGGTTTAAATTTGTTAACCTTTCTTCATAGCTGATATGTTCCATTCCTTTTATTAATTTTGTAGCACGCCTCTGCAATTTTTCTAGTGCCATAATATCCTTCTTTAGAACAGGTGCCCAAAATTGCACAGCATATTCAATATGTGGTCTTACCAGTGATTTATAAAGAAGCAAAATGATATTCTCGTCACGAGAATGAATGCCCTTTTTCGTGCATGACAATACCTTACTGGCCTTGGCCACTGCTGATTGACATTGCACATTGTTGCATAGTTTGTGGTTTATAACAATTACCAAGTCCTTTTCATGTGTTGTTATCCCTAATTCGCTTCCATTAAGGGTATACGTTGTTTGTGTATTCTTTACGCCAAAGTGCATAACATTGCATTTTTCAACATTAAATTTCATCTGCCATTTGAGTGCCCAGTCTCCCAGTCTATCTAAATCCCTCTGCAGCAAAGTAATATCTTGCTCACATTGTATTATTTTACAAAGTTTTGTGTCATCTGCAAACACTGAAACATGACTTTCAATGCTGTCTTCAAGATCATTTATAAACATGTTAAATAGAAGGGGTCTCAGAACAAACCCCTGAGGGACACCACTTGCCACCTCTGTCCAGCTTGAAATTTACCATTAATTACAACTTTGTACTCTGTTTTTAAGCCAATGTTCTACCCAAGAACAAGCATTTTCATCTAGACCGATTTCCTTGAGTTTGAACACAAATCTATTGTGTGGAACTGTATCAAATGCCTTGGCAAAATCCAAATAGATCACATCCACTGCAACACCCTGATCTATACTTCTACTTACTTCTTCGTAGAACGCAATCAAGTTAGTTTGACATGACCTGTGCTTCATAAAACCGTGCTGATTTTTGTGATAACCATGTTCTTCTCAAGGAATTCTTGAATATTATCCCTTAATAACCTTTCAAATATTTTACCAGCCACAGAAGTTAAGCTCACAGGTCTATAATTTCCAGGCAAGGATTTTGAACCCTTTTTGAATATAGGAACCACATCTGCCTTCCTCCAATCCTCCAGAACACTTTCTGAAAGAAAAGAATCTTGAAAGATTAAAAACAGAGGTACACTAAGTTCCTTAAGTACACGTGGATGGATTCCGTCAGGCCCCGGAACTTTGTTTATATTAACTTTCTTTAGTTGCTGCAGCACCTTGTCTTGAGTTAACCAATTACAATTATTCTGCAAGTTTTTAGTAGCAATCATTTGTACATCTGGGTTCTTAATATATAGGGAGGAGAAATAGTTATTTAAAATTCCTGCCTTTTCCTGGTCTTCATTAACGAACACCCCCGTTTCAGTTTTTAGTGTACCTACACTTTCAGTTTTGGGTTTTTTAGAATTTATGTACTTAAAAAATGCTTTGGGGTTGGTTTTGCTCTCTTCAGCAATCATTTTTTTCATTTTGAAGTTTAGCAAGTCTAATTGCCTTTTTGCACACATTATTTGCTTCCTTATATCTTTTATAAGATGCATCTGATTTGTCCGATTTAAATGCTTTAAATGCCCTTTTCTTATTTTGAATCTCTTGTTTTACTTCTCTACTAAGCCACATTGGTTTTGAGGTGTTTCTTTTATATTTATTTCCCAATGGTACATACTGAGAAATGTACCTTTGTAATATTTGTTGGAAGATGATCCATTTATCCTCAGTGTTCTTTTCGCTAAAGAGTTTATGCCAGTCAATATATTGTAAAGCTTCCCTTAACTTATTGAAATTGGCCTTTTTAAAATTATATGTTTTAGTATACCTCATGTGCTTTTGTTTTTTTGAGTCTATTTCAAAGGACACTATATTGTGATCACTATTTCCCAACTGCTCGCCTACTTGAATGTTGGTCAAAAGATCAACGTTGTTTGTTAAAACCAGGTCCAGACAAGCGTCCATTCTAGTTGGTGCTTGTACAAGTTGTGACATGAAGGTGTCATTTAACAAGTTTAAAAACCTAATTCCCTTTGCTGAGCTACTAGTCCCTCTGTCCCAATTTATGTCCGGGTAATTAAAATCTCCAATAATTAAAGTGTTACCTAGATTTGCAGCTTTCTCAATTTGCTCAAACAGCTGTTGTTCCTCGTCAATATTAACATTAGGTGGTTTATAACATATCCCAACCAATAGTTGGTTTCCCTTCTTTTCCCCAAGCAGATATTTACCCATAAAGCTTCCACATTTTCCTCATCGCATTCCATTTGCTTAAGATTTGGCTTTAAATCATGGTTGACATACAAACATACCCCACCACCCTTCTTGTTTTTCCTATCCTTCCTAAATAACATGTACCCATTTAAGTTAACTGCCCAGTCATGTGTCTCATCCCACCATGTTTCAGTTATGCCTATTATATCATATTGTTTAGTGTATGCTAATGCCTCTAGTTCCCCCATTTTGTTATTTAGGCTCCTTGCATTAGTAAAGATACATTTAATATCATGCGTCACTTGTATATTTTGTGAATTATCAACATTACATAGCTTCTCTGTTCTGAGCTTGCCCCTCCCCCATCTCCACCCCCCTTATACTGTGCTATAGCCCATCTCCTTTCTGACCTATCTCCATTTTGTAGATTGCTATGACCCTCCTCCCCTACTACTAGTTTAAAATCTCCTCCAACCTTCTAGCCATCCTATCCCCCAGCACTGCAGACCCTCTCCTGTTTAGGTGCAATCCATCTACTACTCCACTACTATAAAAGTTGTACCCAATCGCAAAGTCGGCCTAGTGCTCTAAAAACCCAAAACCCTCCTTCCTGCACCAAGACTCAAGCCACGAATTGACCTCTCTAATCTCCCGCTGCCTTTCCACTGTAGCGCGTGGCACAGGTAATATCTCAGAAAATACCACCTTGGAGGTCCTTTTCTTAAGTTTGCTACCCAATTCCCTGAGATCATTCTTTAGGACCTTCCATCTTCCTCTTACTTTGTCATTGGTACCAACATGGACCATGACCGCTGGGTCATCCACAGCCCCTCCCAATAATCCATCCACTCTGTCAGAAACATGCCGGACCCGAGCACCCGGGAGACAGCAAACTGGTTGAGCCGATCAGAGCGGCAGATTGCCCTATCTGCTCTCCTAATGATAGAGTCCCCTACCACCACAACCTGTCTTGCCTTCCTTACATTTTGATCCCCCCCGTACTAGGAGGGTTGTTAGAAGTAACAGCTTCCTCTAATACAGCTACTCCTGAGCTGATGCTCCCAACACCTTCCCTCAAACGGGCAAATCTGCTAGGTTGCACCAAATCAGGACTAGCCAGCCCTTTCCTCTTTCCTCCCCCCCTGCTTCCTCGCCCCACTGTCACCCAGCTACATGCCTGTTCCCCATCTGTCTTATCTCCTCCCTCTCAACTACCTGTCCCCACTAAACTCTGCTCAGTGAGCAGCAGACTCCTCTCAAGATTGTCATTCTCCCTCAAAGTTGTGATTTGCTTCTCGAGATCTCCAATCTGAGTTTCCAGAGAAGCCACTCGCACACAACCATCACAGAGGTATGGACCCTGGACGGGTACATCCAGGCATCCATACATGCAACAAGATGTGCATTGAGTCAAACCAGCAATCTTGCCAACACTCATTTCCCTAGATACAGAACATATAAAATAAATAAATGGGGGTGTGGTTTGACGGCTGAACCGAGCAGAGGCAGGGTAGATGGGCTCTGTGGCCGCCCAGCGCAAAATAGTGTTTTTCAGCTACCCAAATGCTGATAAAAGCACCCAAGTGACCCATAACTGCAATGGGGAGGAAAACAAAAAAGCAAAAGTCAGACAGACCCAAACGGAGGGACAGCATACGAGATTTATTCCACCAGGTGCAAGGTTCATATGGCCCCAAAATGGCTGCCGACCTCGAGGAGTTTGACTCCTCAGGGGATTTCTACCTAGAAGAGGCCACTAGCAGCCTACCTCCAGCGAGACCCCAACAACCAGCACCGAGCCCAGCGGACTCGAACCAGTAACTGCGACACTGTTAAAGACCCTGCTGGGAGAGTTGCAGAAGACCCTCCAGGCTGATGACGCACAGACCTCACAGGCCTGGTGAGCCGCATCGACGTGGTCGAAGAAACCTCCACGCGGCAAACGCAAGACATCACGGCGATCAGGCAGGAAATGCAGACACTCAACAGCAAGCCAAGACCAAGCAATGCTTTGCAGCAATGGAGAATGTCAGGCTTTGCAATAATTTAAAGATCCCAGGAATCCCGGATGATATCCCCGCAGAGGAAATCCCACATCTCTTAAGGCGGCTCACAGGAGCTTTACTGGCACCCAAACAAGCCAGGAATATCAGCTTTGAGGCAGCCTTTTGGATCCCAAAACCCCAGAGAGCGCCGGAGGCAGCCCTCAGAGACCTCGTGGTGAGGTTCAAAAGCTCAGCCGACAAGATGGCGGACCTCGCAGCCCTGAAAGGGACTGCCACCTACAGCTTCGAATCCATGAACCTGTCCTTTTATGCAGACCTGTCGGGTGAAACCCTGCAGTGGCGCAGGTCCCTATAACCTTTTAGCACACTGCTTCGAGACCAACATATTAATTATCGCTGGCGCACACTGCAGATACAGCACGACAACCTAGTCTACTCCGTCTCGGACATCCGAGAAGCAAACGCCTTGCTGCACCCACTCTGACTACCACGGGAGGGGCTGCTGCCTATCGCTGCGCCAGAACCACCCGCAGCTACACCAAGATGGGACCCAGCGAGAACCGTTCCCTTCATCCCACGGGGAACAGGGAAAACTGCGTACGCAGATGCTACCACATGAAGGCCAAACGCCCGTACCGAGACAATCTCTTTCAATAAAGGACATTACACATCAGGTTTGAAACTCTGTTTAAACATTGTTATTTTCTCAATCTAGCAGCCGACAACCTTATCTATCAGTCAGCCGCCGGACTAATACATGCCCTCTTCTGACACTGAACCCACCTGACCCACCCGGGCACAAGCAATGCCTCACCTCGAGACTCTCAGCCTACAAGCCACCACTCCACGCACTAAGATCAACCTGCAGGTCGCGGTTCACTCTGCATTCACCTAAAGAGGACGTTACAACGCTAGCGAATGTTAGGTCTAGTGTTATTATTTTTGTTCTTCACCTGACTATTAGAGTATGGGGGAGAGGGGTGGGTGGCGGCATTAGCTACCGATGGAGGTACGTCTCCACGCATATCATCCTGCCTAAGAATGACCGAGGTGCTTCCCTCTAGTCAAGAAGCATTCCATCCTGGCAGTGCATGTTATCATCAGTTTTTTATTATTCGTTTTTTAACTCCGTTAAGCAAGTCTATTTTACTCTTCTTCACATATAGAGGCACCGTATTTTGTATCAGAGTAAGCCCCACTGAAGCAATACTCTCCCTGCTTCTTACAGCACCAATACATAAATGCAGATCAAGTGAAATCTAGTACGAAGTATTGAGGTTATCGATCACGTTTACTTTCACTCATAGGCCTACTCGCTAGGCAAGTACTATAACGGTTTTGTCTCCTATTATTCATGTCTATATAAGTATGCTTTAGGTTAAAAATGTAAGAGACATATAAGCGAGCCTTTAATATTTAACTGTTCGCAGCCTGAGGCCCCTTAGACGTTAATTATCTTTATACTCTCTGCGTGCTACCCTTACGTTTGGATCACAGAATGTAACACTCAGACACGCATACCCTAGCAGACTGACACTCAAGCATTAACGTGATAAAATTGTGCAGACCTTATCCTTGCCATGTTTGAAAATGTCAGATATGTTTGTGACTGCTGTTGTGGCAACACGGGCACGTATGTTATAACTTGCACAACAAAAATAAAGAAAAAAATAAATAAAATTTAAAAATGCGCACACACAAAAAAAAAACACCTTGCAGCCCTTAACACCTTAAGGGCACCATAACTACTACATTGGGTTGTAGTGTTTATGGTGCTTGGCATTTCCTTTTAAAAAGATACTTCTTGGAGACAAGTGATTTTGTGATGGTTCCTGGTACTATGAAAGGATAAATAGCACAACAGGACAGAATATCAATCTGGGGACCAGTCCTTCTGTTCCTGATACAAAGCTGAAAAGTTCTGGAAATGTTATCAGGATTAAGTTGTACTATCCCGAAAAGATAAGATCCTGAAAATAAATGCCCCCCCCCTTTCCCTGATCACTTTCAGCTTTTCATTGCAGTCCAAAGTTGGACAGATTTACACTTGACAATGCCCTTGTGCAGCTGCACTCATACAAATTTGCTGTATGAGTGCAGCTGCAGAAAAGGTTTTTTCTGCTGTAAAAAATATTGATTTGTGACTACATGAGGCTAGGCTGGATGGGCCAACTGAGTTGTTGGAAATTAAAAGAGATTTGTTTATGGATATACATGAATCATACTGTGATAGGAGGTTCCCTGAAAGTGATGCCTGATTATTTCTAGACTTGGTGAGCCATTTATAATGAACCCTATATTTCATGTATGTGCTTTTTGTTTCATTAGACTTTGGTGAGCTCAGCAAGAAACTAGCTGGTGTGGAAGCAGCTTCCAGAAAAGGACAAGCTTGTAAGTTTGTGATCCCTAACCTTTTTCTTGTCAGAATGGCCAAAATAGCTTTGATATTACAAAAAAAAAAATTATGTATTTCCTCTCGTGATTTAATGAAAGACAACAAAGCATGAGGAACCTTCGTAGAACATCCCCTCCTAAATACCTGGGGGGCAATATTTCAGGTTTAGAATAGGGTCATCTAAAGCATTTGATTTCTACATCACTTTCCTTGTCCTGATTGAATATAGTAGTGTTTATACTTCTTAAAATGTCTCCTTTAAGCCTTGGCTCACCCTCTTATACAAGGAAACCTTTTTGATTCAGTAGGCCCAGATGGATTGCCTCGGCATGTCTGTTACCAAAACATGCTCTGAAGATCACTCTGTTCACAAGTATATTTCCGCTGCGCTTGCACCCTTACTGCACTTTTACTCCATACACTGTCATTTAAATTTTAAAGAAATGTGAACTGAAATGATTATTGATTTTGATGTCTTTGTAGGTTTGGAAACAAAAAGCACAATATCTCCAGCATAAGCAAAATAAAGCAGAGGCTACCACTATGAAATGCAAATCAAGCTTATATGTTTTTGTTTCATTAGACTTTGGTGAGCTCAGCAAGAAACTAGCTGAGGTGTGGAAGCAGCTTCCAGAAAAGGACAAGCTTGTAAGTTTGTGATCCCTAACCTTTTTCTTGTCAGAATGGCCAAAATAGCTTTGATATTACAAAAAAAAAAAATATATGTATTTCCTCTCGTGATTTAATGAAAGACAACAAAGCATGAGGAACCTTCGTTTAACCCCTTAAGGACACATGACATGTCATGATTCCCTTTTAGTCCAGAAGTTTGGTCCTTAAGGGGTTAAACAAAATATATATGAGTGATTTTTTTAAAAACGATTTTTACCCTTGGTGTGCAATTCACAATGTCACCCATGTGATAAAAAAAAAATTCTTTACAATAAAATCATTGGATTCATCAGGTACCAAAACAGACAAAGCAGAAGCTCTACAGAAATCTAAAAATGCATTTATTTATTTATTTTAAACAATAGCAAGGACATTTGACAATGACATATAAAATTAAAAAGAAAAAGAAAAAAAAAATATTAGACACCAATATAAATACAGTGTGCTTACACATAACACTGTATTGTTGCTTTTTAGTAAGGACTACAGTGGCCATAATATTAAATGTCCTTACTGACCAAGCATTGTTTAAAACCCTCATTATTTCCAATTGCCACCACGTGATCAAAAGGTCATAACGTAGGAATAGTTTGCACAGTGCTGGCACACAGGATGTGATGAGAATAGTGCACATAATATGATAGTCATTGCAGGTTTAAGCATAAACCAGCTTCACTGAATGGAATAACAGCAGCTAACAGACTGTTCAAACTTTATAATTTTAAACCGCACATTCTGCTGGCAACAAATTATTATTATTATTTTATATAATACTTTACCATTAGCTCGTTTACATTTTGAAACTTTCTAGAAGAAAGTGGTATGTGCTTGGTGCCACTTATGTGCCCGTTAAGTATATAAAAAAGTTATTTTAAGTTTTTTGTTTTAAAATGCTTTCCCTACAAAAGGTAAGACCATGCAAAGTAGTGGAAAATATTTGGGGGGGGGGTTTGTACACCATAAACTCTCCAGTGATATAAATCACCCTAAAAGAGAGTTGCATTTTTATTTTAAATTTAAAAAAAAATGTGTCCATCAAGGGCCAGGAATGTCTCTTGACATGTAAACCAGCCTATGCATGTTTCTGTCTGATCTAAAAAAGGTACAATAATATTTACAAGACTGCATAAAATACTTCTGACTTTGTGTGTACATATATTACAGAACTATACAACAATAAAAACAAATAGCGTCCCATGTCCCAGATTCCAACAATCTTCTATTAGATGTTGAAGGTCACAAACCAGGCATTACATAAGCAATGTTGTCCAGAGTGTTTGACTAAGGAAACAAAAATACAAGAAACCGCACACATTTTAGTTTTTATAGACATTGAAACCATTACGTTGACAATAAAAGTAATTTTTTAACTAAAATGCGGTATATGTAAAACAAAATAAATTTAAAAAAAAAAAAAAGGTCAGAAAACATTCAAACATTCTACTCCTTGCAGTTCTGTTTGCCAAATATTCCAAGAATTTACAGCTTTGTGCATTAAAGACTACAGAGATTAGGAAGTAAGTGAATCCACTCAGCAAATAGTTAAGGGTTCTGTGGGCAGCTTAACCAATGAAATTGCTATAGTGTCTGGGTTCCACCAGTGCCATCTTTCAGTTTTAAACATAAGATGTGTCCTCAGGTGCCGGTCTCTCCCTCTCCTGTTCTGCTCCAGAAGCACTAGCATTTGCAGGCAAGGAAAAACTAAAAGTATATGTACAGTATATTATTTACCATACGCAGCCGGCTATAATTCCCTCCCCCTCACTTCTTACACTAATGCTTCTGCATTAGCTCTGCGCAGAACAGGAGATGGAGAGACTGACACCTAGGGATACAGTGTTAAACTGCTTGAGAAAAGTTTACCACTAAAAGGATCAAGGGTGCCAGAAGACTCCAGGTAGTGGTACCATAACAACTTCATTGAGAGGGACCTTTATTATACATCAAAATTTAAATGCCCTAAACATTCACAATTAATTGCAGCAGAAAGTTAAATTTTTTATCAAACACTTACCAGAACCGGCTTAGGGCAAGCATTCAGCTGGGGAACATGGCTAGTAAGACAAACTAATGGTCCAAGAGCACAAAGGATGGAATCCAGAAGGACAGATAAACTGCCAGACACAGCAACCATGCCCTGCAAAGAAGACATTGAGGACATATCATGAACACAAAATAGCAAATCACAGTAAGTACAAAGTCGTAAATCATACAGCAATGTATTAAGGATTATTTATCAATCACCTTGAAAATACCGTTGCTGGCTAAACATGGCAGCATCACTTATGGGAAGGAGGTTTGCTCATAAGCATGATGCTGCCATGCAGAATAGCCAGAAAAATAAAAGTATGGAAAACATTTTCACACTGATTGGATGAGGAGGAAAATAAATTGTTTCTGTTTCTCCTCTTCTTTCTGTGCTGATCAACAGGTGCAAAGCTTATAACAATAATGGAAAACAAAACAAGGATGGAGGCCCCAGTTTCAGGAAAGATGTGAACATGGTGGTGTGGCTTTCTACCGTTAATGTAATTTTCAGAACCCAAATACATATTATTAAGTAACAGGTACAAATTAAAAAACCCTCTCCTTTATTCCAAGCCAAAAAACAGTAAAATACACTATATTGACAAAAGTATTGTGAAACACCTATTCAGACCTATTGCCACAGGTGTATACAATAAAACACCTAGCCATGCAGTCTGCATTTACAAACATTTGTGTAAAAAAAAAAAAAAAATTTAAAAAAAAAAAAAGGGTCGTTCTGAAGAACCCAGCGAATTCAAGCAATTCAATGCAACTAGTCAGTTTGTGAAATTTCATTCCTGCTAGATATTCCACATTCAAAAGAGCAGGGTCACGGAGTGCTGAGGTTCATGGTGTGTAAAAGTTGCCAATGCTCTGGTGATTCCATAGCTGAAGAGTTCCAAATTTCCATTGGCATGAATACTAGCACAAAAACTGTACAGCAGTAGCTTTATGGAACAGATTTCCAAGGCCGAGCAGCTGCAAGCAAGTCTTACATCACCAAATACAATGCCAAGCTTCGATCAGGTGGTGTAAAGCACAGTGCCACTGGACTCTGGAGCAGTGGAAAATGACAAATCACACTTCTCTGTTTGCCAGTCTGATGGGCGAGTCTGGGTTTGGCAGATGCCAGGAGAAATTTACCTGTCTAACTGCATTATGATAACTGTAAAGTTTGGTGGAAGAGGGATAATGGTATGGAGCTGTTTTTCAGGGGTTCGGCTAGGCACTTTAGTTTCAGTGAAGGGAATTCCTAATGCTTCAGCATACCAAATCATTTTGGACAATGCTGTGCTTCCTACTTTGTGGGAATACTTTGGAAAAGGCCATATACTATTCCAGCATGACGGAGCCCCAGTGCACAAAGCAAGGCACATAAAGACATGATTGGATAACTTGACTGGCCTGCACAGGGCCCCGACCTCGAACATCTTTGGGATGAACAGGAACAGACATTGGGAACCAAAACAGAAACACTCCAAAACATAGTGGAAAGATTTCCCAGAAGGGTGGAATCTGTTATAGCTGCAAAAAGGGGTAGGACTAAGTACATATTAATGTCTGTATTTAGAATGCGATGTCATAAAAATCGCTGTTGGTGTAATGGCCAGGTATCCCAATACTTTGGTCCACATAGTTTATGTCTAGCTGAGATGATTTAATAGCTTGTGTTTGTGAGTAAAGTTCTTAAGGTGGCAGCAAAATTAACTGTTCACCAATAGTATTCTTCAGAGGATTTGGAAAAGCTCATCAAAGCACTTTTTTGTGTGGAATATGTTGTCAAGATACATGTGCTTACTTCAGTCTCCTGTAGCCGATGACCTATCAAGCTCAAGGATTCTCCCAGGAGCTGAAGATGGGCTGCTACATCAATGGGTTCTGTGTCTGGGACTTTGGCTGGTGAAGAAGAGAAGGATAAAACACTACTTGGGGATTTCTTATGAGGAGAAGTAAGACTCGAAGAGGAGCCTGGAAATGAGAAAAGGGGAGAAACAGACATTAATACATATATTATAAAAGGAAATGCAGTTTTAGTGAAGGGTGCTCTTAAAGAAAGGTAAGTTCACAGGAAAATTAAAGAAAGAACAAAAAAGAATATTTGCCTAGATAGAAATTCAGACGTCTTACCTTTGCTCTTTGGAGTGGCGTCAGAGGAGCTTGATTTGCGTTTCACAGTGGTAGCCTCTGCTTTATTTTGCTTATGCTGGAGATATTGTGCTTTTTGTTTCCAAACCTACAAAAGACATCAAAATCAATAATCATTACAGTTCACATTTCTTTAAAATTTAAATGACAGATAGTGTATGGAGTAAAAGTGCAGTAAGGGTGCAAGCGCAGCGGAAATATGCTTGTGAACAGAGTGATCTTCAGAGCATGTTTTGGTAACAGACATGCCGAGGCAATCCATCTGGGCCTACTGAATCAAAAAGGTTTCCTTGTATAAGAGGGTGAGCCAAGGCTTAAAGGAGACATTTTAAGAAGTATAAACACTACTATATTCAATCAGGACAAGGAAAGTGATGTAGAAATCAAATGCTTTAGATGACCCTATTCTAAACCTGAAATATTGCCCCCCAGGTATTTAGGAGGGGATGTTCTTTAACCCCTTAAGGACCAAACTTCTGGAATAAAATGGAATCATGACGTGTCACACGTCATGTGTCCTTAAAGGGTTAAACGAAGGTTCCTCATGCTTTGTTGTCTTTCATTAAATCACAAGAGGAAAAAAAAATTTTTTGTAATATCAAAGCTATTTTGGCCATTCTGACAAGAAAAAGGTTAGGGATCACAAACTTACAAGCTTGTCCTTTTCTGGAAGCTGCTTCCACACCTCAGCTAGTTTCTTGCTGAGCTCACCAAAGTCTAATGAAACAAAAACAAAAAGCACATACATGAAATATAGGGTTCATTATAAATGGCTCACCAAGTCTAGAAATACTCAGGCATCACTTTCAGGGAACCTCCTATCACAGTATGATTCATGTACATCCATTAACAACGCTCTTAATTTCCAACAACTCAGTTGGCCCATCCAGCCAAGCCTCATGTAGTCACAAATCAATATATTTTACAGCAGAAACAACCTTTTCTGCAGCTGCACTCATACAGCAAATATGTATGAGTGCAGCTGCACAAGGGCATTGTCAAGTGTAAATCTGTCCAACTTTGGACTGCAACGATAAGCTGAAAGTGATCAGGGAAAGGGGGAGGCCATTTATTTTCAGGATCTTATCTTTTCAGGACAGTACAACTTAATCCTGATAACATTTCCAGAACTTTTCAGCTTTGTATCAGGAACAGAAGGACTGGTCCCCAGATTGATATCTAGATTCTGTCGTGTTGTGCTATTTATCCTTTCATAGTACCAGGAACCATCACAACATCACTTGTCTCCAAGAAGTATCTTTTTAAAAGGAAATGCCAAGCACCATAAACACTACAACCCAATGTAGTAGTTATGGTGCCGAGCACTGTCCTAAGAGTATCCTGGCTCTGTCCTATTGTAGGATGTCAAACCATTTTAGTACAGTTTAACAACTTTCCTGGGTCTGCTGGGCGCTAGCATTCTTCTGTATTCGGTCTACTGATGTAGGAAAAGCCAAATGTCTCTACAGAATAAAGAATGGCCAATGAAGAACCATGCTCATTTCCTGAGAGCTTTGGAGCAATCTTGACTCCACCACACAATGACAATGTACATACGCAATAATGTACATACTCAATTTAGATGTTTTAATGCACTAGAGACATCGAATAGTTAGCCATGCATTATGTTGTAGACGCCAGTCAGTTACTATGTGACATCCTAAATGTAATCATACAGCATTGTGGTAAGGCAGTATAAAACAAAAAATAGAAATAAAACAAGATGGCTCCCTTTTCTGCAGATCTGACCCACTGGAGAAACGAACATATTCTTGGCTAGAACAGGTCTCAGCTGAAGTCCAGCCACACAGATTAAAATGTTCCATCAACTTTAGCAGATGGGTGACTATCTCTGGGTCCCTCACACAGGAGGGATAAGGGTTTTTGCCACAGGATTTTTCTTCTTTTTAAGAGCTTAAGTGAGCCATACATTTTATTTAATTTATAATAGAGTGAATGGGTGTATTCTCACCGATCCCAGGGTGATCTGCAATGATACTGCCTCGATACTCCTTAGAGAAGACTTGATATGCAGACATGTTCTTTTTCTTCGGCTGTTGCTGCAAACACATGGAATAAAAATAACTTTTAGTTTAGTATAATACTTAATGCCTTAACAATATTAAAGGAACACTATAGGGTCAGGAACACAAACATGTATTCCTGACCCTATAATGTTAAAACCACCATTTATATGGCTTGAAACAATGCATCTCTATGAGGAAAGTTTAGTTCATGTAGACGTTGAATGGCACACTGTGCAGCACTGCCCCAGGAAGCAACTTCAAAGGCCATCTAAGGAGTGGCCACTAGAGGTGTCCCTAAGCTTTAATGTAAACACTGCCCTTTTTTCTTCTGAAAAGACAGTGTTTGCACGAAAATGCCTGCAGAGACTGTCTATACTCACCAGAACAACTACAAATGAGCTGTAGTTGTTCTGGTGACTAAAGTGCCCCTTAAATGTATTTAACTTGAATGCTTGTTTTTTTAGCTTTATCTAGGTTAAAGGGACACTATAGTCACCAAAACAACTACAGCATATTGCATTTGTTCTGGTGTGTATAATCATTCCCTTTAAGCTTTATGCTGTAAACATGTTTTTTCCCAAACAAATTTCATTATTTACCTTACAGCCTAGGGATAACTCCACTGGCCACTCGAGGTGCTTCCTGTCATTCAGTGTCTCCACCCTCTGCATGCAGACAATGAACTTTGCTCATAGAGATGCACTGATTCAATACATCTCTATGAGGAGATGCCGATTGGTCAGGGCTGTGTTTGGCTCTGACACTGAACTGCCTCCTTGAAAGTCTTAGCCAATCCTATGGGAAAGCATTGTGATTTGCTCAGAACAACACTTCTGATGATGTCATCCAAGCAGGCAGATCAGGGGGAGAGGCAGCAGCTGCAGACTTGAATAAAAGTAAGATATTACTATATTTAGGGGGACAAGGAAGAGGGGGAGGGGAGCAGGGCAGGCTAGATGGTGGTATTAACACTATTAGGAATACATGTTTGTGTTCCTGACCCGATAGTGTTCCTTTAAGTACATTCTGAGCAAAATCAATTCAACTATAAAATAAAAATCTTAATTGTAGTTAAATGTAAGTGAACATTTAAAAAGGACAATCACCTATTAATTTTTTTATTTTCCAAAAGAAGGAAGGGACTAATAGACACAAAGTTATTTTAGTATAAGGAAAAAAAAAAAAAAAAATTAAAAAATGATAAACTATGCACATAAAAACGTTATTAAGATGAGATTTTAAAAGCGTTCAAGTGTTTTGTGCAATTTTCAAACTTAAGACCGCACTCCATATTAACTTCTAGAGGCAAGTATACCACAATCCTAACAATCATAATACAGCATTACACGTCACCTTGGCATCATCAAACTAAAGGCCTATTCTACAACAAGTTCACATAGGTGCAGTTATAGTTGTGCCAACATGGAAAGATACAATAAGCAACATACACTCAAAGTAGATGTTTAAATGCCCTAGTAACATCTAATAGTCTAATAGAACCCTGCATTCTGTTGTAGACTCAAGTTCGTTACTATGTGATACTAGCGACCTCCTAAATGTAACCATACAGTATTATTAAGGCAGTGTAGCAGTGGAAAAAAAGAAAGGAAAAAAAAGGACTAAGCTAATTCTTCTGCTGATATGAACCACTAGTGAAATCAACATATTCTTGGATAGAACAGGCTTTAAATGAATTAATGGCCCCCTGTTGAGCCAAACAAAAAACAAAAAAAAAACAGCAGCATAACTTCCTATTTTATCCTATGCACAATTACAGGAATACCCAACCCAGCTTAGACACCAGAGCTCAGGAACAACCTTTAGCCTGACTATAACAGCAAGTATGTGAACTTGTTCTGGAACAGGCCTTCTATGTGATGATGCCTTAAGAGGTAAAGATATAATACTATATTGTGATGGTTATGGTTGTGGTATACATACCTCTAGTAGTTAATAAGGAGTGCGTCTGAAGTTTTTTTTTTTTTTTTTTTTTAAATATCATCTGAATAAAGCTTTTCTGTACATAGTTTATCCTTGGTTAAGCCCAAAATAAGGTTGGTGGGGTGGGGGCAGTGTCAATTATACCACCAGAGAAATTTATCTGCATTAACTTTTGTACTATTTAAAAATAGTCCCTTTTTAATAAGATAATACCCATTCTTCCGATGGACTTTGGCAAAGCAAATTTTCTTTCATTCTATAAATGTATATTCAGAAACACTGGTATAACTGAACATTGTTAATAGTTTAGTTAAAGAATAAACTACACAAAAAAAAATAATGACGAAAAAGACACTCCAGGCAATAATAGAATTTTAATGAATTTGGTTTTGGCCTCATTAACATACTGGATTTTTTGCATGTTCAGACCTTTATAGTTTTTATACAAAATGCCAGAAATATTTCATTATCAAATAAATGCACACAGTTCAGCCACTGACTGCACTGAGTGAGCTGAGCGGTTTGATTCACAATCAGGCTGCACACAATCAGAGAAACTATACTCCAGGTAGTGATATTATAGGTATTCCTGGGTACACAGATTACTTTGTAGTTCAAATCATTTAATAAAGTCAGTGGCTCAGCTTTGTACAAACATTTGATAAGGAAGTCTTTTTGAGGAGGGGTCAGGGTTAAAGAGGCAGACCTTTGGTGCAACATTCTGCTAAACTTTTTTTTTTTTGTGTGTGAAAAAAAAAAAAAAAAAATGTCAGCATGCAAAAAAAAACCCAGCATATTAATGAGACTAAAACCAGATGCGTTAAAGCTGCATTGGTGCCCGGAGTCTCCTTTTAAAGTATGTTCACAGATTTGTATCTTATCCTTTAACCAAAATGTTATCATTGTTTTAGTTTTTGTGACAAGTTGATTTACGCCACCAAATCCCAGAGAAATGGTTTATTGCTTAATGAAGAATTAACTTAGCCTTTTTTACACACTGTTTTTTTTCATGGGTTAGGATAAACAAAAAAAAGACTTGTCAGTCTTCTCAGTTTTCCTGTACCTGTTCATTTATGTGAAACCATTATACTGTGGTATGTAAGTGCAGAGATATGTACTTATTCTAGGGAACATTGTTAACTTTGGATGGACATAATATCTCGTAACCATTTCTTCCTGCCATGGTCTTGAAAGCAATACACAACATAGTTTAATCCATTAAGTACTTTAGGGGGGCACACTGTAGTGGGGGAACTCACCTTATCTGACTCCTCTTTCTTCTTCTTTTTGTCCAATGGTACCTCTGGGTTGCTGATGGTAGGTGCTGACAGAGGTGCAGGTGGTGGCGATACAGTGGTAGGAGCAGGTGGCAAGGCTAGTGTTTGTGGTAGAATCTGTGTTGGACTCCCATCAGCACCATGTTCCCTCTTGCTTTTGCTGTGCTTCCTGTGCTTGTCATCCTTATGTTTGTCATCCTTATGTTTGTCTTTCTTCTTCTTGCTTTTTTTAGATTTCTTTTTTTTCTTCACCTCCCGAAATGAGTCATCAATCACCAATTCCCCACCCTCTATATCCCCACCAGAAGAAGCTGAATCAGGTGTACCACTAGATCGTGGTGTATGGCTTTCCTTCTTATGTTTCTTGTGGCTACTTCGGCTCTCTGTTTCTTCCTTTTGTAGTTTTTTAATACTTTTCTTAGCACTTGTCCCTTCACTGAGCACAGGGCTTGCCTGTGGAGAGATAATATGTTCCTCTGTCTTTTCTTTGGGAGAAAGAATGAGTTTCATTCTCAGTCCATCTGGCTCTCGTAAAGTCAGAGGTTTGGGCTTTTTTGCTTGATGGCTAGGATCCTCTGTGGGAACCTCCTCTGATTTTTTGCGATGCTCTTTGCGTGGTATTTGGGAGCCAGAGGGAAAACTGACAGGGGATGCAATTATTTTCTCTGCTTTCTTGCAAGGAAGTTTGCTGGAAGAAGCCAGTGGAGAGGTGATGGCTTTCAGAAGATCCATTGCTGTATCAGAAGGAGAAGATGGGTTGGGAGGTAGTGGCTTTTTCTTCTTCTTTATGTCTGCAGAAGACAAATCTAAAATACACAGGTGTAACCAATGGAGAAACAGATTGAAAGCAAGAAAAATGCATTCGTTTATTGAAGTTAAATAAAATGGAATCAATATAAAGGAGCAAAATACTGTAACAAAAACTGTACAGAAGACTTAGTACAGTTTTAAATGCAATAGTCTCAAGATGAATTGCATTTATGTTGCAATGTTATAGAAAGAAGCAAAACACAGTGAGAAAAGCCTGTGAACGGTAAATGTTAATTTAGAGCAAGACAAGTGGGATATACAACAAACTGAACTGGTTAATGAGCAGTAATATCGGAAAAAGAAAGCAATTTGTCCCACCTGCATAAAATGCATCCTCTGAAAAATGCTTCTTTTTCTTCTTGTGGGACTCCGATCCAAGAAAGGAAAAGTCAGATTCCTACAAACACAACCATGACATATCTGAAATAACTTATGTAACAGGGTTTGTTAATCAAAACAAATAGTTTATTCAGATAACAAAAAATTATTTTTCTAAAAAGTTTATTATGGTTTTAGTTGAAATTCATAAAAAGTTGGACAGATTTCAACTTGAGAAAAATAATATTTTCACTAGAAGTAATTTAAAAAAAAGGACTGGTCAATACATCTTAAGTTTAAGATGAAAGAGAACTAATCTGACATGCTGTGGGCACATAAAATGATTTGTGATCTACAAACATCTACAAGATATATTGACCAGTCTTTTTTTTCCCCTCCATTCTTAAATTACTTCTAGTGAAAATACAGATTGTATTTGTGAACTAGACTTAACATTTGAACAAGTTACAAAAGGCATTGATCCAATGTGAAAAAGACATCAAATATCCCACACCCTCCAACCTTGGGCCTTTTCTTTGATGACTTTCGAACTTCTTCAGCAATCTCCTCTTCTTCACGCAGAAGGTCTTTGTACGATCGCTTCTTCTCCCGCTGGGTCCTGCCGGCTGCCAAGCCCACATCCTCCATCCCACGCTCTGTGTCCAAACCCTCAGATGCTGGCCAAGAGGTGAGATAAAAGACACAGACACATAATTTTAGGGCATTAACCACTGATCATCATAAACAATCTACAGTTGAAAGAAAAACAATTGCTGATTGCTTTCAGCCCTTCATATAATCTCTGCACAACTGGGCTAGCTCAGAGTTTCCAGCTGCAATGGTGAAGGGTGAATTGCCTGGCAGAACCCAGATAAGTAATCCAACCATTTGATAATTTACCTATTTCTCCTATTACATTGGAGAGGTGTCAGGGCACTTCTGGCACCATAACAACTACAGTAGTCTGTAGAGATTATTGTGCTTGGACTGTTCATTTAATGATGTTTTATCTAAGGTTTTACAGTAACCTATTTTTATTAGTAGTTTATTTTAATATGAATTGATTGCGTGGTGCAGCTTATTCTCTCTATCAATGTTAACATGGCAAGCACACATGGATCAGTCAGTCTTGTTTGTCCAATGATCAACCTGTCCTAACAAAAGAGTTGTTTATTTGTATGTAATAAATTGCACTGATTAAATATCTGGATAGTTGGACTGGAGCTGGAAACCATGCTTCCCAGACATAATTCCCATGGCGGTGCACCTACCTCTGGGATCACTGTATGCCATATTAAGTGCAATTCATCAGGTACTGGACAAAGGTCTGATGGCAGTGTCCTTGGGCAGCCAGTCTGTAGAAGGAACATTGTGCTAATACATATCAGCCACTACTGCATTTCTAAATAGTAAAAGAGTGTGATGGAATTGTGAACTATGAATGATAGGAGTGTGATATCTTTCAGCAAACTCAAAAGTCTCATTCATAAATACACAAGATTAGCATGGATATGTCTATGAGCTTACATCCTGAATGCAGGACAGCCATTCGATTGACAGGAACCAGTTTCTCAGATAGCATTCAGTATATAGTCACCAGTAATTCCATTCACTGATTGGAAATGTGTCTTAACAGAATGCATGAAAGTCATTGCTAGACTTAAGAATCTATAATAAACAAGGTATGGAGAAACTATTTATTAGTACCATTTGATATACACATGGGTGCTATTCATCACCGGTATCCCCTCAAATACCAAAACAAACAATAGTTGAATATGAAAGAGAATGCACACCAGTAACCAAAAATAAATCAACACTTTGTTTAGACACATATATCACTTATTGTTGTAATATAAGTTATCACTTATTGTTGTAATATATGTGTCTAAACCAAGTGTTGATTTATTAAACCAAGATAGAGATTTATTTTTGGTTTCTTGTGTGCATTCTCTTTCATATTCAACTAGACTTATGAATCTACCATAAATACCTTTAGGAAAAGGGTAAAATTGGTCACCAAAACAACATAAATCCTCAGCATTTATTCAGTGTAAAAGGTTTACATTTACAAGCATGAACTCATTGTAATAGGGCCATGTCTCTCACCATCCATAGTAAAAAGGACCATATCACTTATCACCCAGATTGACGAGTTTTTTTTTTGTTTTGTTTTTTACAGTATTCATCATTTATGACAGGACAATGTATCGCATCATGTGTGGTTAAATAAGGGGCCACACCTCCTATTACCATTCTGATTGCCTATACGCAGACTCTCATATTTGCCTTCAAATGCAAAAGCACCCTACTTCTCTCAAGAACAAAGTCCTTCAGAAGGCCTCAAGCAGCAACAAAACCCTGTGCTGTGTACTGCATCCAGCAACAGCCCACCTCCCTCAGACTGCCACCCACAGTAACATGAGTCATGTCCCTTGGTGCTGTCTGTCTCAGGTCCCTGCGCCTGTCTCACACAGTGACAGGACCCGGGCCCCTGCGCCTGTCTCACACAGTGACAGGACCCGGGCCCCTGCGCCTGTCTCACACAGTGACAGGACCCGGGCCCCTGCGCCTGTCTCACACAGTGACAGGACCCGGGCCCCTCCGCCTGTCTCACACAGTGACAGGACCCGGGCCCCTCCGCCTCTCTCACACAGTGGCAGGACCCGGGCCCCTCCGCCTCTCTCACACAGTGGCAGGACCCGGGCCCCTCAGGCTGTCTCACACAGTGGCAGGACCCGGGTCCCTCAGGCTGTCTCACACAGTGGCAGGACCCGGGTCCCTCAGGCTGTCTCAACAGTGGCGGGACCCGGGTCCCTCAGGCTGTCTCACACAGTGGCGGGACCCGGGTCCCTCAGGCTGTCTCACACAGTGGCGGGACCCAGGTCCCTCAGGCTGTCTCACACAGTGGCGGGGGTCCCTCAGGCTGTCTCACACAGTCAGGCTGTCTCACACAGGACCCGGGTCCCTCAGGCTGTCTCACACAGTGGCGGGACCCGGGTCCCTCAGGCTGTCTCACACAGTGGCGGGACCCGGGTCCCTCAGGCTGTCTCACACAGTGGCGGGACCCGGGTCCCTCAGGCTGTCTCACACAGTGGCGGGACCCAGGTCCCTCAGGCTGTCTCACACAGTGGCGGGACCCAGGTCCCTCAGGCTGTCTCACACAGTGGCGGGACCCAGGTCCCTCAGGCTGTCTCACACAGTGGCGGGACCCAGGTCCCTCAGGCTGTCTCACACAGTGGCGGGACCCAGGTCCCTCAGGCTGTCTCACACAGTGGCGGGACCCAGGTCCCTCCGCTGTCTCACACAGTGACGGGACCAAGGTCCCTCAGGCTGTCTCACACAGTGGCGGGACCCAGGTCCCTCAGGCTGTCTCACACAGTGGACGGGACCCAGGTCCCTCAGGCTGTCTCACACAGTGGCGGGACCCAGGTCCCTCAGGCTGTCTCACACAGTGGCGGGACCCAGGTCCCTCAGGCTGTCTCACACAGTGGCGGGACCGAGGTCCCTCAGGCTGTCTCACACAGTGGCGGGACCCAGGTCCCTCAGGCTGTCTCACACAGTGGCAGGACCCAGGTCCCTCAGGCTGTCTCACACAGTGGCAGGACCCAGGTCCCTCAGGCTGTCTCACACAGTGGCGGGACCCAGGTCCCTCCGCCTGTCTCACACAGTGACGGGACCCAGGTCCCTCAGGCTGTCACACACAGTGGCGGGACCCAGGTCCCTCAGGCTGTCTCACACAGTGACAGGACCCAGGTCCCTCAGGCTGTCTCACACAGTGACAGGACCCAGGTCCCTCAGGCTGTCTCACACAGTGACAGGACCCAGGTCCCTCCCACTGTGTCAGACAATGACAGGACTAGACTGTGACTACAAAAGTAATGCTGACACAACCTTGGCACCCACAGCATGAAGAACAAAGTCTACCCCTGTGAGCAAGCAGCACCAACTGGAAGAAGCCCCCCTACAAGCAATCTATCCATACACAGCATGCTTCCTGCAGGGACACATTATCCACAAGGAGACCGAGTAATATCACGTATTGCCAACAATCTCAGACACGAACAATGCTGGTTTCTCACACTATGTGTCACTCCAGTAACCCACAGCAAAGGAAAGGGTTACAGCTCCCATCATGCAACGGGGCAACAGCAGTCAAGACTACATTTCCCACAATGCACTGCTCACTGAGCAACTCACACAGAATCCTCCTAGAGCTCATGCAGCTACGTCTCTGACCGCGCAGCACCTTCCTCACACCTTCCGGGATACTTCATTCAGCATCATTCACCGAGCTTCCCGCCATCATGGAGGAGGAAAGAGCAGCCCTGAGGACGTACAGGCTCTGGATGCGTGAAACCACCATGAAACGCACGGCGCACGCAGAAGTCGCGCAGAGTAACTGACCAATAGTAGCTCTCTACGTCATTTTAGAGCGCCGTGATAAGCCCACTCACACTGTTTGAGATGGAAAGTGTCTTTTATTATTGTTATTGTTTTATTTTGTACTGTAAAAGCAGGGCTTCCATTTTCACAGGAAGAACTATTCATAGAACGCTGAAATGTACATAGCTGCACTCCAAATGGGAGAAGGACAGATCTGGAAACAGTGTCCAGTTCAACAATACTCACAGCTTTACTGCTTTAGCTTAAATTTTGTAATTCAATTCTTCATCTTACTACAGTTCGTTGTTTATGAAATAATTTGAAGCTGCTCTGTCCATTTGGGGGGTCTATGGGAGGGTTAGACTTAAAGGACAGCTGTCATATTGAAATTATTATTAATATAATCCTTTCATCAAGTTTTGGAAGGAAAAATATAATTTAAAAAGTATATGGGAAAAAAAAAAAAAAACATCCCATGGTTAGTATATGACAGGCTCCTACAGCCGTATACATGCACCTTGGGACAGACAGTGTTTGAATGTTATGAGCTTCCCTGCTTCACTCCCTGCACAGAAGCCAGGAAGAGCAGAGAGACTAATTGCAGACATCCCAACTCTCCCGGAACGTTCCAGGAGTCTACATAATATCCCTAAAATCTAATTTATTTTTTTTAGAGCGAGAACACTCACTGGCGCTAATTTAAAAACGATTTTCGGGATGTTACAGTGCGGCTCCGTAAGGGAACCACACTATACTAGCAGGGAGCACATCCTGCTCTATGTAGGTGCACCGGGTGTCACGTAACCTGACAGAGCACGTTACACTTCAAGGAGCCCCCCTCCCTTGCCATGACATGCAAATGCAGGGAGGGGGCACCAATCTGTAGGTGTGCAGAGCCAGCGCTACTCTCACCTAGGGCGCTGGCTCTATGAATGAGGCAGCTGTCTCCTGCTTGTGGAGGAAGGTGAGAAACATGGATGGGAGGAAGGGAGAGACATGGGGGCAGAGAGATGGATGGGAGGGGAAGAGATATTGAATGGGAGGGAGGGAAACATGGCTGGGTGGGGGGCTAGACGGATGAGAGATGGGGGTTGGAGACCTGGATGGAAGGGGGGAAGACGAGGGAGGGAGACATGGGGGGATGGATGCATGGATGAGGGGAGTGGGAGAAACATGGAAGGGATACATGAATGGAAAGGGGGGGGGGAGAAATGGATGGAAGGGGAGGGAGACATAGATGGGGAACAGAGACATGGATGGAAGGGGGTGGAAGAGACATTGATGGAAGTGAGGGTAGAAATGAGTGGAGCGAACAGTGCAGCCACACCTTACCCTGAGAAGTTGCATGGCACTGAAGCTCCTGCGATTTAAACTATCACCCTAATTTGACCTAAAATAGCTGCAAACACCGGGCAGAGGTTGGTGAACCAGCATGGGTCGGAAGACCAAAAAGCAGAAGCCTGACCAGCCGAGACAGAACCTCGATATCGGAGCCATGTGGAGACAAGCTCACAGAGCTACTAGGCCCAAGATGTCCGACTACCCGGAGACATACTCCGAACTATCGGATGACTTCTCCCTGGGGGAGGACACACCCGGCTTAACGGTTGCTGCAGCCAAATCCCTGGACCCTGATACTGCACCGGTCACTATGTCAGTGCTCAAAGCATTATTGGCGGACCACCAATCCACGATCCAGGCGGACATGGCTAACCTCCGCACAGACATCCAAGGAATAACAGGGAGGCTGGGCACTCTGGAGGACACCTCTGCTGCAAATGCTACCCACATTACCTCCATGCAACAGGAGATCAAAGGTTTGCAGAGCAAAAATGAAGATTTCGAACGGCAGTTCTTGTTGCGGAGCAAAATTATCCAGTTTGAAATAGTTTTTTTAACATTTCATCATATAATTTTACGTGGGATGGTTTATTTTAGTTTTCCCTTTTCACAATGGTGTCACACGGCATCATATTGTTTTTGCATGACATCACCGGGTACGTATGGCATGTCGTCATCGGGAACGGACAAGTATCTCTCTCACTCACCTTTGGTAAGTTACCAATTTGATATTTTCTTTCTCTCTCTCTATATATGTATATGTAGAAACATAGAAACATAGAAACATAGAATGTGACGGCAGATAAGAACCATTCGGCCCATCTAGTCTGCCCAATTTTCTAAATACTTTCATTAGTCCCTAGCCTTATCTTATAGTTAGGATAGCCTTATGCCTATCCCACGCATGCTTAAACTCCTTTACTGTGTTAACCTCTACCACTTCAGCTGGAAGGCTATTCCATGCATCCACTACCCTCTCAGTAAAGTAATACTTCCTGATATTATTTTTAAACCTTTGTCCCTCTAATTTAAGATTATGTCCTCTTGTTGTGGTAGTTTTTCTTCTTTTAAATATAGTCTCCTCCTTTACTGTGTTGATTCCTTTATATATTTAAATGTTTCTATCATATCCCCCCTGTCTCGTCTTTCCTCCAAGCTATACATGTTAAGATCCTTTAACCTTTCCTGGTAAGTTTTATCCCGCAATCCATGAACCAGTTTAGTAGCCCTTCTCTGAACCCTCTCTAAGGTATCAATATCCTTCTGAAGATACGGTCTCCAGTACTGTGTACAATACTCCAAGTGAGGTCTCACCAGTGTTCTGTACAATGGCATGAGCACTTCCCCTCTTTCTACTGCTAATACCTCTCCCTATACAACCAAGCATTCTGCTAGCATTTCCTGCTGCTCTATTACATTGTCTGCCTACCTTTAAGTCATCAGAAATAATCACCCCTAAATCCCTTTCCTCATATGTTGAGGTTAGGACTCTATCAAATATTCTGTACTCTGCCCTTGGGTTTTACGTCCAAGATGCATTATCTTGCACTTATCCACATTAAATGTCAGTTGCCACAATTCTGACCATTTTTCTAGTTTACCTAAATCATTTGTCATTTGGCTTATCCCTCCTGGAACATCAACCCTGTTACATATCTTAGTATCATCAGCAAAAAGACATACCTTACCATCAAGACCTTCTGCAATATCACTAATAAAAATATTAAAGAGAATGGGTCCAAGTACAGATCCCTGAGGTACCCCACTGGTGACAAATCCAAGCTTCGAATATATTCCATTAACTACAACCCTCTGTTGCCTGTCACTCAGCCACTGCCTTACCCATTCAACAATATTTGAATCCAAACTTGAAGATTGCAGTTTATTGATAAGCCTTCTATGTGCAACAGTGTCAAAAGCCTTACTGAAATCTAGGTAAGCAATGTCTACTGCACCACCCTGATCTATAATTTTAGTTACCCAATCAAAAAAATCAATAAGATTTGTTTGGCATGATCTCCCTGAAGTAAACACATGTTGTCTCTGATCTTGAAATCCATGTGTTTTTAGATGTTCATCAATCCTATCCTTTAACATGGTTTCCATCACTTTTCCCACTACTGAAGTAAGGCTTACTGGCCTATAGTTGCCTGACTCCTCCCTATTACCTTTCTTGTAAATGGGCACAACATTCGCTAACTTCCAATCTTCTGGGACTACTCCTGTTAACAATGATTGGTTAAATAAATCTGTTAATGGTTTTGCTAGTACACCACTAAGCTCTTTTAATAGCTTTGGGTGTATTCCATCAGGTCCCATTGACTTATTTGTCTTTACTTTTGACAGTTGAAATAGAACCTCTTCCTCTGTAAACTCACGTGTAATAAATGACTCATTTATCCTTTTTCTCAACTGAGGTCCCTTTCCTTCATTTTCTACTGTAAATACAGAACAAAAATATTCATTGAGGCAGTCAGCCTGACCTTTATCCTCTTCTACATACCTTCCTCCTTTTGTTTTTAATCCAACTAATCCTTGTTTTACTTTTCTTTTCTCATTTATGTATCTAAAAAATGTTTTATCCCCCTTTTTTACTGACTGTGCTATTTTCTCTTCTGTGTGTGATTTGGAAGCTCTTATAACTTGCTTAGCCTCTTTCTGCCTAATCTTATAGATCATTTTGTATATTAATTGTTGCACTTTATGTATTTTGATAAAGACCCAGTAGGGTCTAAACATTGAATTGATTTATTTGTTGATTATTTTTTTTAATACACTTTACTAGAGAAATCCTGTGAGTGCTCCTTTGACCTTTTGTATTGCTGCACTGGGAGGAAGGAACCCAGGTTAGTTTCGCATATCCTGTGTTTGGATTTTTGGGGAGAGTGCCAGAGTTTGTACTCGCATGTGTACACGCTCGCTCGCTCTCTCTCTCTCTTCCCCAGACGGGGTGGATCCCATTTCATACCCTTAGGATTTCAAGAAATGTTTCATCTATCCTCCCAATATCTCAAATTTTTCCGTGTACAATAAAAAGGTACGAGCACTAAATCCCTCCACTGACTGTGGTTTTCTATCCTACTACAATTATCAATGGAGGACCCACAGTCACTTCAAGAATTTCCAGAGCTCCTGTTCCAAGGTCGTCTCATCCATCCAGATCCTCAGCTGCTAAACCTAAAAGCTTGGAGATTAAAGTGGGCATGACTGATGAAGATGGCATTCTCTGATTTGTTTTTTTCTTATATGATTTTTATTTGAAAATCTTTCCATAAGAGACAATACAGAACAATAATTTACATACTAATGGTAGGAAACATTTCTTCAATTTGAGGAATATAGCAGTGTAAATTTTCCTTACACATTTCACTGACCAAAAACAACACAATACATTTAACTTATCTACAAATACAAGACAATGCAACAGGGGAGAAAAAAAAAAAAATAGGAAAAAATAAGCTAAATCTGTTTGTCGGGGGGAAGGAGAAGATGCAGGTCGAGCAAGACTATGTATCTTATATTATCCAAGATATAAACGTTCTAGCAATGTTTCACTTTAAATTTATAAAGAAATTAGTTTTGACAGACGCTTTATTTACTAGAATCTCTATTTATTTATCCGCTCCCAACACTTCATCCAAACAGTTACTTTTTTACTTAATTTTTGTTTATTCAGCATTAATTCCATTTTGATCTGGAACTTAAGCTGGGCTCTAACTTGATCCCAAGGGACGTCTATATAATTTTTCCAACTTCTTGCAATCACAATTTTGGCAGCTAAGAAAAGATGAGTAAGAATAATTTTCAACTCATATGTCATTGCCGGCCAATTTAAATGAAGCAGGACGATCTCTGGGGAGAGCCTCAACCCAAGGTTCAGATCTACAGGTATAAACCTTTGGATTTTAGACCACAAGTTGTTCAACTTGTGGCACTCCCACCATATATGCTTAAAAGTACCTGTAGCTAAGCCGCATCTCCCACATTTTGATTTATTGTGGGATACATTTTGTTCAATTTGTCTGGTACTAAGTACCATCTATTTAAAACCTTAAAGTGGGTTTCTAGTAAATTTAGAGAATGTATAGTCTTCGAAACTTCCTCCAGTGAACAACCCCAGTGCTTGATATCTATGTCTATGTTTAGTTCTACCTTCCAGGCAGCTATAGCTATTTTTTCTTTATTGTACATTTTGCTTAATAGCAAAGCTTTAGAAAGCGGTTTATTTATTCTATATGAATTAAATAATATCTTGATCATGTTGTTTAAACTAGATTTAAATATAATTAAATGAGTCGTCAAAACGTTTTTAAGTCTCAAAAAAAATTAAACAGCTCCTTTGATTGTTCCCTCACATTCTCTGATTTGTTATTACTACAGCTATCTTCTGAGACTGGACTGCTTCCACTCTTTCTTCCTCGGATGAATTTCATTTTCTGCACGAAAAGGGTTTAAGCTTTATTACATTTAAAGTTCACATTTCAGCACTTTTGGCTCTGCACAGTGTAAAATAGGTATAGGATACAGATGTTATACAATTCCTCAGAGGAGTTCTACTTTTACACCCCCCTAGGAAATCCTTTTGCCCACCATGGGATCTACCAGTGCTTCTTTCTGCTCTTCAAAAACATCCATTTGAACCATTAGAATCTGTCACCTTTTCCAACATTTGCCAAAAGACTGCTCTACTAGTGCCTTTAGCTTCAGAGTGCAGCATTTCTAAACTGGGTGCATTTCTTTTGTAGAAGCCGTACATAATTTTCTACGAGTATAACGTGGCACTGTGCATGATTCCAGAATTCATGCTCAAAAGTCATGTTCTCCTTCAACATTAACCAACAAAACCTACAAAATTTGAACACAATGAAGTACAAAACAGGCAAGGGATTGCACAAAGCCAATTGCAAAAGCAGTGGCTGTATACGCATTGGTAATTGTCTGCAAGAGAGACAACTGAAACTACTTATTTTTTTATTTTATTTGATAAATCAAAGTTAAAAACAAATGTCAAAAAACATTTTACGCTTTGTGTAACAAGCTGACTTTAGAGGTACACATTGGCAAATGAGTGTTGCAAATGTCCCTCTAACACATCTATTAAAGATTACGAGCACATTGGAAAATAAAAATGTTTTTTAAAAAAAAAACTTTAAAAAAAAGTATTTTTATTCCTGGGCCATTTCTTCAAACTACTTTTCTTCTGACACATGTATACAGAGTACTTGCTGTGGTATTTATCCCACACACTAAAGAAAACTATGACAAATGTTGTGTATCAAATGGAAAAGCTTTAACAAGGTCACAAAAAAAGAAATTTAATTCAAAACACATGAAACAATTGCTATGACCTCACATGCAACAGCACTTGACAAAACTAGCAATTCATAACAAAATGAATTTCAAAGCCATTTGCACATATATATTTTTAACTTGAATTCACATTTTAAATCAAACATTAGCTGCAAGTTAAACATATTTTCCAAAAACACATTACTCAACATGGACTACTATATTATATACACAAAATACAATTTAAAAAAAAAAAAAAACACTTTACTTGCCGTTGTAGAACATATTTGTATGCGTAGGTAATTTAGTAAAAAAAAATAAAAGGTAGAAACAAAACAGAAGACCTGGAATGTGCAAAGAGTATAAAATAAATTCTGGAGGTGAGTTTCCAAAGGACCATACAACTTTAACACAGGTTTCTCACACAAAACCTAGACCCAACACAAGCACAGGACAACAAAATACATACATAATATGTAACAAATTGGTAGTCTCAATTCATCAAGGGATATGAAATGTGAACAGCAGACTGTAATAGTAACACACACTACATTCACTTATAATTGGAAATTCTTTCCAGCTTTGATAATAAAATAAAAATAAAAAAAATGTAATGAGGGAACATAATTGCTTTCTTGTCAACTAAGACATTTCCTTGCATGTCATCTACTTTTAGGTTCTTAGATTTCCAAGAAAGTCAATATTATCATCTTCTTAGTCTTGGTTCAGGAAAACTTATTTTACAGATGGTGCTAATGATTATCCATCTCTAGTAATGTATGTGCAATCAGCACATGTCTCTGTACAGAAGAGTGTTTGAAAACCAAGCTAAGCGTTTGCAAGGGTCAGTTTACTGAATGCAGCATGGTTGGCTAACTTGAGATGACATGAAACAAACAAACACTTCTTGTACATGGAATTAGGTTGTAACATTTCTTGCAACAAATAGTTTAATCTTAAAAGGGTACGGAACACAGTACAGTCTCATGGCTGTGATTGAGCAGTAATGGTGGAACCCAGCACCTCTAGCTACCTGCTCTCCATCTTCTGTATCTGGAGGCTGAGAGATGTGAAGCTAGCAAGAAGCTCAGTCACTTCATCAACCTAATGGGCAAAAAGCAGAAAAGGCAAGAAGATCTTTATACTGCTTACAATGTATGTCCTATCACATATTAAAGCTATATATGTAAACTCATTCAGGTTTAACATTTTTTTTATTTTTTTATTATTTCTTCCTCTATTTAGTGGGGTAGCAGAAATTCACTTGTGCAAGTTGGGGGGCACTTACACGTCTCTGCTTTTCATTAGCGCATAGCACTGTGGCAGTCAGGTGTCCTGTTAGCAGACATGTCAATATACCTGGATTAATGTGCAGCAGGTCCAGTAAACTGCCAGCAGTAAAGAAGGATGCAGCATCAGATATGTATAGAATTGTTATGCATAATATGTATGTATATATATATATATATATATATATATATATATATATATATATATATATATACACACACACACACACACACACACACACACACCAAGTCTTTAGCACATTTTGCTTAACATCACTGCAAGATTTTGGGATTTCTGTGGGAAAAGCAAAGTCTTATGGCTTGACTGGTGTGCGAATTTTTGTTTAACATTTATGTTGTTATCCACAGACTTCAGGTGGAAGGGGTTTTCAATCACAATTTTTCCCCACCATAACCGATTTGGATTTTGCTTCCCAAGCACTACCAAGCCTCAATAAGCAAACCAGTAACCAACCTCATGCTGATGAGTTGCATTTACAACGAAACAGCTGTCCATGAGTGGTTCACTGGTTTTGCATCTTTTCCTAAATTGTGTTCCAAGCAGTTGTATACAGCAAACACAGATTAAAAGGAATCCAGGTTTAAAATGGAATGAGGCAAAAATGGATTCTTTGATAAACTAATTTGCATATGCCCACCCAGAATACTTTGCGGTTGTAACATCACTGCAGATTTGGGATTTCTGTGGGAAAAGCAAGTCTTATGACTTGACTGGTGTGCAGATTTTTGTTTAACGTTGTATTAACTATAATATATATATATATATATATATATATATATATATATATATTATATATATTATATAAAATAAAATAAAAATCCAACACAACATCACAGACCTGACTTAGCCCTCAATTTAACATTTAAAATAATTTTAAAAGCTTATCCAAAAATATTTAAATTGAGGCTCCAATACATTTAATTCATATACAGTGGTTTTTCAGGAAATTACCTGCTCTTTTGTGCTAGTTCTTTGCAGTCTAGAACAGATCTGGTCCAGCTGTTCTGTCTGTTCCTGCTGCCCCAACTTTTCCAGGTACTCCCGCAACATTTGGATGATCTAATAATTGCAATGGTAATTAGATTGCATTTAACAGAATCAGGTGATGAGTAACTAATCACATGAGTACTATCATAATGGACAAGTGGTAGGTTCCTCATTTGCGATTGGGGAGGAGAGGGTTGGGGTGGGGCTTGAGGAGTATATTAGTTGACTAGACACCAGTGGAGTTTTTGTTTTCTTTAAGGGGGAAGACCAAAAAGGTTGAAGAGGATTTTTGCAATGAAAATGGAATCCTCAAAAAAGGCCAAAAGGAAGTAACTGCATGTATATGAAGTAAAGATGAGGGAGTAGGTAAGAATTACTGCAATGAAGGAAGTAAGTGGGTAAAATGAGAGAAAGATGGAAATTGGGTTAAAGACAAAAAAAATAAAATGTGCATCAGTTTTAGGACAGGTAACGTAATATATTTTGAAAAATACTTCAAGTTCAGCCTTTTGGGTGTATTATTTCAGGAGTATGAGAGTGGGCATGGTGAATTACTGAAATACACATTATAGGGTAGGCCTGGTCACAGGGGAAAACAACAAACCCAAGCATTTCTCTAGCAACAAAAAAAAATAGGGTAGGATAATCAGCTTCATCTAACCCAGCAGAGGGAGCAGGAAATTTAAAAATGTGAGGAATAAAAAGAGCACTTGGAACGTCATGCCTGAGAAAGAAAGGTATGGATTGTGCGGAACGCAGCTGCTATTAAATTCCATTTCTAAACTTCACATTGAAATATGTTTAATATTTAAGTTTAACATGGTGTAAATAATACAATAAATGCAAAAGTATCTTAAGTAATATTGCTCTCCTTCTGGTCCAAGTTTCTATGAACATTGGATACACTTTCTATTATATTAAATTTCCCATTGTTATTTGTTAGAAAAGAGGGGGTGGGGGGGGGGAACAACTGTTTCAGCTTGGATATTTTGGCCTAATATTTAACGGTGAATATAAAAAGGTATGTTAAATGTGTGTGATTATAAAAGTGCAAAGTATTTTATAGCTGCTACAAACACTTATTTTCCTTCATGTAATCACTCAACTGAAAAAAAGTGTAATTAAAATGTTTAGCGGTTTTATTTTTATTTAGTTAATAAACACATTGAGCAGGATATTCTATAGGATCCAAAAGGAGGCACTTTGACCATTAACCGGACCCTATACTATAATGTTTTGTAAATGACAGAATGACACGCACCGCCTTGTGTATACATGTTAAAAAGAAGCACCTGATACTTTATCCACTTGAAATCTATATTTTCCTGTCAAAATCACCATTCACAGAGTAGGCTTCATAGTATGACAGTATGTTGCCAAAAAGCAATAATTTACCCACCTGTTTTACTTCTAGCCTCAAGGATTCCAAAGTTTGTGACTTCCCATCTTGTAGGATATTCAGCTTGGACTTGGCTAGATGTAGTGGGGTTCTGCCTGCTCTGTCTAAAGCATCCACTCTGGCACCTTAAAGAAAAAAAATTATTAAATCAAAAAACTCCCATTATCTACAATTCCCACCTCCCAAACCAGATGACCTACACAGTTTACACATGCTTATCATTCTGGCCTCTCCCACTTTTGTCCATGCCTACCCCTCAGGTTGCTACCCAAGCACAGTTAAATGTAATATAGAAGACAACATATGTGTTGTATCCCTGAGCTCTGATGCATGATTTGTTAGTGATTAAAACCAGTTACTGTACCATAGTTTACATTTCTATATTTCTGTTTCATTTTGCAAAGTTGCTTTTTTTAAAGTGTATAAATGGCCTTGTAAAAAATAAATAAATTGAAAAAGTATGTTGTTTGTGCAGAAAATAGATAAACTGCTGCAACATTACAACACCCACAATGCTGATGACCAATTTAAAAAAAATCATTAGAGCTTTGTTAATATAAAATATATTATTACCTCTACGAAGCAGAGTTGTAATGACTGGCACATGACTTGTACAAGCAGCTAAGGGGAACAAGAGGAGTTGAGAAGTTAAAACAAAAATCAACCTCAGATCTTATTTGTAATGATTGAAAAGAAATACGAGTGACTAATGAAAACTAACATTCTTGGATTTTCAAATGGATATTGATTTAATCAACACAATATACTGCAGAAATCACTAGAAAATTGAGAAATTAAAGCATATACTTGTAAACTGCTTCTTTCACCTACTGACAGGAATCAATGTTCCTCCCAATCGTTAAATGTGTTCTCCAAAATGTCTAGATGGCAAATGCACACTAGAAGTTGTAGAATGTCACCTTGTCACTTAAGATATAATGCGCCTGCACTATGGATTCCAAATGTGTAATCTTTATAGCTTTTCTCATCATTTAAATATACATTTGCTACCAATTTGAAAAAAAAAAAAAAAAAAAAAAAAAAAAAAAAAAAAAACAGAATATAGGAGAGTGAAAAAAAATGTAAACCAAAAACTCCAACCTTTAATAATAAATATATTTATGATTAACGTTCAAGTGTTTACTTTCCATAGTTTAGTTACTGAGGTCATAAAAATTCTGACATACCCAAGTGCAAAGGTGTGTTCCCCAGTCCATCTCTCTGGTTTGGGTCAGCACCATGGTCTAGAAGCAAACTTACTGAAAAGAAAGTATGAAATAGGTTGCTTTCAAAATCTTTATCAGAATTATACATTATCTTCTATTTTTTTTTTTTTTGTACATTATGTCTTTCTTTACTTCATAAAGTGAATTAAATGGTACGCTAGCAGGCCATATCAATTTGTTAATATTAAAGGAACACTATAGCATGAGGAACACAAATGTGAATTCCTGACCCTATAGTATTAAAACCACTATTTAGGCCCTCCCCCCCAAATATAGTAAAATCTTACCTTTTTCCAGCGCCTGATACGCCTCCTTGGCTGACATCGTAGAAGTGATGATCACAGTCAATCACAATGCTTTGCCATAGGAAAATTCTGAGATTCTGATGATCTCAGCCAAGGAGGCAGGGGCAGAGCCAAGTGCTACCCTAGCCATTCAGCATCTCATCATAGAGATGCATTGAATCAATGTATCTCTATGAGGAAAGTTCGGTGTCTCCATGCAGAGCGTGTAGACGCTGAACGTCCGTGCTGCATACTGTGCAACACTGACCCAGGAAGCACCTCTAGTTGCCATCTGAGGAGTGGCCATTGGAAGTGTTCTTATGCTGTAATCTAAACACTGCCTTTTCTCTGAGAAGGCAATGTTTACAACAAAAAGTAACAGAAACAGTCATGCACGATCATTCCAACTATGATTGCATAATCTTTTAATACATTTTAAATGATCACTAAAAGCATGACCATGTACAGCTATGCAATAGGCAAAAGATATATAAATACATGTTGTGACATGGCTTCTGCATACCAGACACAAAACAGAATATATATATCAATATTTAGGTGGTACATTTCCTTGTTTACATAAAACTTAAACTTCCCCAAAGTTCTTCTTACCTATCTGATCATTTCCATTGCAAGATGCGAAATGAAGCGCTGTTCGCCCTTTGTCATCTGCAGCACAGGGATCTGCTCCCTCATCAAGCAAACGCTGGACTGAAAGTGAAAACAAGAGTGAGATTAGTGCTTACATCATCATCTGTCGAGTATCACATCCAATATCAAAATCATACAATACATACCTGTGTCAAGGTCATTGCCATTTGCCGCTTCTCGTAACTTCTTTAGAGCTGCAAATTAAGAAAACATTTTGTTATACAATGTTGGATAAACTTAACACAAACATTCTGTGCCATCAGCACTTCCAAGGCAAGGCAAGAGATGTGGTCTATCCAGAAGCAAATAACCTGGTGTTTTGCACATACTGCTTACTCAATAGCTTTACTTCACATGTGGAACATCTTACCATATGAAATTACAAAGAGCAGTTTTAATATAGCTATTTGTAAAGCATGAAGGATAATATTTCCTCGGAAGGTCATTACCCATAGCTCTGAATAGGCCCAATAATTTACTTATGACCGAAATGGGTCAATTCACCAATAGCTTGACTTGCGGCTCGACAATGAGTCAGAGTGGTTGGTTTTGTACTCCTAAAATAATCCTTTACTGACATCAATGTGGAACTGGTTGAGGGGCTTAAATCAAGGCAAACTCAACTCAAGTGAGATTGTGCACAGAATCCCCTCTTAGAGACTTTCAATGCAATGTACTTTTTTCTTGTGCATGCCAGAGATGATTTTTGAATGATTCAGGAATGCTCTTAGGTCACTGTGGCTTGGTGAATAGAACCATATATTAGCTACAAACGGAAAATAAAAATACTAAAAACTAATTTTGTAAACTTTTTCAATCAATTTTTATTAATTATTTTACACAATTAAGTTAATGTTAGTGAAGAAATGGAAATCTAAAGTTAAACACTACATTGTTATGTAGTTTACATAATTTGTCATACACTGGCTCTGAATCAATCCCACCCTTCATCAGTAAAAGAGAAATAAAAGGTATATTTTACAGTCTTTCATGGAATAGCTCCTCCCACATATCGCACTGCTTGAACTGGTTATTGTGCCAAGGTACTGTTTCTGCTGCCATTTGTTTAATTTCTCAAACTGACAAAAATAGGTTTTTAAGGAACAGCTTGCTCCCTGACAAGTCCAACAAGTGACCTGTCATGTGATAACGGATCCTAGATACACATTACCATGCACAGCACCAATCATTACAGATACAGGTTTTGAACTTGAGCTTGCTCCCAGGGAGCAGCACATGCAAGTTCCTCCTTTCCACATTGACAAACCAACTTATTAATAGAAGTTGTTATGCGGGCCAAAAAGTGTAATTCCTGGCTTTATGACAAATAATGCTTTTCGGTTTAGGAATGAGCTTCCCTTTAAAAAAACAAAAAAAACATTATGTCAGTCTGAGAATTCATTAAAACACTTCCCGAACAGTACCCTGGAACCATAACCACGTCAATAAGCTAAAATGATTATTTTGCCTCAAGTGTCAAACCTAGATGTTTACAAAGTACTCTGTACTTGCATACACAATCTAAGATTTTATCCGTTTAAGAATAAAAGTAGTGATCTACTTCCCTTCTTTGAGCAGCAAGAATACTGTATGTGGTGAACTTCCTGTAAATGCTTGTGCACCTGTAACTATATCCTGAATGTAAAACAATGTAAAGGTACACTGAGCACTTATGACTTATGTTCATTGCACATGTTTAGAGTATAGATTTTCCTGATCCCAGTTTCCTTGCAAAATTGTTTTTCAAAATTCCTGCAGCTATATTACACAATGTGATGGTGATGGCTTTTTAAATCTTTGTTGTTATTCAAATGCTGTTATTTTTTCTGCTGAACATGAACAGCAGAAAAATAAAACCCACCTCCTTCTAAGCCACAACGGTAAGCAGCAGCACAATATGGCTGCTCTCAGCTAATTCTGCAGTTTCACTGAGCTGACCTACATATCCAATAAACCTCTGCGCAACAAATAAATATAGTGTCCAGGAAGACGTGGTGGATCTGGTAACCCTAACTCAGGGGTAGCCAGCCTTTAGCAGCCCAGATGTTGTGTACTGTATTTCCCATAATGTTCTTACAGCCATAATGCAGGCAAAGTATCAGGGGAGATCTAGCCCACAGCTGGAGTGCTGAAGGTTCCCAACCCTAATTAGCAAGTTTTAAAACTTTATCCCTTGTCCCATTATGCGCACCCAGCATAGCCTCCTTATTACAACACTGGATATTAAAGGAACACATCAAGCGCCAAAACAACTTAATCTAAATTAAGTTGTTATGGTGCCAAAAGGCCCCAGGGCGCATTCTTACCTTCAGGGATTAAATCTTTCTCGAACGGTTTAACCCCGAAGTTGACTCCAGCATCGATCTTACCCCGCCCCGTGGCATTCGGATTCTGAAATGTCACTTTCAGGAAGCGCAGAGTGCCGCATAGCCGGGGCACCGCTGATTGCCTGACAGTGGCCAGCCTCGGCCAATCAGTACTCCCCATTCACAAAACTGGCTGGGAAAGAAGATAAGAATGCACACAGGGGTCTCTTGGCACCATAACAACTTCATTTAGATGATGTTGTTGTGGTGCCTAAATTGTCCCTTTAAAGGAAATTGTCCACAGTAACAATAACAGTTATTGCTGGTGGCCTCTACCTCTTTTATAATAAGTTCTGTACCCCGCACCGGTCTGGCTTACCGTAGGTCTCTCTCCCCAGCGGGCACGGTCGGTGTCGGTGAAGGCGATGAGTCTTAACTCGACCCCCAGGACTTCTCCGCGGCTTCTCCGCCTCTCCCCAGAGCACTCTGAGCAGCTCGGGCACCACGGACAGGCAGAGCTCCCCGCCCGCTCCCCCCGGCCGCAGCTCGGAGGGAACAGAGCCCTGAGCCTGCTCCTCCTGCTCCATCCGCTCCACTGCAGGCTGCGGGGGAACCAACAGGCCGCAGAAACCATGGCAACAGGCGGCGGCCAATCACAGACCGCGAGGGCGACAGCTGGATCTGACGTAACGCCGGGCGAACCAATAGGAGTTTGCGCTGCTGTGCTGGTAGTAGATAGATGACAGCTACTTCCCCCTACTGTACAGTTCCCACCTGGCTGGGAGGGCTGGTCACGTGGCTGAGCAGGATAGCTACACTGAGATAAAACAGAAAGGTGTCCAGGCAGGGGGGGCAGGGGGGCAGGGGGTATACAGGCTGAGTGGGCAATGTTTACCTTAAAACAGAGAAAGATATGCTCTACTTAGGAGATCTCTAAAATAAATGTATCTCACATCCAGGGTTATTCACTGAATCTAAAAGGGGGTCAATACCCCCTGAAAAATGAATATTTTATATAGAAAGAATCCTTATGAAATACTCATCTTGACTGTGTGGGAATTTCACTGAAATTAAAGCCAAGTCAAGAAAAATACAGAAACAAAGTAGGGACTGGAACCCACTGGACCTGGAGCCTTGTCATAGGTCCAGGGTGGGTAGGAGACGGCGAGACCCCAACCAAGCTGCGGCGGTTCGTGGGGTTTGCAGTGGTTATGGTGCTCCAGCGCAGTGCTTATGGTACTCGTCAGTACTAGGAAGCAGCGATTGACAGAGGTACCCGGTCGGGGTGCAGTCGGTCCGTCACAATGTACATAGTTGAAGGAAAGGAAAAGAAAAAGGATGTCTTTTTTAACATGATATAGCACTAACAATGATGGAAATAGAAGACAATTTGGAGATCACCATAATTTGAGATATTTTGAAATTAATTAAGTAATTAACACGCATGAAAGGTTTAAATAACCTTAAGAAATATTAACTATTCACTTATGTATTTATTACATTAAGAAATATGTATTTATATATGTTATTTATTATCTCCCTCCCCCTTGATCTAATGAAAAAGAAACAATTATGGTATAATAAGGAAAACTGATATTTAACAAAAGAGGATGGGAAATCTCTTCTATTCAGAGACATATCATGTTTTCTAAATAATTGGAAAGGAGAAAAAGAGATCAGTGAGAAAGAAAAGGGAAAGAAGGGAATAAATAAGATAATATATACATTTACACGACTGAGTAAAGAAACATTAACTTAGATGATTGACAGGATGACAGGACAAGTTTTAAGGAAGGGGTAAGGAGAAAAAAGAGAAGAATAGTTTTAGGGTTTTTTTTTCTTCTTTTTTACAATAAGCCACTATCCTCTCCGCCATATTCTTATGTCAATGCTCCAACGGCAACAGTTTCCTAACTTATAGTTACTTAAGTTTTTTAGTTTTTTTTTTTTCTTTAGAGAAAGCTTAGTCTACTTGAACGATAGACTAAGATGTGTGTTTTTGTGTTTGTGCTCCGAGGGAATTAGGAAGAAATATATATGTTTTTACATTTAAACTTTGGGGAGTAAGTCAGGACTAAACGGAGAAACAGATTCATGAGGTGCATTAAAGTAGGATCGATTAACGCACAGGGACCGAATACGCCTTACAAAATAAGCTTTTTATATGAAATGTTATGTAAAAATAAGCTGGATATATGTTATGTACAAGAAACCCATTGGTAGGATAACAAAGAGTTAAAAATTGAATTATTCTAAATATCCTACAGAATTTCATTCCTCTCTTCAAAATGCTAAGAAAAGAGGGTTTGCAATAATCATTTCATCTAACATAAAATTTGAATTGATCCTCGAACAGAAAGATCCATTGGGTAGATTTAATATTCTGATTTGTAGTATAGAAGACTCTGTATATACTTTGGTTAGCATTTATGCACCCAATATATTTTCTAAAAAGGTTTTTGGAAATCTTTTTTTAAAAATTGATAAGATTAAATGAAGAAAATGAATAATTGCAGGTGACATGAACATCTTTACAGACGATATATTAGATAGAAGTAATAATAATATAAAAGAAACATTAAGACGTTATTTTAAAAAAATTGCAAAACATTTCAAGAATTATTGAATAAATTTGATTTATATGACATTTGGCGTGTCCAGAACCCTAATAAGAGAGATTAATTATATTTCTCTAAAGTTCACAAGATATACTCTAGATTGGACTTTTTTTGAATAACTCTATAAACCTAAATGAGTTTGTTAACTCAAATATAGATGTGATAACATGGTCAAATCACGCTCCAATTTTTGTTAGTATTAAACATGAATTTTATTAAGACACGAAGGCTCCTATTATGCTGCACTCTTTCTTTATTTACCTCAGCAGCAAAGAAAAATAACATTAAATCAGTATAAAAGAAACCAGTAAATAACATGAGGTATATCTTCCTAGCAACAGTAACAGCCAATCAGCATCCTCTTTATAGCATAATAGGCAGTGTCCAGTATACTACTTCCTCTTTCTTTGCTGCTCCCTCAGTTAAGTGACACTTGGTCCCATGGTTCTTAACTGTGGGATCTTTTACTTTACTTTATTCATATCATTACTGTGGTTAATATAGTTATTATAGTTATTACATTTTAATTATAATATTTTCATGTTTATACATATATTTAGTTACTTCATTTTAACGTAATTTGATTTATTTACTTCTTTTTGCGTCTGTTATATGCTTTATTATATATCCTTTGATAATGTATTTCCCCTCTGACCTCCCTGGCCCCAAGATTACCATCAATTGGGGCTCAGGGATGTCTTTGAGGATCTTTATCCCCTGAATAGTGCCATTGTGCTGTTTTTTCCCTTCATTTATCTGTCTGGCTGCTGCTCTGCCACCAACTGCCAGAAATCCAAGTTGGGGTTTAGTTGTAGTGGCAGCCGGGCAGCTCCTTTGTTTTTATATTACAATTGCTATTTCTTTTCACTATTGTGAGTACTTTCATTTCTTTATCCTGTTTAGTTATTTATTTATTTTTTACTTGAGGGTTACTCAACCCTTTACTTTTGGTATTATTTTGCTTTATTCATCCCCTTAGGTTTGTTTGTATATTTATGATGCAGTCTCACAGGATCTTTCTGTGCCTTCTGGGTCTACAGCAAACATGCAGATTAATGTAGAAGCCTCTCCAGGTATCTCTGGAGATGAGGCTGAATTTCTGCTTTACCGATCCTGCTGACATGCAGGCTTTAATTGACACTTCCATGGCAAAAGCAATGACAAGGCCCTGGTGTCAGGCCACAAGGCCTCATATAAGGCTAAACACTCCTCCAAAACAATAGAGATGGACAGTACCATACCTGTCATGGATGGCGCGATTAATTTACCACTGCGCAAAAGAGCTACTAGTCGGGCAAAATTGATTAGACTTTGGAAAAGGGCAAAAGCCCAATTAAACTCTGAATCCGAGTTCAGTGATATTGAGGAGAAGTTCACCGAGTTCTATATGGAGGTGTACCTGTACTCACACCTGCGCTGCTTCAGCCTGGCCCCAAGGCCTCATATAAGGCTAAACACTCCTCCAAAACAATAGAGATGGACAGTACCAAACCTGTCACGGATGGCGCGATTAATTTACCACCGCGCAAAAGAGCTACTAGTCGGGCAAAATCGACTAGACTTTGAAAAAGGGCAAAAGCCCAATTGAACTCTAAATCTGAGCTCAGGGATATTGAGGAGGAGTTTCCCTGAGTACTATATGGAGGTGTATCTGTACTCACACCTGCTCTGCTTCAGCCTGGCCGCAAGGCCTCATATAAGGCTAAACACTCCTCCAAAACAATAGAGATGGACAGTTCCATACCTGTCACGGATGGCGCGATTAATTTACCACCGCGCAAAAGAGCTACTAGTCGGGCAAAATCGACTAGACTGGAAAAGGGCAAAAGCCCAACTGAACTCTGAATCTGAGCTCAGTGATATTGAGGAGGAGTTCCCTGGGTCCTATATGAAGGATTCAGAGGATATTTCTGATCCTGATTATGAAATTACTGATGAAGAGGATGCTAATCCCATTTGGGATACACGTCCTGTTAAACCTACCAAGATTTAGGTAGATTATGCGGACTCAGGGACACCGATAGGATCTTGGACACTCAATGTGAACCCCTATTCGAACCTGATGACCTATGTCACCCAGTGGTCTCCTCAGACCATGTAGCCAAGTATATTGCATCCAGAGTACGCAAGCCTTTTGAGAAGGCAAAGTGAAATAAATTGCGGGCTGAATGGCCACACCGAACAGTCCCTGATGACTCATGTTAAACGCTATCAGTCAATCCTAAAATCATTCAATTCCTGAGTAAGACAGGATGGAAGCCATCTAAAGGCTTAGATTTTCATTGCAAAACTGTCAGGATAAAATCCTGGGCATCTTGGGCTCAGCAGCCAAGATCTTTGAAGCAGTGGAGGATGATCTAGAATTAGATTGCGCTATCTTAAGTGGTTAGATCCAGAGAGTAATTTAAGTTGGCAACGCCAACAATGCGGTTGTCATGGAACGCCACAAATCGATCTTGCTCAAGATTGAGCCCAAACGTTTAACTATGGCTTTGAACGAACCAGATAACACAGGCAAAAGGTTTTCTCTTTGGGGACAACTTTGTAAAAGAATTGGGCTCCTTTGTCCTGCTAAACAAACAGAAGTTGTTTTAGACAGAACCAAGGCTCTTATACTTGCAGAGCCGATTTCTTTGAACAATGCACTATACCAACCTCCTTCTCGCAAAGTGGCCGACCCTGGATTGTTAGTGGCCTAAGAGGTGCTCCTAAGACGTCTTCACAATTTCCATTCTTTCTTACTGATAGTGGGGGGCAGGCTCACACATTTTTCCCATGTATGATCCCTCATTTCATCAGATGCTTAGGTTCTTCACACTGTGAAAGGGTATTGCATAGACTTCCTTTCTCTACTTGTTCAATGTTCCCCATCAAGGGAAATTGTTTTTTCCCAATGAGACACAGACCTTGTCTCTGTGGACAATCAATTGTAGAGATTCTGGCGCATACCCTGGGTTACGTGAGCAACCTTTTCTTGTTTCCCAAAAAAGGCAAAGGTATCCGTCCAGTGATAAATTTGAGACTGCTCAATAGTTATGAGCATATCAGCACTTCCAAGATGGAAGGAGAGCATTGTTTAAGGGATCTTCTCCAACTAGCAGATTGGATGGCCAAATTGAATCTGCAGGATGCATATCTCACAGTGCCTATCCCAGTACAACATCAAGATCGAGAACTTCCTGCAATTTACATGGTAGGGCAGTAAATAGAGGTTCAGGTGCCTCCCATTCGGACTGTCTTCGGCTCCATGGTGCTTCACCAAGCTCACATCTTATAATATATTTAGATGGCATTTTCATTCTGGCTCAGTCTGTTCAATTAATCCGAACATACCTTGCATGGACTTTGACTCTGTTAGAGAACCTAGGCTTCCTGACCAATTGGGAGAAATCTTTTATCGTTCCCACGCAACAAATAAAATTTCTGGGTTATATTGGATTATTGTAGCTTCTACCCTTCAAACTCTACACCATCCGGTGGCAAAATTAGCCAATATAAAGAAGGAGATAGGCGAACACTAGCAACCTCTCAACTCTCTCTCAAACAACTGTTGAGAATGTTAGGCCTTCTAGCGGCATCTATAAAGGCCATTTCTACAGGTCTTCTTGGCTATCGAGCCCTACAACGATTACAAACTTCATCTCAAGGGCAGCACATCATACACAGATATGGTAACTCTGGACTCAGAAGCGGAGAATGAACTCCAATGGTGGCTTCTTCACATGGAAGCTTGGAATAAGCACGCCATATTTTGTACAGCTCCAGATTTGATAATCAAATCCGACGCAAGTTTGCACGGTTGGGGTGCTCAATGCAGTACTATTTCCTCCAAGGGCAGAGAATCAAACCTGGAATCAACATTCCACATCAATTGTTTGGAACATCTGGCCGGTTCCTTTGCAGTCCATAGTTTCTCCCCAACTCAAGCCCAATGCGCTATCCTTCTGAAGATGGACAACGTGACAGCAGTCCGCTACATCAATCACTTGGAGGCACAAAATACAAAATTCTGACCTACATGCCTCGTGATTGCCAGCAATTTTGCCTGAGACATGGCATTTCAGTCACGGCAGAATATATTCAAGGTCTCTCCAACACTACGACGGACTGGTATTCACGCCAACTCGGAGATTCCAGCGACTGGCACTTGGATTCCATGGTCTTCCAAGACATCTGGAACCTATGGGGTCTATTGGAAATAGATCTTTTCGCTTCTCATTTGAATGCTCAACTTCCCCGTTTTTTCAGTTGGAGACCAGATCCGATAGCACTGGCTATGAATGTTTTCTCCAAGGAATTATGATTTTTTGCCTTTCCATCTACATCGCCAGTCCGGCACCTGTTGATCGTGGCTCCTCTATCGCCGTCCCAACCATAGTTCTCTTTTCTTCAGGAGATGTTATCGACCTTCCATCTCTCGAGTGCCTTCTTCAGGATCCAGATGGTGTACCTCATCCTCTTGTTCTCCAAGGTCTCTTGCATCTCATAGTGTAGTCTATTTCAGGGAACCTTGGTCGGTCAAGGGAGTTTCGCAATCAACTCCCCAACTTATCAAGGGTGCACCCAACACGAGACAGGCTTATAAATCTGCTTGGAGCAGATGGCATAGTTGGTGCATGAAATTAAATTTAAATCCCATATCGGCTCCTTTTATGTCTGTCCTCCATTTTTCTGACTTCTATGATGAAGGTAAAGCCTATCGCACTGTGGACCATTTCTGCTAGCCATCAAAGTTTTGATTGGACGCCTGTCGGTTGACATCCTGTCATATATTGACTTCTCTGAGGAATATGGTTTGCTCATTCACCCTTACCACGATACTCTGTCTTGTGGGACGTCTCTATTGTCTTGAATTTTTTTTTTTTTTTTTCAAGAGGTTTTTCTGACGTACGAGCTCGTGAGGTGGTTGCTTGTTCCTTTACTCCAGAAGGTGTCCTCTTTGACATTTCACGGAGGACAAAAACCTCCTCTAAAATCTATCTTACCCAGTTTTCCCTGATAGATCTCTCCTTTGCCCTGTTGCATACTAATGGGTGTTCTACTACGTTACAGAATCCTTTGAAACAGGAACTCTTTATCTCCATCCAAAAGTCGCATCTTCCGGTGTCTACTCTAGCCTGGTGGGTCAAATACGTTATGTCTCTAGCAGGTATTGATACCTATGTGTCTGTGCCTCATTCGGTTAGTAGGGCAATGGCTTCTAAGGCTTCCTCGATTGGTTGTCGCTTGGAGGATATTATGAGAGCGGCTGGTCTTCGGAGTCTACATTCCATGATTTCTACTTTAGACCTATTCAACACTTCACAGGAGACATAATTTCACAGCTTTGAACTAGCATAATAGGAGCCTCCGTGTCTTAATAAAATTTACAGATTTTACTATTAACATGGCGTAAAGTCATGATTTTATTAATGACACGGAGGCGAGTATTATCCCTCCCTCCCATCCCTGGAGATTTGGTCTTCTCTGGGTAAGTTGATTTCACGGTAAGTCTTTTTTGATTACTGGGTTTTATCCTTGTTAATGACTGTCAAGAGCTTAAGGTTTGACTAAACTGAATTTCATGTTATGTGTATATATATATCTGATATTTCATGTAATGCGAATTTATGCATAAATCCAGTTTTATACTTGGATATTACCATATTCTCTTTTCTCTTCCAGCTTGACTTCGAGATCCAGTTTAAGGCTTGTATACCCTCTAATTGGAGCCCACTTTTTATTTGGATTTGTTGTCCTTGTTCGGGATCGCAAGAAAGAGGAAGTAGTATACTGGACACTGCCTATTATGCTATAAAGAGGATGCTGATTGGCTGTTGCTGTTGCTAGGAAAATATACCTCATGTTATTTAATGGTTTCTTTTATACTGATTTAATGTTATTTTTCTTTGCTGCTGAGGTAAATAAAGAAAGAGTGCAGCATAATACTCGCCTCCGTGTCATTAATAAAATCATGACTTTACGTCATGTTAATAGTAAAATCTGTAAATTAAATATTAAAGGCAGATCCTCGTGGAGACAATGAAAGTCTATTGGAAGAAAAAAAATAAAGAGTACTTGATGAAGTAAAGTAAAGACAAATAAGTCAATGAGACCTGATGGAATACACCCAAAGTTATTAAAAGAGCTTAGTGGTGCACTAGCAAACCATTTACTGATTTATTTAACCAATCATTGTTAACAGGAGTAGTCCCAGAAGATTGGAAGTTAGCGAATGTTGTGCCCATTCACAAGAAAGGTAGTAGGGAGGAGTCAGGCAACTATAGGCCAGTATGCCTTACTTCAGTAGTGGGGAAAGTAATGGAAACCATGTTAATGGATGGGATTGTTGAACATCTAAAAATCACATGAATTTCAAGACCAGAGACAACATGGGGTTACTTCAGAGAGATCATGCCAAACTAACCTTATTGATTTTTTTTTGATTGGGTAACTAAAATAATAGATCAGGGCGGTGCAGTAGACATTGCTTACCTAGATTTCAGTAAGGTTTTTGACACTGTTGTGCACATTGAAGGCTTATCAATAAACTGCAATCTTTAAATTTGGATTCCAATATTGTTTAATGGGTAAGGCAGTGGCTGGGTGACAGGCAACAGAGGGTTGTAGTCAATGGAGTATATTCGAAGCATGTGTTTGTCACAGTGGGGTAAATCAGGGATCTGTACTTGGACCCATTCTTTTTAATATTTTTATTAGTGATATTGCAAAAGGTCTGATGGTAAGGTTTGTCTTTTTGCTGATGATATTAAGATATGTAACAGGGTTGATGTTCCAGGAGGGATAAGCCAAATCGCAAATTATTTAGTTAAACTAGAATAATGGTCAGAGTTGTGGCAACTGACATTTAATGTGGATACTGAGAGGGTAGTGGATGAATGGAATAGCCTTCCAGCTTAAGTGGTAGAAGTTAACACAGTAAAGGAGTTTAAGCATGTTTGGGATAGACATAAGGCTATCCTAACTATAAGATAAGACCAGGGACTAATGAAAGTATTTAGAAAATTGTTCAGACTAGATGGGCTGAATGGTTCTTATCTGCCGTCACATTCTATGTTATTACATGCAGAGATGCTCCCGTTCTGCTGAACGCTGCTGGAGGAAGTCACGCACCCAGTCTGACTTCCTCCACTACAAATTCATGTTGCGTTCATACAGTACAGCCCTTGTCCTTGCCAAACAGTCATACTTTTACTCCGTCATTAGCTCATGCCCCCGAAATCACAGGTGTCTTTTTAATACTTTTATCTCCCTTCTTTGCCCTGCTGTGGCCACCCCCCAAACTAACCTTACAGCAGATAGCTTTGCATGTTACTTTACCAACAAGATTGAACAGCCAAGGAAATAATTCTCACCACCTTGCCCCTCTCTTTCTTAACCACACCTAGGTCATGCCTTTCCTACCCTTCAGACTTTCTCCCAGGCTACTGAACAAGAGGTGCCTGTGCTTCTCCTCTCCTCTCGACCCACCACTTGCCCGCTTGATCCTGTCCCATCTTACCGTATCAGATCGCTCTCCTCTTGTGACTTCTTTAACACACATCTTCAGCTGCTCTCTCTCTTTTGGTGTTGTCCATGCTGCCCTTAAACATGCTACTGTAGTAACCATCTTAAAAAAAATAAAATAAAAAAAATAGATCTCTTGACCCATCTTCCCCTTCTAACTATCGTCTCATAGCCCAGCTCCCTTTTTCCTCAAAGCTTTTGGAAAGTCTTGTCTTTACCCGTCTGACTTGCTTCCTCAATTCCAACTCTCTCTTTGACCCTCTTCAGTCTGGCTTCTGCCCCTCCACTCTACTGAGACTACTCTTATTAAAGTCACTAACAACTTAATCGCAGCTAAATCCAAATGAACAAGGCTAATGGCCATTAACATATCAAAAGAGATTGACTCATCACTTACAAGGTACATGCCAAATGGATGAACAGACATTCAGATTTTTTTCCAAGTTCAGAACCTCACACCTTGCAGAGCCTTGTTTAATTCACATCCATATGGTAAAATCCTTTTCACATCCCTATGTCATTCAAACTACCCCTTCTGTCATCTGACCTCGGTGGGGGGGGTCCCAGCTTCAAAAGATGTAACCCCCTTTGACCATAAACAATACCATCTCTGTCAGGCCAGCAGGTCTTTAGTGCACTACACAAATTACATTAAAGGACAATGTTTCAAATTATGCACCCCTGCCATGACACCTCCCCCAAATAAGAGACGCAATGGGAGAGGCTCACATGCCTCTACCTTGAGTAGCAACACTTGTTCCTTTTTGCCCACACATCATACACTTGTCTTTTTCAGAACTCTGTTTATGCATGAATGAGGTACCCTCCTGTGTTCGCATACCTCCCCCAAAAAGGCTTGCCTTTAGTCCCTAAGCCATGTCACAGCCATATCCATAACACACAGGCCTGATTTGCCTGTTTCCAGCTCCCACTGCTGTCTGGTCACATCTCTTTTCACAACCCCTTTTGACCTTGACAATACCATTTCTGCCAGGCCCTTAATGCACTACACAAATTACATTAAAGGACAATATTCCATAGTGCAATAATAAATTATATTGCCGTGACCTCATTTACCTCATTTAGATTCCAATACCACCTGTACGCTGATGACACTCAGATATACTTCTCCTCCCCGGCCCTTTCTCCTGCTGCCCTGCAACGTGTCACTGCTTGCCTTTCTTCCATCTCTGATTGGATGCTCTCCAGCTTTTTGAAACTCAATCTCTAGAAAACTGAACTCCTTGTTTTTCCTCCTTCCAATACTGATCCCCCTCTTTCACTCTCCCTTCAAGTGAGTGGTACCCACATCAGTACATCCTTGCAAGTGCGCTGTCTTGGTGTCATACTTGATTCTGGCCTCACATTTGAGCCTCACATCCAGTCTGTTACCTTTATAGTATACTAGTATGAGCTTGGAAGATACTTCTCCAGCCGCGGGCAGCAGTGGCGGATCCAGAAGCTAATCTCGGGAGGGGCACTGGCAGATTATTTTAAGAAACAATCCAGGCACAATAACCACTACAGCTCTCTGTAGTGGTTTTGGTGCCAGGAGTTGCTGTGGCGCCCTCCCAGAGTAAGTAGTCAAACCGTTTAAAACGTTTGAAAACTTACCCAGGTCTGCCGGGATAGGGGTTGTAGTGTGTATGTGTGAGGGGTGCAGTGTGTGTGAGGGTCGCAGTATGTGTATGGAGGGGTAGTGCGTGTGTGAGAGGGGTGCAGTGTATGTATGGGGTAGCAATTTGTATATTGGGAGCAGTTTGTGTGTAAAGGGTGCAGTGTGTGTATTGGGAGCAGTGTGTTTGTGTGTGAGTGGCGCAGTGTGTTTTTGTGTGAGGGGTGCTGTGTGTGTATGGGGGACAGTGAGTGTATTGGGGCTGTGTGTGTATTGGGGCTGTGTATGTAAGAGGGGGGCTGTGTGTGTGTAAGGGGGGCTGTGTGTGTGTAAGGGGGGCTGTATATTTGTGTGTGGTGCAGTGTGTAGGGGGTTATAGTTTGTGTTAGGGGATAGGGGGGCAGATTAAAGATATTTTTTTATTATTATTAAATAACTAAATAAATATAGCTAATGTCCCCCCTCCCTTCTTACCTTTGCTGAGGGAGGGGGAGACACTGCTTTCTCTTCCAGTCCCTGGTGGTTCTAGTGGGGGAGTGAACTCTTACCTGCAGCTCAGGCTAGAGTTCACTCTTGCGAGAACGGAGCGTTGCCATGGTAGCGAGAGGAGAACCCGGCGGAGCTGCAGGTAAGAGCTCCCCCGGGTTCTCTCTCCCTCGCCCTCCCCTGCCGGCCGCCCAGCAATCTGCCTGTGTGGGCCAGGGAGGGAGATCACTGATCTCCCCTCCGGTCCGTGATGGCAATCAGCAGGGCTGGTGCTTGGATAGCACCAGCCCTGCATGGGTCGGCAGGGGAGAGCCTCGGGCCGCAATATTTTCTCGGGGGGGCAATTTGCCTGATGATCAGGGCTGTCTGTCCGGTCCAAGGTGCCGCGGCCCACTGGGAAATTTCCCAGTAGGCCAGTCCGGCACTGGTTATGGGGTTAAATATAGGGCTTGCCAATTAAATTCTATGGACTGTCTGCATAAATCAAATAATGTAAAATTAATATATATATATATAGCGCTCCCAGGTCCCAGCACTCTATGCTCTCGGTCTTTCAGTTGCTCCGGTGCAAAATCTCCCACCAAATAGTATATAATCCAAGTAGAGAGCACTCTGGAGTCTTTGTAATAAATTCAAACTGTTGCTTTATTAAGCAAATACAATGATAAAAATTAGAAGTAAAATTATACGGATTTATAATTTGTATCAATGTATTTGCTTAATAAAGCAACAGTTTGAATTTATTACAAAGACTCCAGAGTGCTCTCTACTTGGATTATATATATATATATATACACACACACACACACACGTTTTTTTTTTTAAATTTCTAATATATATATATATATATATATATATATATATATATATATATATACACACATCCCTCCCTGTCACAGGTGCATCATTTCAGGACCCTATTCAGCCTTGACTTGCAGAGAGTCCCAGTGGATTTATCTCATAACAGCAAGCATTAGGCTGCTAGAATAGGACCTGCCAAGAATGGGGTACATTGACGTTGTGGCAGGCTTATGCAATATATGATCATATAGTGTAACTAAAACTCTTATTATTTTTTGCCTAGGTGAGGTGTTTTTTAAAAAACTATTACAATCTCTAAGATTTGAAATCAGTGTTTAGTGAATAAGCGAGTGAGCTGGATATATACACACACACACACACACTTTTATTTCCTATATGTATAAATATATTGTAAAATAATGAAAACATTTTATAATATACATATTTAATGCATATATATGATTACATTATAATTGTATTTTGAGAATTATGTGTTTATATCTCAAAGTACACTTATAATGCAATTATATATATGCCTTATATATGTATAAAATATTATAAAATGCTTTAATTATTTTATCAAAAAACAACCAATAATAATGTACCTTATACACCTTAATATATATGCAAAGATACTTATCAAATAAGGATGAATACAGCCTCCCTCAGATCGCTTCCCAGCTAGCGATCAACTTGACAGCAAAATGTAGAAAAAACAACGAGGGAACCGGCTGATAATCTCTACAAAAGTAAATAAAGAGAATATAGTGTAATACAGTTTACAGTATAGACATTGCGCAAAATGAAATGCACTCACTGGATTTTAGACAAATTGAAGCTTGTAAGATGCCTCCCCCGATAGTATGGGGGGCCTAGGGAAATCCCCTGGATGTTTTCACTCCAACACAGGACTCCGGGTGAAGTTTGGAAAGATGGCTTTAATTCAATATTAAAATATGTTTAAAAATAAATAAAACAAATATAAATAAGGACCTTATTTATATTTGTTTTATTTATTTTTAAACATATTTTAATATTGAATTAAAGCCATCTTTCCAAACTTCACCCGGAGTCCTGTGTTGGAGTGAAAACATCCAGGGGATTTCCCTAGGCCCCCCATACTATCGGGGGAGGCATCTTACAAGCTTCAATTTGTCTAAAATCCAGTGAGTGCATTTCATTTTGCGCAATGTCTATACTGTAAACTGTATTACACTATATTCTCTTTATTTACTTTTGTAGAGATTATCAGCCGGTTCCCTCGTTGTTTTTTCTACATTTTAATTATTTTATACATATATAATATATGTATAATATATTTATTTTATTATTATTAAGTTTTTTGTGTTTTTTTACACATTTTAGCTGCCTGACAGCTTAGACAGTCCCCCTGCAGGCAACTCCATAGACTTCTATTGTGGCCATGTGATCATGGTAATCACATGGCCCTGGAGGGCCGGAGCTGCTGCAGGGGAACTGCTAGGGTCTCGTGCAGACCCCATGTACCGGGATCACCGGTCCAGGTAAGTCCAGGGCAACTATTTGCCACGGACGCACCAGGTACGCCCGAGGTCATTAACAACCGTTTTTTGTCGTATAATTAAAGCATTTTATAATATTTTATACATATATAATGCATATATATGATTGCATTATAATCGTACTTTGAGATATAAACACATAATTCTCAAAATACAATTATAATGTAATCATATATATGCATTAAATATGTATATTATAAAATGCTTTCATTATTTTATAATATATTTATACATATAGGAAATAAAAGTGTGTGTGTGTGTATATATATATATATATATATATATATATATATACAGAATCCAGCTCACTCGCTTATTCACTAAACACTGATTTCAAATCTTAGAGATTCCTGGCACTATAGCCCCTCTGCCAACCCCCTCCAAGGTGAATATAGGGTTAAAACCCCTCTATTTACGTACCTTATCCCAGCGCCGATCTCCATCGGCACTAGTTAGTGGCTCCGCCTCCTCCAACGACAAGCGGGCGCTAATACGCATGCGTGGCAAATGCCTCGTGCGCATTAAATCTCCCCATAGAAAATGATTATCATTACATTACATTATCATAGTCGCATCTGGCGTTAAGTAGGGTTGGATGTGCGCAATGTTTTTGAGATGGAAGCAGCAGGATTTGGCAATTGACTAGAAATGAGGGGTGAAGGAGAGGTCACCTAGGAAGCGAGCCTGCGTGGTGCAGCGGATGGTAGCACCATTAATGTGGAGGGAGACAGAAACGGGAGTAGCAACACTTGAGGGAGGAAAGACCAGAAGTTCTGTTTTGGACAAGTTGAGCTTAAGGAAGTGGGCAGTCATCCAGTTAGAATTAGCAGAGAGGCAGTCAGAGACACTAATCAAGAGGGTACGGGAAGAGATGAGGGGAGGACAGATAGATTTGCATGTCATCCGCATAGAAGTGATATTGAAAGCCAAAGGAGTTGATGAGTTTACCAAGGGAGGCAGTATAGATCAAGAACAGTAGGGGACCAAGGACTGAACTTTGGGGGACAAGGTGTCACAAAGCCAGAAAAAGAAACACTAAAAGAGCGCTGGGAGAGGGAGGAGAAGCACAGGGAGAGAGCAATATCTTGTAGACGAGATTACAGAGGATGAGAAGAAGCTGTTGAGGATCAACAGTGTCAAAAGCAGCGGTAAGGTCAAGGAGAGTGGGGGGTTGGGGGGCAGAAAAGGCAGAGTCAGAAAAAGAAACACTAAAAGAGAGCTGGGAGAGGGAGAAAGAGCACAAGGAGAGAGCAATATCTCGTGGACGAGATTACAGAGGATGAGAAGAAGCTGTTGGGGATCAACAGTGTCAAAAGCAGCGGTAAGGTCAAGGAGAGTGGGGGGTTGGGGGGCAGAAAAAGCAGAGTCAGAAAAAGAAACACTAAAAGAGAGCTGGGAGAGGGAGAAAGAGCACAAGGAGAGAGCAATATCTCGTAGACGAGATTACAGGGGATGAGAAGAAGCTGTTGAGGATCAACAGTGTCAAAAGCAGTGAAAAGGTCAAGGTGAATTGGGGGGGGGGGGACTGTCGCTGGATGTCCTCATCCAGAGCCGCTGTCTAGACTCAGAGGTCTCAAGTGTCCCTATTTTTTTCTCCTTATATCTCTTGACTTGGTTGGAATTTCATTGAAATTCCAACACAGTCAATATGATTATTTCATGAAGAATTTGTCTTAATGACATACTATTTTTTTCAAGAAGAGGGAATTTGTTACTGTGCACCTTTCTAACATAGAAGCCCAGAGAGACCATGTATTTTTAATATTCTTCTGACTTATCTAGAGAAAGCAACTTGTTCGCAAAAAACAACAACTTTATTCTAATGAGAATTACTCTCTATGGATTATTGCTACCATCATCATGTTCAGCTCTCCTGTGCACTGCATGACACCATATATGCGATAAATAGTGTATGAATGTGAATAAGCAAAGATTGTATCAAACCCCCACATAGAGCCGCCCATATGCACGTTTTCTTGGTCGCACTTTATTCAACCAATCATCTATCGCGTAACAAAAAGCGGTAGGGAAGGCACTGTTGTATTGACGACGTTGATTGGATGAAAGTATTACCGGAATCCACGTCATAGAACTGCGCCGGAAGAGGCTGCCTCTCTTTTTCCAACCAGTGTGCGTGCTCTGTACCTGCTGCTGCTGCCGTTCGTTGTGCGGCACCATGTCTTTCCCCACCGAAGAATTCGAAGTGAGTGCTCAGGGTCACATTGATATAGAGCCTCGTTAACTGAAAGCATTATGGCAGCAGCTAGTTTGTGAGTGTTACTGATTGGGTTTGAATGGGTAGCTGCACCGTTGGTGGAGGCAGGGGTGTTGGCCTAACCATATTCAGAATACTGGATAAAAGCTCATAGCTGCTGATTGCTGTTGGATAATAACCCACCGTTATCTTTATATTACAATTCACAGCAGAAAAAAAAAGTTTATTCCTTAAACCAGAGAACATGGAGATTTGGAAAACTAATTGTAATTTTAGACCAATTTTAGTAAAACAGCTTAATTGGCAAATGTTTCGAGTTCGGCTAGCATTTAGTATTCTATGCTGATACTCCACAATTCTGTATTTAATAAACTGATCGTGACTTAGTATGTTTTTATGTACTGTAGTACTACTTATGGAAAACTTTTTAATGTTGACTAAAGTAACGTTTACTACATGTTTAATGTTATTTTGCCTACCATATTTTATGTTTAAGTTTAAGGTATTCTATTGCAATTTTTTTCCTTTTTCCTCCCTAGACACCGTATGATCCATACACTTATCAAGCGGCGGATTATGATATGCACACAGGTATGTTCCGCTGACTTATATCCTGTGAAGCTACAGTGTCATATAAGTGACCTGACCAGTTCAGGTTTTACAGTTAGAATTTTGATTTAGTGGTTATATATCTAATTTTGGGGCATTAAAGCAGTTTGTTCAAATTTATCTGCAAAGTTCTACCATTTGTGAAAGTAGATACTCCAGATACTACCTTGTTAGTGTTTCTTTGAACCCGTTGTTTCTCATTGCAAATGCATCCTGTTTGTTCATCTTGTTACAGGAGACCCTAAGCAAGACCTGGCATATGAGCGGCAGTATGAACAACAGACTTACCAGGTCATCCCTGAGGTGATCAAAAACTTCATTCAGTACTTTCACAAAACCGTTTCTGACCTGATTGACCAGAAGGTTTATGAGCTACAAGCCAGCAGAGTGTCTAGTGATCTAATCGATCAAAAGGTTTATGAGATTCAAGACATCTATGAAAATAGGTTAGTGCTGTCACCTTGCTTTCCAGAAAGAGGGTTTTTGTTGACAGTCTTATGTTGTGGAAATTAATCACTCTGTGTGTGTATATGTGTGTGTGTATGTGTGTGTGTGTATATATATATATATATATATATATATTTATATATATTTTTTTTTTTATTTTTTTTTTTTTTTTTACCTTACTCACTCTTTTCATCCTGCAGTTGGGCAAAGTTGACAGAGCGTTTTTTCAAGAACTCTCCCTGGCCTGAGGCAGAAGCCATTGCCCCCCAAGTAGGAAATGGTGAGTAGATGTGGGTTTTTGCAATAAAATTGTCTGTTTTGCAGTGGTGTTGAAAATAATTTTATGTTGTAAATCGGATATGGTTTGTGTTTGCAAGTTCTTAATTGTGGGGAGTCCTGAATCTCAGCTGTGGCTGTTCGTGCTTGGACCATACGTTCCAGCAGACCGAGTCTGATAACTGTTTCCATTTGAGCCCAGAAACTGTGTGGATCTGTGTGAACTCCTTTTTTGGCTTGTGATTCTGGAAGGTTTTTTTACACTCTAATTTGGAAATAACGTTCAGTTTCAGTCTTTTGATAGGGTGCATTGTCCAGACAGGAGAATACAGAAATATAAATATTTAAATAGCTTATTTAATTACACCTGTGCTCCTGACAGTGTCCTGAAGTGGGTTTGTTACAAGATCAATTAGTGGTTGATCTTGTTCTTAAATATGTTTGCTTCCCTGATATTGTTCCTTTTCCATATTATTTACTTGTCAGAACTCCCTTGTCTTATAGCGTGTGTTTTTTTTTTTTTTTTTGATACATTGTCCTTTGGACCTTTTTAAGGAAACTATATTAAATATGTAGATTCCTTTTTAGGAGTACTGTATGAATGAGACCTAGCAGTTAAACGCTTTTACCTTCATAATTTCAGATGCTGTGTTCCTGATTCTGTACAAAGAACTGTATTACAGACACATATACGCCAAAGTCAGTGTAAGTATCTGCAGGAGTAGATTGTGCTCTATAGCCTACTATAATCTATATTGGAGGCTAGCCCGAGTAACACGCATTCTTATTAAAAGATTTCCAAAGTTATGTAAATGTGTGGTTTACTCACACAGTAGTAGTTTGTTAGGTGCATTTATACTGTCAATGTATTTTGTATTGCACTCCACAGATAGTAATGAACTTTGAGTTTGGACTCTTTGAAAGTTTGGTGCTTTCCCTTAAAAGCATTTTTAAAAGTAATTCTTTCAAATGTGGATTATTAAAGTGAATATTCAGAGACTGGTACTTAAATTGCATTTTATGCACAACATAGTGTCTGGACAAGTTGGTGGTTCCTGAGTAATTACGAAGTCATCTTAAGTGTTCAATAGTTCTGTACAAATAACATGCCGAGGAAGATAAAGTGCTACAGAACTGGTTAACATTGGCATCTTTCCTCTGATTACTTTACAGGGCGGACCAACGCTGGAGCAACGATTTGAATCTTATTACAACTACTGCAACCTTTTCAATTACATTCTCAGTAAGTGTACAAGACTGACATTTACATGTTCACTTTGTTAAAGAAGCACTATAGTGCCAGGAAAACAAACCCGTTTTCCAAGCACTATAGGGTTACTAGGTTCCCCCATTCCTGCTGGGTTGAAGGGGTTAAAGCTCAATCAGCCACTTACCTTAATCCAGCTTCTGGCTCCCTTGGCGCTGGTTACCTCTCCTCCCACTGCCGAAGTCAGCTCCCGACTGGAGCCGCATGTGCAGCCAGAGCCGTGCGCACATTCAAGCCGCCCATAGGAAAGCACTATTCAATGCTTTCCTATGGGGATCTGAACTTGCGCTGCGTGAGATCAATGCGATTTTCATACTGAGAATCGCGGAAGCGTCCTCTAGTGGCTGTCAGGGAGACAGCTACCAGAGGATGGATTAACCCTGCAGTGTAAACATAGCAGTTTCTCTGAAACTGTTTTCAGCTGCAGGGTTAAAACTAGGGGGACCTGGCACTCGGACCACTTAATTGAGCTGAAGTGGTCTGAGTGCCTATAGTGGTCCTTTTAATGTGTGTATGTATACTTGTTTACAAAAATAGAGTAGCTCTGAGTCTGTACATGACTCTGATAAATGTAGCTTATCCTCAGAGGTAATATTTAACAGTGTTTTTGATGTATACTCATAAACAGTTATACTTGTATCATAATTATCAGCTAGAGTGTGACTTCAGGGCAACGCCATTTTTATTAATTAAATGCTCGGTGCAGTGTATCTAATAAGTATGTACGAGATCTATTATATGTCATGGCCTAATAATCTTATTTTTTACTTTAGATGCAGATGGTCCTGCTCCACTGGAACTTCCAAACCAATGGCTTTGGGATATAATTGATGAATTTATATATCAGGTATTGTTAAAAATGTTGTTCCTCTTATTTTGCTATCTCATCAAAGTACCTCACATGCCTATTTGTCTTCAGTCTTCTAGTTTGAAAATTAAATGTTTTGCTTTTAGCATGATTTCCATTTTCTTCTAAAATATATATATTTTTCCCTACTTCATTGCCACAGTTCCAGTCTTTCAGTCAGTACCGATGCAAAACAGCCAAGAAATCAGAAGAGGAGATTGAGTTTCTGCGTTCCAACCCAAAAATCTGGAACGTGCATAGTGTTCTGAATGTTTTGCATTCCTTGGTGGACAAATCCAACATTAATCGTCAGCTAGAGGTTTACACAAGTGGAGGTGAGACTATTTCTTTGTATACCTTCTAGGTTTCATGTTTTACAAATGTCCCAGTCCACTTACCTGTGATTATGGTGTTCTATGGGAACAATGTTTGAAATTAAGAATTTGAGGATGGATGGTGCACTTGACTGTGATCTGTAGGTCTGTATTCTACCATGCTGCTCCTTAAGTGATGCTATAAGTTCTGATTTATTTACTTATTTTGAGAGGTCTTGTAAAACTGTAAATTTAAAATATCTAAATATTGATGTCTTATGCTGCTGATTGTTTGCATGTGTACTTTGCTCTCACTGGAGATACTTTAAACCGAGGGTAGGCAACATTTGGCCCTTCGGATGTTGTGGACTACATCATAATGCTGGCAAAGCATCAGGGGAGATGTAGTCCACAACATCTGGAATGCCAAACGTTGCTTACCCCTGCTCTATACCAATGCTAAATGGAACGGTCATGTGAATAAAAGAATAGTTTTATATTCGATTGTTAAACGGTTTCTTTTGGTGTATGAGTAATCTTTTTTTATAAAGCACAAGCAGTTCATTGTAGTACCTTCTATTGTACAATGCCATGGAAGATGACCCCTGAAAAAGATTACATGCATTAACATATGCATACAGATACATTGGAGTGCAGAAGGATCAAGAGTCCTGTTTTTGCAAGCTTACAGGATTTTGCGGGTTATAGGGTCATTGAGCTGTTTTTGTTTGTGAATAACTGGAATGCTAACTGGGTGATGAAATGGACCACTTTGAATAAGCAGTTTTGGATTATCACTTGGAATTCCATGCTTGATGTAATGAGGGGGGCTGTTGGGGCTTCTAGAACAGGACACCAAACATTTAACAAGTAACAGTGTTATTTACTAAAGGCTGAATTGAAAGAGAATTAGAAATTTAAGGACAGAGTAGCCAAAATGAAAGCATAGCTGACTTAGAGAGTTTTTCCAGTTCCACCATTTTGACCTTAAATTTTAAATTCAATTAGAATTTTTGCTTGCGTGAATAACTCTTTTAATCTAGCTAAGGTGTTCTTGGTGAATATAAGAGGGTCTAGGCATTTGTCTATAATGAATCAATGGGCTCTGGGTTTAGTGAGCTTGTGATATTTTCTGTAGTATCTGTGCACATTAAGATATAGGATGATTGCTCAAATTCATGTGACTGTAGTCTACCTTGCATGATTAACTTATTTGAATAATTAGACATTTCTTAGTGCCAAATATTTTTATAGTGTCTAACTACTAGTAACGTACTTACTGCAAAAGCATGGTGATTTGGTTTGTCCGTGATCCACTATTGTGTGACATTTTTGCATATAGGAAAGTTATAGTTGCATGTTTTTTGATAATTCTTTGTTTCTAGGTGACCCTGAGAGTGTGGCTGGAGAGTATGGACGACACTCTCTGTACAAAATGCTTGGATACTTCAGCCTGGTTGGACTTTTGCGTCTTCATTCGTTACTTGGTGATTATTACCAAGCTATCAAGGTCTTGGAGAACATAGAACTCAACAAGAAGGTATGTGTTTTACATGCTAGATTTTTGTAGCTGCTCTGCTCTTCTACAGCTGTTTGCTCATTTCAAATGTGATCTCCTTTCTGATGGTCTTCTTTCAGATGCATTGTGACTACTCTACAACCCCTATCTAAATGAAATTACTTTCTACCCCTACAGAGCATGTACTCTCGAGTTCCAGAGTGCCAGGTCACTACATATTACTATGTGGGCTTTGCATACCTTATGATGCGAAGATATCAGGATGCTATTCGAGTGTTTGCCAACATTTTGCTGTATATCCAAAGGACGAAGAGCATGTTTCAGAGGACTACATACAAGTACGAAATGGTAAGACTTCTTAATTGTTTCTTCTATTGAATATTACTTTACCAACCTTAACTCTGTTTTATGAATGAGTGGCAAGAGAGAACTTATCTCATTTACTTTGAGTCTTGCTGTTTTTTTTTTTTTTTCCTCTCCACTCTGAACGTTCTTTACCCTCATTTGTCATATCACTGTTCAATTTCATCACGGTTTTCCCTTTACTGTGTCAATCTTCCACTTACATGTAGTTTGTCTCTTGATTTTTTTATTTTTTATTTTACAGATAAACAAGCAGAATGAGCAGATGCATGCCCTTCTGGCTATTGCACTAACCATGTACCCAATGCGAATTGATGAAAGTATCCACACTCAGCTTAGAGAGAAATATGGTGACAAGATGCTGCGCATGCAGAAAGGGTAAGGAATCAATGTAGTGGGGAAAAAAGGTTTGCTAATCTAAGCGTTATGGGTTGTTTTGTTTTTTTGATACCGTGGATACTGTCAAAGGAATCATCCATGAAATATCTGTAAACATTTCATAATCCTAATCTCCTAAACCACACACTCACAGAACACAAAGTGCTGTCTGTTTAGATGTGAAAGAAAATTTAAATCAGACTACATACTTTTGGCTCCTAACTATGGTATAGAAAAATAATGTGCCCAATACTTACAGGTTCACATTATTTATGATATCTCCTTAAACCATGAATTTCATGTATTAAACAGAGAGAAATGGTATACATAATTACTTTGGAAGTAGTTACTAAAATGCCAGGTCTGTAAGTGTTACACCCACCACTTGCTACAGAGTATATTCCACTACACTAATGACACCAGCATCCGAGTCAAGAGATTGACATCTGGCCCACAGTTCCTTTTCTCTCTTACAAATCCATATAATGAATTTGCTGTAATATTTGCCAATTGCAAAAATCTAAAAAAAAAATTCCCCTTTCCATTTCTTATTCCTTTCCCATCCTTTCCTTTTTTGACATGATATTGCATCATCTTATGTACAATTATTCAAATATTTAGCTACACCTTTTCTAGTTTCGAACTTGCTTTTTTGTTTTTGTTGTAATTTGTACACACTGAGAAGGGTGTCAATAGCATTGCGTCTCCAATCAATTGCATTAAGAGAAGCATTTGATTGAAGAACTGAGGCTGTCACTGTCTTCTTTACCAGAGTTGTGTTTTAACCCTGGAATGAAAACGTGGTTTCTATAAAATGGCAATGTTATTACATTCCATGGTTAAAACGACAGGACCACTGTACTCCGATTACTTCAGTAAGGTTTAAGTGGATTAAGTGCCTTTTAATTTATGCCTCATATATTCCAATATTTGTCTTAAAATACAAACCTTTGCGTAACCTCTGCACTGTTTGGATTAATCTGGCCAAATAGTCATTGAGTGAACATTGTACAAATTGGAGGTGCTGGAAAAATCCTAGATATTTAAATGCTTTTTGTTTTACACAGAGATGCTCAAATCTACGAGGAGCTTTTCAATTATGCCTGTCCTAAATTCTTATCACCCGTGGTTCCTAATTATGATAATGTTCACCCAAACTACCACAAGGAGCCATACTTGCAGCAGCTCAAAGTTTTTCTAGATGAGGTACAACAACAAGCCCAGCTCTCCACCATCCGCAGGTCAGTTTCCATGCTAATTACCTTCACAATTTTCCAGCAGCTTCTTTTGTGCATGACACTTATTTGGTCTAATTTCGCTTTTGTACTCTAGTTTCCTAAAACTCTACACAACTATGCCAGTAGCTAAATTAGCTGGATTCTTGGACTTGCCAGAGCAGGAGTTCCGTATTCAACTTCTGGTCTTCAAACATAAGATGAAAAATCTAGTATGGACCAGTGGCATCTCTGCATTGGAGGGAGAATTTCAGTCTGCTTCCGAAGTAGATTTCTACATTGATAAGGTGAGTTATCTAGAGCTTACCAAGTGCAAAAATAACAGAATACTTAGTGATTTGTTCACTATGCATCAGGTTTGTTGAATTTTAACCTATTCTCAAGAGTAGACCTAGAAGGTAGTGTTGAAAGATCCAACTCCATTTTGAACAAATGTTTGCAAGTCTGTTCTCTCAGTTCAGTTTAAAAAAACAAAAACAACCCTTGGTTATTAGAAAATTGTTTATTTAGGCATTACAAGATAGGCTATATTAAAATGTGAGTGTTTGATTGTAGGGCATATGATTTATTACTTGACAATGCATGTCAGGGTATATGTAGAAGAAACTGTTAACTGGTAGGTACAAATACTTCATACAGTGGACAGTGTGAAAAAATAATTACGTTTGCACAAAAGAAGTTACATTTGATAAAATAGACTTATAATTTTGTTTTGCATATTCCAAACTTATAAATATGATACAGCTTGTAGGAGTCGTTACTAGTCTATTTTTCATGCTACGCTAATATGCACACTCTTTTCTAGGACATGATTCATATTGCTGATACCAAAGTTGCTCGGCGATATGGAGATTTCTTTATACGACAAATCCATAAATTTGAAGAAGTGAGTATTGTACATATATAGTTTTCTAGTTTGAAAAAAAACAAAACAAAGTCCATCAAGTTCAACCACAAAGCCCATTTTTTTTATGCTGTTAATCAAAAAAGGCAGAAAATCACAATTGTTGTCCTTTCCAATTATGCCACAGATGAGGGGGGAAATCCTTCTTGATTCCATAATGGCATACACAATTTTCCTTTGATCAACAGCATGTATACACACATCAATTATATCCTTGAATATTCTGTTTACGCAAAAATAAAATCCAAGCCTTTATATTTTAAATTCTATAATCTCATAAAACAACCTCTCTAAGGTTTGCGTTTCTAACACTATAGTGTTCCTTTTTAAAGGAGAATTGTCACCTCAGAACTATTTTTAATATTTAGAATACTTTTGTCAAGTTTTGAAAGGAAATGGAATATATATTTTTTTTAAATAAAGTTTTAAAGAAATTAATTATATGTAAACTAAAAATTATTCACATGCCTCCAGGGTAATTTGTGGGGATTTTGTCTTCTCATGCTCGCTGGAGTATAGGCATATTGAATGATATTGCTTCTGGCACTGATGTGTTGGCATTGAAACTAGCATTATTAGGGACGTTTGCATGGGGAAGTTCTCCCGGCATCGCAAATTGCTGTTCAGAGGGATAGAGAGGAAGACAGGACCAGAGGATGGGTGTTACAGTAATTTGTTAAAGGGACACTATAGTCACCAGAACTACAGCTTAATGTAGTTGTTCTGGTGAGTATAATAGCTCCCTTCAGGCATTTTCATGTAAACACTGCCTTTCCAGAAAAAAGGCAGTGTTTACATTGCCCCTAGGGACACCTCCAAGTGGCCACTCCTTAGATGGCCTCTTGAGGGGTTTCCTGGCTCAGGGCTGCACTGTAGGCAGCCCTGCCGTTCAGCATCCCCACGCTCTGCATGGAGATGCTGAATATTCTTCATAGAGATGCATTGATTCAGTGCATCTCTATGAGGAGGTCCTGATTGGCCAGAACGGCATTTGGCTCTGCTCCGTGCCGATTTTATCCAATCCAGTGCTTTCCCTATGGGATAGCATTGGATTGGCTAATAATCAGCCGTTTTGATGTCACAAAGGGGGCATAGCCAGCACCGGCAGACCATCGCGGCGCTGGAAATAGGTGAGTTTTAAACTTTTATATGACATGCTTTCTGTGCAAGACTAAAGTGGGGAAGACAAGAAAAACTGTCTGAGTATTTCTAATTTGTTTGTTTTTGTTTGGGGGGAATTTAGATATACGTCATTTAAAATATATTTATTTTGGGGGGCGGGGTCTGGCCGCCGACGGGATCAGACGCGTTCTGTCTGAGCTCCCGCTCCAAGGCCCAAAAACCGGAGCAAATTGGAGGATAACCGCGACCGGAGGGTCCCACAGATGTCCACAAGGACCCCCAGTCACTGGGGAAAGCGGGGATGCCGCATGGGTCCCGGTCCGGCACCGACAGTAACCCGGCCGGGCTCGGAGTTCGTTGGGGCTTGAGCCAGGAAGGGACGGCCGCTTTCCTGGGTCTCCTGGCCGGCGGTTCGCGTCCGCCCCCCCCCCTGGACCGGGGGGGTCATCCCGGTCTGCAGAGGTACCAACCAGCACACCAACCTTGGCCCAATCAACCACCCTAGCAGGGAACATCACCCGGGCGACAGTACACAAGATGGCCGCCGAGCGCCGGCCATGTGCGCGAGCTGCCAGAGAGATCAAGATGACGCCTGCTCAAAAATGAGGAAAACAACGCAGTCAAAGAGAAAAGCACCCACTATTATCCTACCAGTCTACTACAGGGCAGTAAAGCTCATGGACACTGCAAGCAGGATCAAGTCACACTCTCATGGAAGTGCCGGCAGCAGAACTCGCCTAGACAGCACTCACCACACAAGGAGACATGACAGAGTGCAGTGGGGAGGTTCACAGGTCCATGGACCGGAAAATCTCGGGGTCCCACTAATGCTGAACGCCCTGCTGCAGCCCATCGGTGGTACTGGGTGACAACTGGATAAAGCGGCTCCTGCTAACACACAGCAAGATCATCTCCAGCAATGTAAAGACTCTTGTTATTCTCAATGTCAGTGCTACCCTCTTTCCACGATTACAGAACACAGAGGTGTTAATAGCTCTGTGTCCCGATAACCACTCCTAGCTAGCAACCACCTTGACTAATTAGCTCTGTTGGCCAGACTTATCCCCTAGCACTGTTCTGTCTACCCATGCTATTGTATGACAAGCACTTAACTCATTGTGTTCACTTAGTCACCTGTGTAACATGTTAGGAAAGCAAGCCCAGGTGTACACATATATACCTGCATATAAACAGACTTACACCTGAACATCACTTATGATACATACTAAGCATGGACAGCTCATATCTCACACTCACTGCGCCCACTAGCTAAACATGCCTAATTAACCTGTTCATTAACGTTGAAACTCTGCTCTTCACGCGTCATTACTAGCCTAGTCTCGAACTACCTAAGCTTGTGAAATGTACTTTGTCAGTCTATACCATATTCAAAATGTGCACTGTCCAATCACTCCCCACTGTATCTATTGTTGTTGAAATTAGCGAGTGGACTGCCGGTGGGGTACCACAAGCATTATTGTTCCAACTGTATGCACTACAAAAATAAAGAATTATAAAAAAAAAAAAATATATATTTATTTTAAAAAAATTATTGAATAGGTTATTATATTTAAAAAAAATAAATAAATCATTTTGAGGTGACTGTTGTCCTTTTTTAAGTATGTAAATAACTCCCGAAGCAACTAAAGTGTGCAAATGCTATGTTTATTGATTTGTGGGAGCAGTTATACTTGTTTTAGCTTAGTGTGACAAGTTCACTTTAATTTCTGAAGATGACTATTCTCTGTTCCTGCTGCAGTATTTGCTTACATTGCAGAGCTGTTACTTCCTGGTTGCCAAGTAACAGCTCGGTGTAAAGAGGACAGTATTGTAAAGTAGTTTCTCCTTATCCTTTTTTTTTTTTTGTACTAAGAGTTTGATAAAGAAGGGAGGAAGTGAGAAAAATGTTACAAGATAAGGAGCAGAGCTGTGTTATGTTGAGAGTTTAACATATTTTTTTCTTCTATTGCACAGTTGAACAAGACCTTGAAAAAGATGAGTCAGAAACCCTGAAGGTGTCTGTGTGGTTGAAAAAAAATAAATAAAAAAATGACAGTTCTACAGAGCTTATGCCAAGAAGTTTAAAAGCCTTTTAATGAAAATGAGTACAATAGAACATTGTACTATGTCCAGTGTTGGTGTTTCCATTCTTAAATGACCTAATTGTGCTGGTGACATACTTTTTGACCATTTGGCTACTGCAGTAATGTTGTAGCATAGCCACTTGTACAAGAAATGTGGGAAACTTTGTAAGAAGACTTCAGATGGCGTTCTACAAAACATGAAGCATTTTGTTTGTTTTTAAATGGGTGTATTGAGTTGATTGGCCTTTTCTTTTCTTTTTTTTTTCTTTTTTTTATTTGCTGATTAAACAAGCAACTGTCATTTGTTTTATTTCCATCTATGTGTTCTTTAGTTACCTAAAATAATGTGCTTGTACTCTATTCTTATTGGCTGAAAACCCTTAATACACTAGCTTTAGTTCTGCTTGGTTATTACATTCTTCCTCTAAAATTAAGGAACTACCTACATTCTCTTATGTAAATATAAAGCACCAATGTTCATTATGTTGTTAACCTTTTCTAGAATGAAAATTAATTCTGCAAGAAACAGTTGAGATTACGTCAATTAGAATCTGGTTTTATTTAGCAGGACACTAATAATCAGGAGATCATTTACACTTGCCACAAATGACTGAAAGTTATCCTTTGTGATCTTGCCTAGATATTGGATATTCTGTTTACCATCATTTAAACAGAACTTACTCCATTTGGAGGGGAGCTATGTAATCAGTACAGCTTCCTGGTGGCTTGCCTCTATAAACTCTATATATTGTGTTATGTTATAACCCCCAACATACCACACCAGACTATAAGGTGAGAACATAAGACTCCTATGTAGCATTTACATGGAAATCTAGTGCAATAAGGTAAATATCAGTGGGTGCTTTCTCCTTCTACAATGTTTAAAGCCCACAAAATGGGTTTTTGTAAAATATGCCCCTGGCATGTCCATGCTTAACACTCTGCCTTTTAAGAGTTTTGTTTTAGCTTACAGTACTAGCCCTTCCTTAAAAAGTACTTGCGACTGCAAGCCTGGAGGCTCCATGGCACACTCACCAGGGATGACTTTCTACTTCCATGGTTACATTTTTGGTGGAAATGTTGAGTCCTTCTTGTAGTGTAGTGAGGTTTCTGTTCATGTGTGATATGCACAATAAAACAGGTGCACAAAGAATTGCTCATTAGTTAACAGTAGGTGGGCACTTGTGTGTGGCACTGCCCTAGATTTAAAAATAAATAAATAAAAATTCCAAGTGCCTAATATTTACTTTGTGTTTAATGATGTGGCATAATATTCTGGCATCATGCATTAGTAGACCAAGAGGTTCAAGTGAAAAGTGCTATTATGCGCTCTGTGGCTGCTTCATAACTGGTGTGATGCCTCCACAGTGAGCAAGTGGGAGCCAACCTCATAATGATTTTAAAAAAAACAAACAAAAAAAAACACACACAATGCTACTCCATAACTTACATCCATCTGTGGCTCACCAACTCCAAGGAGAACACCTTTGCCGATTGCTGCATTAATTATATACTCTTATTGCTGAGCCAGTAGTCTTTATGGCTATTATGATTACAGTATCCTGCCCACATCAGGAGTGTCTGAATATGCAGAAAGAACAAACGATTGGGGTATGTAGATATTACAGTGTAAGAAACTAAATGCTTGGAGCAGGGGTTCCCAATCCAGTCCTTAAGTATACCCCATACTAGTCCAGGATTTTGGGATTACCCTGTTGTGTCTAAAAAGGTGTTTTTTCTTCTTAAAACACCTTTGACACAACTGGGTAATCCCTAAATCCTGCACTGTTGGGGGGGTTCTTAGGACTAGGTTGGGAACCAGTGTCTTAACGCATAGATTTACCAGTACAAGTGGCATGAAGAACTACATGCATGGTCCTATGTTCAGAGATTTTTATTACTCTACAAACTGCTACATGAGTAAGAGGATTTGATCCAAACTCAGAAAGGGTTGGTTTCTTTGACTGTTCTTTATTTAAAGAGGACGTGACTTGCCTGATATTTTGCAACATTCAAGGCCAGTTCTTGCTATTTGGTGTACATCAATTATAGTTTATAGCAACCTACTCGATAATGTGTTACCCCAAAGATGTTAATGGCCTTCAACTCCAGAAATTTTGTGACTCAGAGCTCATGTGTCATCATAATGTAAAGTGTAGTTCTCCAATAGTCGTAGATAAGGATAGCGATCACTGACACAAAAATATCATGGACATAACGAACAGTTTCTTTCAAAAAGTACCATGATATATTTACTTGGCAAACCGTGTTAATGTGACAAGGCATGCAGAGATGAGTAAATAGAGTGACGGTAACGAAGAGAAAAGTTTTGTTTGGCGCTATCAACGCAAGCATCGACATGCGTATGGAAGAGTGTAAATCTTTAAAGAACCTTAAGAGTAGCAAAGGTGTGGTATCAAAGAATAGTAAATATTAATTTAAGACAGTGATGTGCAGGGAGCAAATTGTCCTCTTGTAACTTGGGTATTGCTTAGAACACTGGCATGGAAAATAATCTTGTATGTTTCTATATATTATACAACATTTTGATGTACTGTTCCCAGGTTTCTGACATAGGACCAAACCTAGGTATGGGTAGGATGTTCTCTGTAGGGCATACCTCCATTGCAAGTTGTGCAGTATACAACACCCCTTGGTAATGTCTCAAACTTTACTGCTGTTATACTGTAGGGCTAATTGGGAGGGAGGTATCAAAAGACCAGACTTAAAGCAAACCAAAGATGCTTTCAAATATATTCTTTGCCTCTGAGCATTGTTTTACACTCGTTGGGCAAGGATTCTGGGTTTTTCGTGTCATTCAGAAGTATTCGTAAACAGAAAAGAAATCATAGTATATTCAGTGCACAACATTCTACATAGTTTGCTAATCCTGTAAAAGCATTGATACACTGCAAAGAGGTCTGTAATCATGATGAATACCTCCTTGATTATATTCAGTTTTAGTAGTGTACTAGAACCCCCCTTTTCACATTCTGTAGTGCCATCTATAGGAGCGAGTAACCAGGCGTTATCAAAACAGAACTGATTGAGAAATCGTATATACATGTATACGATAGCATTAGTGCTTGTATAGCTAAGCCAGGGCCAGTGCAAGAATTTGTCTACACAGGTGAAGACGCATTTTGTCGCCCCCAAAAATTCATCTTCACCTGTCTGTCTAACACCCACCCTTTTGCCCTTCTTACCCATCCTTTTGTACAACTTGCCACCTTTTTCTTTCTCTTTTCCCTTTTTGGACATTGTATCCTGTTTGTAATTTTTTTCATGCCTTTGTGCCAGTTTTGTGGTCTCTTAACCACCTTGTGTCACACACTCACGTGCACTCTTACACACACATACTCACTGTTTACACACACTTTCTGGTTATTATCATTGTTAAAAAGTATTCCCACCAGGTGTTGCTGAACTGTAGAAGCTTTAGACTACTTGCCTGCCGAGATATGATGTCTTGTATTCCAGTAGCCTTTAGCTCCTGAAGAGATTGACTGCAGCTGCTCCTCGCTGTTCACATTGCTGGGACCCTGGCTGCCTACTTTTTTTTTCCCAATCACATAGCCAGATCGGTAAATTAGTAACAAGCAAGTGCTTGAGTGAGTGACTGGCGGGAGATGGGTTCTTTGTCCTCCCGCCAGTCCCTCTGATATTTTTGCGCCCCTTGGGTCGGTACGCCCTAAGTCGGCCGCCTGTGCCTCCTTATGGTAGCATCGACCCTGAGCTAAACACTTTTTACCCAGCAGCTAGTGTAGAATGGGACCTTGTTAAAAGTTAAAAACTGTAGTGCCCAAAACTACCATAGCTCTTTAGAAAGAACATACAATTCAATCTTCATATGGTGCAAGCAGTTTTGCTAGCAAATGTATAGATTTGGAGAAAAAGCTATTTTAAAATAGTTTTTTCTCCCACCAATCACTTCTTTCTCATAGATTCTATGCAGATCGATTGTCAGGGAGAGTAGAAGAAGCCTCCCACAGATAGTCCTTCTGGTCTCCACCCATAGCAACCACAGCATGTTGCTATGAAAACTCCCTAGTCAGTGCTGACTATGGAGTATAGGAATAGATTGACATGATGATGAGAGTAAACGTGTTAACATCACTGAGGAGGTTTGCCCTGCCTGGGGAAGTGAGGAGCAGTGGAGGAGCACAGGACGACCTCTCTAATGAGATCACGGCAGGGGAGTGGAGGCAAAGGTAAGTTGTTTAAAGTTCCCTTTCAAGGAACGCTTCAAGCTCAATAAATGCTAAAGCCTGCTGTAGTGGTTATGGTACCAGGCAAGCACAGGCCCTTCCATATTAAGTAGTAGTCAAAATGCTTTAAGAACAGTTTATTAACTTAACTGTGTGGGTCCTAGTGAGCACCTGGTGCTGGAAGCTCCTTTCAGTTAGCTCACTGGATGAGGGCATCAGCTGAGCAATCAGCCAATGAGCACAGCCAGGTCTAGCTCAGTGGCAGGAGCTTGCTGCAGAAAGGGAGGTATCAACAGGCACACAGGAGGACCCAGATAAATTATGATGCCAATCTTAAATGGTTTGACTACTTACTCTTGGAGGGTGATAGTGCACTCCTGGCACTGTAACCACAGTGGGCTGTAGTGATTATGGTGCTTGAAGTTTCCTATAAAATCCTATCCCCAAAGTTGGAGAACAGGGATGAAAAATATTTGATATAAGATTCCAAACTATTTCATATGCCAGACCATGAACTTAATCCCCCTTAACCTCCTCCCATTAAACTCTACACCTTATGAAAGTTATTGGGGTAGAGGAGAGAAGAATATAACAAAATGATTTGTTAGCTTTTTTTGACCCACTGATGGAGTCAAATTGAGGCCTAAATATAGAAACGGATGTCTCGCAGCTCACTTATATCTAGGTGAACAAAGTATCATCACTATACCTCTTTCTTAGCATTTGAAAATCTTGCAGGGCTGCTTAATATTTTAATGACTACTTTCATTGCGAACTGTCCAATAATTTTAATGACTATCGTCATTGTGCATTTCTCTCCACAAGATCTTGACACACTCCTGGGACAGAGAGTACGATGATAATCAGCTGTGGGACTTATTAAATTTAATGCTTAAACGGAAGGGCTTGCAAACACCTTTTGGGTCTGCTCACTAATCATCAAATTGTAGTAAATTAAAAACAAATTGTAAAGGTTTAAAGAGACAAACTGTCATTATAGTTAAAGTGGAGTTTTTTCCTCAAAGTCGTTTATTTCAGCCTAAATATTGACAGTTTTGAGCTCATTTGTTTTGTTGTTTAAGGAATAATTTCCCTTTGAGTGCTAATGCTCAGCTGATGTCTAAAATATTTGCTATGTCTGTATATCACTGTGATATCAGGAGCAATGCTGAATTAAAGGGACACTCCAGGCACCCAGACCAGTTCTGCCCATTGGAGTGGTCTGGGTGCCAACTCCCACTACCCTTAACCCTGCAAGTGTAATCATTGCAGTTTTCATAAACTGCAATATTTACCTTGGAGGGTTAACTCCACCTCTAGTGGCTGTCTACCAGACAGCCACTAGAGGGCACTTCCGTGTTTATAGCACATGAAAATAACTATAACGTCGCTGGATGTCCTCACACTATGTGAGGACCTTCAGCATCGCTGAAATCCCTATAGGAAAGCATTTTTCAATGCTTTCCTATGGGGAGGTCTAGTGCACGGCATTGCTGCGCATGCTCAATAGGTCTCCCCCGCCGGATGACGTCAGCGGGGAGGAGCGTGTGCGGACCCTGACCCAGCGCCGAGTAACATCGGCGCTGGATACAGTTAAGTCACTGAAGGGGTTTTAACCCCTTCAGCAACATGGGATGGGGGGTGGGAGGGAGAGGGGACCTGCAGTGCCAGGGAAACGGTTTAAGGAAAGCAGCTGCATATAGCAGTTGCTGCCTGGGAATGTGAGTCACACCAATATGAGGCAGACCAGAAAAAGGTTTTGCTCTGAGATTAATAATAAAAAACTAGCCTTAAAGGAATACTATAGTCACATGAACAACTTTACGTTTTCCTGGCACAGCAGGATCCTGCAGTGGCCCCATCCCATGTTGCTGAAGGCACTGGGTCAGGCTCTGCCCACGCTCCTCCCCCGCCGATGTCAGCCAGCAGGGAAAACCTTGGTCCTCATGCATAGCGTGTGGACGTCCAGCGTTGTTTAAAACACTTTTCGTGTTTTAAGAAGCTGGAAGTCCCTCCAGTGGCTGTCTGATAGACAGCCACTAGAGGAGGACTTAACTCTGCAAGGTAATTATTGCAGTTTATAAAAACTGCAATAATTACACTCGCAGGATTAAGGGTGATGGGGGTTGGCACCCAGACCACTCCAATGGTAGAAGTGGTCTAGGTGTCTGGAGTGTCCCTTTAAAGGACCACTATAGTGCCAGGAAAACATACTTGTTTTCCTGGCACTATAGTGCCCTGAGGGTGCCCCCAGGGTGCCCCTCCTGCCGGGCTCTGGAGATAGGAAGGGGTTAAAATCTTACCTTTCTCCAGCGCCGGGCGGGGAGCTTTCCTCCTCCTCCTCTCCTTCTTCCTAGCGACATCATCGGCTGAAGGCGCATGCGCGGCAGGAGCCGCGCCCACATTCAGCCAGTTCATAGGAAATTCCTATGGACGCTGGCGTCTTCTCACTGTGATTTTCACAGTGAGAAGCACGCAAGCGCCTCTAGCGGCTGTCAATGAGACAGCCACTAGAGGCTGGCTTAACCCTCAGTGTAAATATAGCAGTTTCTCTAAAACTGCTATGTTTGTTTAAAAAAAGGGTTAACCCTAGCTGGACCAGGCACCCAGACCGCTTCATTAAGCTGAAGTGGTCTGGGTGCCTATGGTGGTCCTTTAATGAAGCAGTTTTAATGTACAGATCATGCCTCTGCAGTCTCACTGCTTAATTTTCTGCCAATTACGAGTTAAACCACTTTTGTTTCTGTTTATGCATTCAAAGTCTCAATTCCCCCGGCTGTGACTGAAACAGCCTGCATGAAAAAAAAGTTTAATATTCAATAAGATGTTAACTTGCTTTATAAGTTTTTATATCCAGCTCTGTAAATTGAATTTTAATTACATGCAGGAGGCTCTTGCGGGTTACATCAGTGTAATACTCTTATGCATGCACAATAGTACAGAACTGATGTGGGCTCCTGGCAGATCAAACACCAGGAGCTGAAGAAAGAAGATTTTCGTTGCACAGTTAGAACAGGGCCACTGCACCCAGACCACTTTATTGAGATGAAGTGCATTTACTTATGCATTTTTATGTGTTAATTTCGGTATATGCTTTTGACTTTAGTTGTATATATGTGTCTCTGAGTTTATTTGCTGTGGGAGTTTGTTTCCCTTGTTGAGTTCATTGCGGTTAGTGTTTGTGTCTCTAGCTGCCAGTTTTGGTTGTTGTGTCTAGTTATCTATGGCATTGAGTGTAAGTGTTGTGAGTCCAGGTATTTGTGCTTATGTCTAACACTGTCTGGTAGTGTAGTTATGGGTGTTTGTGTCTCTGTCTGTTAGTGTAGTTATAGTGCCTGTGTCTCTGTCTGGCAGTGTAGTTACTGTGCTGTGTCTCTGTCGGCCAGTGTAGTTACGGTGCCTGTGTCTCTGTCAGGCAGTGTAGTTATGGTGCCAGTGTTTCTGCCTGTTAGTGTAGTTATGGTGCTGTGTCTCTGTCTGTTAGTGTAGTTATGGATGCCTGCATCTCTGTCTGGCAGTGTAGTTATGGTGCTGTGTCTCTGTCAGTGTTATTATGGGTGTTTGAGTCTCTGTCTGGCAGTGTAGTTATGGTGTCTGTGTCTCTGTCTGGCAGTGTAGTTATGGTGTCTGTGTCTCTGTCTGGCAGTGTAGTTATGGTGTCTGTGTCTATGTCTGGCAGTGTAGTTATGGTGTCTGTGTCTCTGTCTGGCAGTGTAGTTATGGTGTCTGTGTCTCTGTCTGGCAGTGTAGTTATAGTGCCTGTGTCTCTGTTTGTTAGTGTAGTTATGGTGTCTGTGTCTCTGTCTGGCAGTGTAGTTATGGTGTCTGTGTCTCTGTCTGGCAGTGTAGTTATGGTGTCTGTGTCTATGTCTGGCAGTGTAGTTATGGTGTCTGTGTCTCTGTCTGGCAGTGTAGTTATGGTGTCTGTGTCTCTGTCTGGCAGTGTAGTTATAGTGCCTGTGTCTCTGTTTGTTAGTGTAGTTATGGTGTCTGTGTCTCTGTTTGTTAGTGTAGTTATGGTGTCTGTGTCTCTGTCTGTTAGTGTAGTTATGGTGTCTGTGTCTCTGTTAGTGTAGTTATGGTGCCTGTATCTCTGTCTGGCAGTGTGGTTATGGTGCCTGCGTCTCTGTCTGGCAGTGTAGTTATGGTGTCTGTGTCTCTGTTAGTGTAGTTATGGTGTCTGTGTCTCTGTCTGGCAGTGTGGTTATGGTGTCTGTGTCTCTGTCTGGCAGTGTGGTTATGGTGTCTGTGTCTCTGTTAGTGTGGTTATGGTGTCTGTGTCTCTGTTAGTGTAGTTATGGTGTCTGTGTCTCTGTCTGGCAGTGTAGTTATGGTGTCTGTGTCTCTGTCTGTCAGTGTGGTTATGGGTCCAGCACTGGGTGCTCTTGCTCGGTGTGTCGGTGCAGTAGGCTGTGCCCTGGTGATCGCCCAGCCCAGCACTAGGAGGAGCGGCAGTGGAGGCGGAGACGTCGAAGACACAGACAGACACCGCCCGGGAAACAGCCAGAGAGACTCGGTCCGAGATTCAGGGATTCGCCGGGCCCCCGGATAGAGAGAGCGGTTTAACAGTCAGGATCTGCGGACTGCGAGTGACAGCTGGGCCGCCAGAGTAAGGAAGATCCCGGCTACACCCCAGGGACAGCTAGGCCCCACCGCCCCCTCCATGAGCAAGCTCCCCGTCTCTCTGCATTACCTCCATTAACTTTCACTACAAAGCTCCCTATTCACCAATTCTCACATCTGGCCCTAACTGACCTCCCTCTCACCTTGCTCCCAGTCCCTCCTCTCATTTTGTGTTTTACATCCAATGCCAGGGCATGCTCCTTGCCATAGAAATGAAGACCCTTACACTTGGCATTTACCCTCTAATCTACCCCTTTGCTCTCCTTTCCTTAATCCCCTCTTGTTTACCCTTTGCAGGTGTCCGCTGTCATGTCTGCATCTCGAAATCTTCAACTCTGGTGCTCCCAGCAATGCCAGGGGTACCCTGGGGTACAGGTGTCTGACCTCAGCTCCTCGTTTCGCGACGGACTGGCTTTTTGTGCCCTCATTCATTGCCACCGACCGGACCTTATGTAAGTAATTACTTATGTCCAAGAGCTTACGATCAATTCTGTAGAATAAACAGCTTCTTAAAGAAAATCTGTGAAAAAGGAAAAGCCTTTGCCGCACTCTATCCATACCCATCTGTATGGGTTTGCTGCACATTGCTGATTTTCTAAAGGCACAGAAGATAATGTATATTATTTCCTAAAGTCCAAATACTAGGAAGTTGAAATTAGAATGGCAACGTTAGGCCAGATAGCGCAACTCTAAACATTGCCGAGTTGAATAATGTCCCAAATCAGAAATTGCATAAATTTTGCAATTAAGACTTTGTTTGCTTCAATTCAGTTTTGCGAATATACCATGTGAACCATGCAATTCAGCTTTCAAATCACTATCAGTTTGTGTTTTGGAATATACGACTACTTGGTGGTCTTTCAAATAACCAAAAGATTTCTATTCGCTCACTTCAGAATGAATAACTGACAAATAAACTTAAGCAGTTATCTAACAATTGTAATTTTTTGTATTTTAGTATAATTTGTAAAGGTGGTGAATGATTTGAGTAATTCATTAACCTAAGCAATGTATTGCATGCTAGAAAATCAATTACAATAAATCTCTTGGTTGTAAACTGTGCTGGTCATTATAGTGGTCTTGGCCGCAAATCTTGGTAATTGCTCTTTCAACATAGCCTCTACCGAGTTCATTATTAAGGTTTCAGTGAGCTTTTGCGTTTAAAAATGAGCTGTTTCCTGTTTTAAGATCAGTATCTATGCCAGTGGCTAAACTAAGGTTACAATTCAAAATTAAATTTCTTGATTTACAGAAAGTTAGATAGAAAAAAGGTATTTCACTGATCTACTGCATATCTGACCAATTGAAGTCACAAGGTTGAGATGACAACTTGTTTTTATTCTTTAAGGCCCTTCCCTTTCTCTTCTGATTCATCCTGGATGTGATACTTTTAAAAATTGCCTTCTGTATAAATTAAAACCTCAATGTATTTTAGGAGTGTGTGTGTGTACACACTGGTTTTTAATTAATTATGTAAATGAAGAGTTAATGTTTTTTTACCTATGGTTTTGTTCCATCCGTTTTTTTGTTAATATAGGTTGAGAAATACTGGCAGCGGTTCCAAACCTTTTTTCACTTGTGTTCCAGTTGGCAGCCCATTTCCATAAATTGTACCCCTCACAAACCCCGCAAAATGTCTGTAATTAATATAGTTGCTGTTATTGTAAATTTTATACATTTTCCTCTGCCCCAGGCTTCTCCTCTGCCCAAGGCTCCACTGCCGTGCATGCAGATGCACAGACACACAGATATAAACAGTGATGCACATATAAATACATACAGATGCAAACACTGACACACATACATTATTGCCACCTACTGGCTGTGGCTGTTGGGAGTTAGGGGCATGCTCCCCCGGTCTGCCCCATACATCCTCTTCCTCTGCCTCCTGCACGACTTGGAGTGTGTTAACTAGGTGGAAGTGGCAGGTTCTCACTTCCTCCCAGGACTGCAGATAAGAAATGGGCCCAGTCGCGCTGTTACTGCATCGCAGTGCATGACTGGGCGCCTGATAAAACTTGTCCATGTACGCTTACCACAGGTTGGAAACCACTGCTCTATGGACCCTCGCACCACACCACCCCAATCATTTAACATCTTTTTACTTAATAAAGAGGGTGTTACTTGCACTTTACAACCATATAGACTTTGTTTTATTCACTAAACAGTGAATTGTCAGAATTCACCAGCTATATATATATATATATATATATATATATATATATATATATAATGTTTTTTTTTTGTTTTTTTTGGGGACGAAGTCTGCCATAATTTAAACTGATACGTGTTTGGCATATAAATTGCAATTTGTAGGCTAATTCCCACACTCTGTTCATTTTAAAGCTTGTGTGTGTTTGTGTGCCAAAGTTCTGAAATGTGTAACTGTTTCAGTGAAAGAGAGTAATGGTTAATATGCCAGTCTTACAGAAGAAACATCTTATACTGCATTGCTGGACTATTAAAAAAAAATAATAATTCCTCTGTTGAGTGCCCTCCTCCTTTTTTTTTCCATCTGTTATGGGATGCAGCACAGTTGTTGTACAACCCACCTGTCAGTAAAACACTCCATGTATTGTTGACCGTGATAATGGAGGATTAATACACCCTGCAAACTCAGGCAAGGAGGATTAGTTCCCAAACGTTAATTTCGCGTTAGTAAATCCTGGTCAAAATAATTTTGAGACTCAAATGTGAATACATTTTGACAAATTTTTACTTGTGTTTTAATTGAGTAAACCAAATGCAGAATAAGCATCAGAATTATCAAACTAAATCCTGAAAATGCCCAGTTATTCCCAAACGAATCTTGAAAATAAATAGGTATGCTGATACATAAAAAGTCAGCACCCACAATCTTAAAACTGCATTTTAAAAAACGAGTGCATGTAACCGGAAACCCCTACTAACTAGAGCTTGGCCGAGCTACCTCCCTCTTCTCTCACCTCAAGGACAATATAGTAATGGATTGAGAGAAAAAAAAACCTGTGGGAATTCTAAGCTACTGTAACAGCAGGGAAGTGCAGTGATGGTGACACTTTTTACTGAACTTACTGATAGCAACTAATAATATAAGCATTATCCCATGGCCCACTATAAACATGGAGGTCCTGCAGAATACCCTTAAACGATTCCTCACGCAATTGGCAGAGATCTAAGGATCAAAGATTCTGAGTAATCCTGTGACTTCCTTCCCAGTGAATTCAGTATTCTGTGCTATTGCATAGGGCAAAAGTTTATGCATCACCAAGGTCCCAATTAGTCTGCTTGACCTAGAGAATAATTAGAAGAGGTAGCCAAGATCCCCATATAATTAGAATGGGGTCCTGGCAACTGCAGATCACTTATTGCCCTGACCTGTGTGCTGGCCATCCCTCTCCCTCTCTCTCTGAAATTTTGATACAATTAACTATTTTGAAAACCGTTCAGTATTTTTTATAGTTTGTCTGAAATTTGCTAAAAACATTGTATATATCAAAATAAAATGTGCACAGTCCAGGCTGATCTCCCAGTTTGCATTATTTACAAATGTTGCAATCCAGAGGCACATTAAGAGCTTTTAAAAAAAAATCTCCCTGGTGTTTCACCCATTTATAATCAGCCCGCTGTTTGTAATGTACTTGGCAGCAGGAGGCACATTCCTTACTGGCATTGCAAACACTCCTACTGCCCAACATTAAACATGCTAAATGACATACAACTAACTTTATGCTTGCCTTCTGCAGTACCTTACCTTTTTTGTTGTTAATCCACAGAAACTTTGAATCCCTCTCCAAAGAAAATGTCTTTGAGAACAACCGCCTGGTAAGTTGAAGAAGTGTTTGGTGGGGTTCATTGTTGTAGATTTAATTTTGATGTGACACATTTGTTCTGATCAAACTTTGTTCCTGTTTGATATTTTTTTTGTAAGTTGTTTTAATAAGCTATATCCATACCTTGCTGCCCCCTTGCCATTCTGTTGTTTACCTTTCTCATGGATGGAGAGGCTGAAACAAGATTTACTGGGGCTAATATCATTTGTGGCTAGAAAATGCTTCCCAGTGTCTAGTTTTTGCCAAAACAGGAGCATGTTGGGATATGGGCAGCCAACTTAAATTCACTTAAAGGAACATTATAGTCACCCACACAACTTAACATGGTCTGGGTGCAGTGGTTCTTTCGTGTTAACCTTGCAATGTACAAATGTGGATTTTTTATTTTTTATTTTGAAACTGCAGTGTTTACATTGCAGGGTTAAATTCACATATGGAAGAAGATTATATACGTCAAGGTTTGAAAAATATTTGCACCTTTACCGTATATTCAAGTGGAAAGCTATAGATAAAGTGCAAGTAGGCAAATGGTGTTCACTTACTCCAAATGACACGTTGTATATTAGGCGAACATTATTGTGGGAGAGAAAAGGAACATTTAAAAAGGTGTCCCAAAGAGGTTCCTCTTGCCAAGGCGCCTTTTTCCCAGATCACTGGGCTTTCTCAATCCGTGTGTAGTCACAGCTGCTTCCTCTTGTCTTTAAGTATCCCCTCGGAGTTTTCTTATTTGGCCATTCAAACACTCCTTGTCCAATGTTTACAGAGAGTCCGTCTGTCCCAGGTGGCACTCATTAAATCATATCAAACTTCAGTGGGTCGGACGCGTTAATCACCATGTCACCTCTGGTCTTGAATTGGCCATTTTTACCTAGGGCATCTGGCCGTACTCTGTACTCATCAGAAGTAACGTATCGGGACCTACTGCCACGTCATTTCCCCTCTAGCGTTTGTTACCACATGCATGCTGGGAGCAGTAGTCCAGAACGGACAATCTTCCGATTATCGTTGTTGGATTCACTCATATAGAGAGTTGTACATATGGATTGAAATAAATAAAAACATATTAATATACTAGTATATGTAAACAAATATAAATAACTTATTCTATTGACAATGTCTCTTTACTTATAAAGGAAACAGTACCATTAAGTGGACAATGTACGTGATAGTAAATTGAGAGTACTAGCTGGTTAAAATAATAGCATTTATGTAACCCCATATTAGGAATAACTAAGGACAGTCAATATGTCAGAATCATTGTCAATATTACAAGGTATGATGCATAAAGTGAGAAAAGTGCCATATTGTAGTGATCAAATGTTATGCTTCTATCAATATACAAAATGTGCTGATCAAATATATATATTGAAATAGTAAAAGATAATTTTAAAATGTCATGAAAAATGGCATATCTTCCCCACCCCCTCACAAACCACTATACTCGTGAAAACAATGAATTATAAAAAACAAAAATATATGCTGAAACCACCCACACATACTTGTTCAATCTGTAAAATTGTCACAATGCCATTATGTATGTTACACAGTGTATAAATTACAAACTTTCACCCCCAGTCTCTTTTTTTTTTTTTTTGTACCCCCCAAAAAACCCCCCCAAAATCTTCAAAATAAAAAATTTATAAAAAATAAATAAAAAAAATGGCATATCTCAAAATCACTGTTATAGGAAAAAAATTTGTTTAAATAATTTGGGGAAAAAAGTCATTTTCGGTTTTCGGTCAAGGGCATCCTGAATTTTCGGTTTCGGCCCAGAATTTTCATTTCGGTGCTCCTCTAATATGCAATAAATATGCTTAAAGTTAATGTCAAATGTGAATAACCATATTGACAGTTACTTTAATTCTGACAAATTTACTCGTTCTCTTCAAAGTGCATCAAGTGAGTCGACCGCCTGCTAAACACTGTTGTTAAGCATTGTCATCATGCCTAATCTAACCTGTAAAGTACAGGTGATGTTGCTAGAGAGGTATAAATAATGCATTCTTTGTAACATTGATTCCAGATGCAGCAGTTTCCAATTAAATATAGTATCTTTTCTAGTATCTAACAGAACAATCCTTTTTAATGTACTTTATACTCTGCTGACAGGAATGACACAGGGATGACTTTGGGTACATGAACAAGTGTATGCAGGCTCGTGCAATTTCAGAAAAGGCATTGAAAAAGAAAGTAAATTGGAGGAAAAGGCGGGTGCACTTTAGTGGTGCTAAGGGACGAGAGAGAAAACCTCCCCAGCCTGGATACGTTTCTTATTTGATTTTTAAAAAGTGTATTTTTCACATAGAAATAGGCACTTATAGGAAGTGGCATTAAGATGGTCCTTTAAGCGTTGCTAAGCATTATGGGATATTTCCCATGTTATTCAGAGGGGATTATAATGCGCTAAAAAAAGCCACAAAGATTACTCCACACCCTTAAAGCACCTCAGCTGAGAATCCCATAATAAAGACCGTTTAGAAAAGTGCTGATTTCTATTACAAATCTGCACTTTTATAAATAATTAATGAAGCCCTGCCTGGCTGTTTGATTGACAGGGGGTTTCTTCCTTGAGCTTTCGTGAGCACGCTTTCCTCCCCCCTGCATACCTCAGACCAGCGTCCAGACCTCTGATCCGTATGTTGTTCGTGCGCGCATGCACAGAGGAATCCCTTCAGAGGTTTCTGAGTAAGAGAAGGAAGGTTTTTCTTTGGATTTTGTTTTCCCCTATTTGTTTATCTACCTTGTGGAATAAACCTTTCCTTTTAGATTCGGAGTGCTTATTTTCTTTGCATTTCTGAGTAAGATACCTCTATTTCCAAGTGAAGTGACAGAAAGTCTCTTCAGGGAAAAAAACGGAAGATGTGCAAAGGCTGCAATTTATAAGAACGGCAGCTTTTGCAAAATATTTTAAGATATACTGCCAATGAACGCGTGCATGAAAAACACAATGTATTCATTGGAGGTGTATCTACTAATCAGTGATTTCTATTTTTACTTTCTAATATATGCAGTGGAGTGTTCGTTTAAGAGTTTTTATTAAGTATGCTGACTAGTAATATATCATTGATAAAATTCTCATACATCACTAAATGAACCGTAATCAGGCTTAATAAAGCATTCAGTAAAACTGTAGTGGGGGAGGGGTGACTATAAACGAGTGCGTGTTTTTGTTTATTTATAGCCTGGAAGTGTAAATTACTATTTACTTCTCTATTATACTCAGACAGAAGTCAAATAACTCTCCACCTTCCCTTTGAGGAGTAATCCAAAACAATGAGTCATTATGGTATTGCTTCCTTTAGCAGCACCTGGCCTTTTGACAAATTTAACTGAAAGGGACACTTTTGACCCCTAATGCATTATAGCTTTCTGAAGTGATTTGTGTGTGAAGAGTGATTCCTCTTTTTATAATTTTACAAAAAGTGCAGATATCAATAGAAATTAACCCCCCTTTTTTAAAAAACAATTTACCTTGTTACACCTCCTGGCTTTCAAGCAGACAACAGCTCAAGTTACTTCCTGGTTTGTTTAGCTCAGTGGACAGTTTTTCAGAGCACCTGCCTTGTAAAGACTTCTCATTGAGCTGCATTGGGAAGTCTGTGATTGGACAGCCACAGATAGTCTGGGCAGGGAAATATCTGGGAGGACTTGAAAAACTGCAGATTTGCAAGCTGCTTTTAAATATACTGCAATGAAAGAATTCATAATTAAATGCATGCATGTTTTAATTTGGTGTGTGTGTATGTATGTGTGTGTGTATATATATATATATATTTAGATATTATTTTGGGGGCAGTAGAGTATTTAAAAAAAAAAAATCATGGGTTAATTTACTCAATGAGGAAATGCACATCTTATAACAAAATGAACTGAATTTGAAAAGTTTTAGTTAATCAACTGTGCTTTGCAGGATCAAAGTGTACACAAGAACTAAGGTTTAATGATGCTGTTCTAACTATGTATTTATATAAATTAATTGGGTTGCTTAAACAAAACAGGTAGCGGAATTATTTTATTCATCCTTTAATAATTATCGACATGAGGTTTTTATACCCAATGAAAAGGCAAAATCTGCCATGATTTAAATAAATATTACAGTTTCCATGTTAATAATGGGAGTTGTGGTGTTTCTCCTATGCATTTCTTCCACTGTAATTTCACATTTGTTAAAGTACCCATCCAAGCACCATAACCACTACAGTCCACTGTAGTGGTATGGTGCCGGGAGTGTTCTTTTGCTGTTCCAGTGTAGTTTGTTAAACCATTTTTAGAATGGTTTGACAGTTTACTTGCGTCCTGCCAGGCAATTGCATCTGAATATTGTGCTTCTGCATAACCAACTGGAGAATCTGCTTGGCTCCCCTGAGCTGAGCAGTGCCATAGTCACTGGCTAAGCACATCCACTGAGCACTGTCAGCCAATGAGCGAGCAAGACAAGCAAGCCTAGATGTGACATGGGCACCTAGGGAACCCAGGTAAGTTGTAAAACTATTCTGAAACAGTTTGACAAATTACACTGTAATTATGCCAGAGCAGAGGGGCTGTAGTACTTATGGTGCTTTGAGTATTTAAATACACCCATCCAAAGTATACTGTTAGTTTGTTAAAGGACATAGAGAGCTTTCATGACATAAACACCCTATATGTAACACAACAATGACGAAAAGAAAAATATAAAAAAACCAATATGTTGTTTATAAGAATTTTAACATGACTAGTGTAGCTAAAGAATGTTTTTGTCCTGACTTTGGGTGTGAGTCATATGTTTAGGATACCATTTGTACATTTAAAAAAAAATGTTTTTTTTTGTGATAGCTGTTACATAGAAACATAGAATGTGACGGGAGATAAGAACCATTTAGTCCCTGGCAGGGGCGTACCTAGAGCATTTGGCACCCGGGGCGGATCCTGTACCCCCCCAAAATATGGAGTAGTCAATAACTAGCCTAGCAAGAGAGTTACTCATTACGTTCTGTGGTAAATACAACATCTCGCAATGCATGGCTGTGTATGCAGCAACTCTCATCCATTGGAAGCAGTAATATTTCAAGCTTTTCTGGAGTTAACTAGCATGACACCAGAAGTCTATCGTTTTCATCTAAAACAGGTCTCTGTTTTGTTTGACATAACAGAGTCCCTTTAATAGCAAATAGGACATCGGAGTAGAAATCTATGTACTGGTCTGTTCTTTATTTGTCCAATTTCTGTTATTTGTGCACTGAATGGAGAAGCACAACACTGCTGAAATCACAATTGTATTTGTAAACAAAACTCAACTATTTAATAGAAACTATAGGGTGAAAAGTAGCGGGAGGATGGCAGTGCCCAGAGACTCTAGGCAATATAACATAGCATTGAACTGATGGGTGTGTGTTATTTAGAGTGTCTCTTTAAGTTTCATTTTTTCTGTACTATGTACAGCTAAGTACTATGTTCTGAATTCAGCATCGATCAAGTTACATAGCAGGGGATTGTGATACTGTGATATTGTAACCAGGGGAAAAAAGTTCACACCAAAATAACAACACAATAGCGTTAAAACAAAATGCCTGAGAAGATACAATACATATAGCACAATGAGGATAATATCTCCATTATGCAGGGAAAACAAATGAAACATCTGTTTTGTGGAATTATATCTGGCAGTGTTTAGACATTAAAAAGTGATTGTTCTAGAGCTTTATTTAGCTACACAAGTGATGTATTTTTCATCTGTGGTAGAACAGCGTGTTTTAATGTCCACCTGTCATAAGTGCCTGTATTTTTATTTCATATTTACATTGTGTTGCCTGTTATCTTTGCTATCTATATATACTTTGTTTTTGTTGTTTTTTTTACCTCTTCAATTTTTATGACAAGGTGACAAAGTATTCTGCAACTCTTAGAATTAACCCACGCTAGTAATTGTAGGTTGCTGAGAACAATATTTGGGTGGGTGCACATCTACCCTTTAATTTCTCTATGTCATCTTCTAGGTGACTAAAACAATATAGCACTATATACATTTACATCTGTGCAGTTAATGTTTAAGTATGGCTAATGGATTTAATTAGACAAGCAGTCTTAAAGCGTTAATATTTGTAACCATTATAATATGCGTATAAATGCCAAGACGTGATTTTATACAGACTTGTACGGACAGGTTTTCGATCTAGCAGCCTTTTGGGCGTTCCTTATGACCGTGTCATAGAGAGAGAAAGAAGAGTTACCAAACTGGATATACCAAAAACCTTACATCACAGTTGTTTTTTTTATATACTCAATAATTCTGATGTTGTCTGGATAAGAAAAAGATGTTAAAAACATCAAATTAAACTTCCAATTTGATGTTTAGTATGGGCTGATAAGTTTCCCCAAATTTTAGGAGTTGATGAATTTTCTTGATAAGCAGAGTGGCCTCTCTTGTATGTTTTTTGTTTTGTTTTTTCTCTCCATTTTTAATGGATAGGGGTTATAAAATGTATCATTTTAGTTTTTTAAAAAAATAAAAAAATGTATCACACATTTTAATTGAATTTAAAGTAGAAGTCCAACACAACGATGCAGTGCAGAGTAGTATAGTATTTTTTGTTGGGGAAAACGTTTGCTTAACATTGTTTCTTTAAGCACGCGTTATAGTTTGTCCTCCACAATATGTTGTGTTTGACAATTCAAACCTCAAATGTTTACACTGACATGGTGCACAGTTGCTGCTGCTAATTTGGCAGGACATTCCATGTTAGGAGTGAGCAGATAGTTAGAACAGTATTGGATTCAACTGATCCTTAAAATATGCTTTGTCTGTACCTTAAGCCTTCGTGTGCACTTCAATTGTGTTCATTTCTGACAACTGATGGCTTTGCTAAATGGAAATAAATGTACATTCAACCTGATTAAACATTTTAAAGGGGTAGTATTGCATTATCCCATTTCCTGTGATCATAATTTGCCTGGCTGCTCTGGGATATTGCTTATGTCTACTCTGCTTCCACTGGCATTCCCACTTCACAAAATAAAAAATTTCTGATATAACCAGGGCCACAATTCCTGACACCCCCACCTAAATGCACTTGTAGCAGTGTGATTCTATGGTGGGGTTCAGTATGGAACCCGTGTTGGTATAGATCAGCATTGCACACCTTGGCGTCCTTTAAGATGCAACATCACCATAAATGGCAGAGCCAGGTGCTATAAGGTGTTTGTCCAATAAAGACCTACCTGTACCTTGCAAATCATGGGCTAAAATCAAACTGTTTCATGTATTACAGATAATTTCAATTTTAATTACTTTTACGTTCCAAGCTCAAAATGGTAAAAATAGCATCCACAAAGAATATATATTAAAAAACAAAACAAAACAAAAAAAAAAAAAACTACAGAGCACCACGAATACCAAACAAAACTATCTGTTTAGATCTACTTCAATAGGGTCTAGAGCGCCACGATTCCACGCAATGTCTGCAGAGCTCTCGCTTGTGCTTGCACGTGGTTGTTTGCTACCGCCACTATCTTTTAATGTGCACGTATGTTTATTATTATAATCCTGTAATAAAGGTAATACTGAAAAGTGCTAAATGCAACATTAAAAGTGGGTTACCACTTTTTCTTCACTTCTGAAAAATATGTAACCTTGTTAAAGGACAAATATAATACTGCCCAAATGCCAATTAAAATTAAATACACCTGGACATAATTGCTGTGTTCTTTCCTGATGATGTCCCCATCCTCCCCAAAATAATGAATCACTTAGAACTGAACTTGAAAGTAAGTAATATGACCTTAGTATCAAGTTTCTCTGCTTATAAATACAAAAGGCCTTCAAGTTATTAGATCAAGGTCTAGGTGGAATAGAAATTACTAAAACAACTACTAGCATTTCGAAATCTTAAATTATGGGAATGTTTGGCTTCAAAGAGTCTTTATTCTTGGTGGTTTAGCTTTGTATGCGTATTTCTAACAATAAGCCACATAGCTTTGGTCAGTTGGGTTTAGTCAGTATTTATTTGAATGATAACCCTACAGTTATATCAGAAATTTGGGCTAGTGCATAAAAACAATCTCCAAGATCATGCTGTGGATGTTGGTAGTCATGATCCAGCAGCAGCTTGATGGCTACGGTGCAATCTCTGGACTGGAGGGAATAACTGTACGCACTCATCCACCCTCTTCCACCGGTAATGAATGTAGATTGGAAAATGGTTCTAATCTGTATGCACTGATGTTTTATAGTAATATTAAATTATAATTCCTGCTTTTCAATTCTCAAACGTTTTCCTTTCCATATGGATATTGTCCATAATCTTGCCTTTCCATTCACTCCCTTTCTTCCAGTCTAATTCATAGTATTACTTCCAATACATCCTCATCCATCCGAATTTTCACCCATCTTATCTGCAAATCTTTCAAGTCTCTTTAATAATAATAATAATAATGAGGTTAATCAACTGGTTACCATAACTCACCGTGATACTTTTTCCTTTTCTTTTGTTCTCGCTTCCTTTGTATTTCCAGGCCTTTGAAGTGGCAGAGCGTGAGTTGGGTATCCCGGCTCTGCTCGATCCAGAAGACATGGTGTCCATGCAAGTTCCAGATCGTCTCAGTATTATGACCTATGTATCTCAGTATTATAACCATTTCCGTAATTCTAATCCAGGTAAGATGACAGTGGAGGAAACCTGCCACATTTAATTGTCTTCAGTCTATCTGCTTGTTTTCCTTTTTGTTTCCATATATCTTAACTTTGTGACTAGTTTTTTTTTTTTTTTTACTTTAATATTATACATTGTGCAGAGTAGCAGAACATGTTGGCACTTTGTAAATATTCTATCTTCTTAAAATGTACTTCTACTGACCATTTTTCTTACTAAAGGAACTCCTCAACTCAGGCAGACCTCTACATCTGAGCCATCTCTCAAAACGCTCACTGAAGATGCCTCAACACAGGTATGGAAAAGCGTGATCTGGCAAAAATCTCCCTTGTTTAGGTTTTGATTTTATAGTGCTGTCACAATCTTATTCATGTTTAGAATTTGTTTTGGCAGTTCATAAAAATGAATATGGCTATTACTAGAAGGAAATGAGAATAAGCATAATGAGGATAAATGTTCTAATGACTAAAGCTGGCAATGTAACAACATTATAAAAAGAAACACAAAAAAACAATCATTCAGAGTTATTGAAAATGTGTAGAATTCCCTGTATTCCACAATAAGTATAAGGTTTTTAGCTTTTGTAATAAGCAGGTGTTCTCTCTGGTAGGTCTGCGTTCGTAGAGTAAACTTGCTTATTTAAACTTTTTTTTTTTTCCTTTTGATTCCTGTCCTAAGATTTATTTTGTTAGTCTCATAGTGGGATCCTTTGAAGACCGCTTAATGATTTTGGCAAAAAAAATTGATTCCTTTGAAATGTACAACCTTTTTTTAAATCTGAGTATTGCTTTATAACTATATCATGCTTCTTTTTTTTTAAGAAAAACATACAGACCATTCTATCCTGATAATAAACAGTTGTGAGTTTATTTCTGTTGTATGTGCAGTTTTTGCAGACATCACAAATTTGTGGTTTGCAATATTCCCATTAGTGGCTGCTTTATACTGACCTATCCAGACAGACCATTTTAATGTTATACTTGTTTAATACATAATACCTTAGCAGGTATATGTTGGTAATGTCTGTAATGTAGAAATCGACACTCCTCTGTTCTGGAACGGAATGCTCCATCTTGGCTCTCTGTCAGTCCTTGATATAAAAAAGGCGTTGCAGCTTAGTGAAAATAGAAACAGGAACTATTTAGTAGTGCATGTCTTGATTTTGAACTGGATTGAATTGTGAATTGCTAAATCGTTAATATACAATTTCAAAAAATACCCAGATTATCGACCGATTCCTCCTTTGCAACAATGAACTTTGAGTACAATGTAGTTAATTAATTGAGCGACCACTAAGTGTTGAAACCTACAGAATTGCAAATGTACAAATTGAGCAACTATGTATATCTCACATAACATAATGAATATTGTACTAGTCAATGCAATTTTTTTTTTTTTTTTGCTTCATGCCCTGTGCTGAAATGGTTTATTACCGTGTTGATTGTAAAACCTTAATAAATTAAATAATATAGAGCTTAAAAAATTAAAATAAATATTCTGCATCACGAGAAAGGGAAACATTAAGTTAACACCTATTAAATGGGATTTTCAATGTATTAGACCCTATAATTGATCTAATTATGGTGTAATTTCCAGAGAAGCGAATCCTGCTCTTGGAAGCATGTTAATTAGTTAACTAAAACTACAAAGCTGTATACTTTTTCTGTAATTATAGTATTTATTAGATTTTGTTGAATCAAGACAAGTCAATAATAATAAATGAATTTAACCTTGGTGAGGAGGTCACAGTCTAAATCTTATGAATCTGATATTCCTGGCATTATGCAGTAATCAACGGTGGAATTTATAAGAGCAGAAATGAAGAGGAGGGAAGTGCTACAGAATACTGTGTAACAAGTGCTATCTCATTTATTGCAGAACGAAGATATTTAGCAAACGTTTCGGGCAACCAGCCCTTTTTCAGGACAATAGAGACAGAGAAAGGACTTGCTGCCCGAAATGTTTGCTAAATATATTTGTTCTTAAATAAATGTGTTAGCACTTGTTGCACAGTACACTGGAGCGCTTCCCTCCTTTTTTCATTTCTGATTTTGTGTAACCACTGATGAAGCCACAGTGTGGGTGGAGGGGTGATTGGGGGGGTGGGGGGGGGGAGGTAGCAGCACCTCAGAGACTATTTTGATTATTGCACTGTTTAAAATGTTTCTTGGCAGCCAGGTAGCCTTAGGCCTAGTATATGTGATAACATTGTAATTAGTCATGCTCTTATAAATGCAATCTCCCTGTCCATCTAACCTAGGATGCTGTTGATATCACCAACTCACCCTCTCGGATCTCCCTGAGCAGCACTTGCACCCTATGCCGTCAGCATGTGCATCTGGTCCAGAGATACTTAGCAGATGGTAAACTCTACCATCGTCAGTGCTTCAGGTATTTTTGTGTCCATGTCAATGATGTCCTATCACAAATGTGTGTAGTCCCTATCTGCCTTTTACTTTTTATAGACACACATGCATTGTATTGTATTATCCCATCACGTCATTATTGTTATTTTATTTTTTTTCCATATTGTCCTCTTTAGCTCTTTTATGTGACTTTTTTTCCTCCCATAACTTATACTGGCTGATGAAATAATTCTCTCTTTCTATTTCCTTCTCTAACCCATTCCCAGGTGTAAAGAATGCTCCAGTACCCTCCTTCCTGGTTCGTATCGTCCTGGCCCAGAGACCGGCACCTTTGTGTGCACACACCATCATCGAGCACGCCTTGGCACTAGCAGTCCTGAATCTGGACAGGATAACGCTGCACAAAAAACAGCAGCAAATCCTCCTCCCAAGCCTCGCACTCCCCCAAAGCCTCCACTTCCTAACAAACCTCAGATAGATACAGACCATGAAACAACGCCAGACTTGCGACCAGTGCCAGCACCAAGAAGAACAAGTGACGTCATTCCTCAGCCATTACCTCGCTCACGTACCCCTGCAGAGCGAAGTCCAGCAAGACCGACATCTCTTATGAATGGTGAGGTGTTACAAGGTATTATGTAGATGAGCGAGAGTTTGATGGGGAATAAAAAGTGGTTCAACCCTTTTCTTTCTTTCTTTTTTCCGGGACCATATAGGTAGTCCTCAGACACAGACAACCACTCCACCAGTTCCTAAACCACGTGGCAGGCCAAGGTCCCATGATAGGTAAGTGCTTAACTCAGAGAAGGTTTTGAGACATTCCTAGGATTCTTCATGCATAGAGAAAAATTCCCACTTATTATGTATGATAAGTGGAACTAGGGCTCAGGAATGGACAAAGGTTTATGGGTTAAGAAGAAAAAATATACACTAGAATGACAATTGCATATACAAGTGTTTTTAAATTTTAGGAAATTTGAAGATGTATTTTTCTTCCTTTTTTTTTTTCTTTTCCTGTATAATGTATTAAAAAGCTGTCGGGGTTTACTTTTTGCATATGCACTCAAGCTCTAATTATCCATCTCTCCAACATGATGAAAAGTATAGAGAATTCAGTGCCTTTTCTTGTTTAGGGAGGAAGAAGGGAAGAGGCAGAAAGACCCTCCTTGGATTGCTCTGGTACCTCCTACAGAGCCCAGGAGGAGGGCTGCTCCCCCTCCACCATCCTTGGAACAAAAGCCTGATGTTGGGGAAAAGTCCATAGAGGAAGCAGGAGAAAAAAGTCCGTCCTCAAAACCCACTGCCTATAATCCATTTGAAGAGGAGGAAGAGGAGGAAAATGGGATCAATGAAAATTCACTGAAACCGAACCACCCATGGTATGGAATCACTCCTACTAGCAGTCCCAAAACTCCCAAACGGCCAGCACCTAAAGCTCCTAATGCTTCCCCTCTAGGTAAGAAACCGCAGGTTATTTGATTATCTCCTGCAGCAAGTTTATTTTGAATTTCTGCTATTTTGTTCTGGTACGATGTATGTTATCTTTATTTAACATTCCGCTGGTATATATTAATATAATTTTACTAAATGACTTTATGATTATATTTTGTGTTTATATTCTCTTCTTCTGTAAAACAAAGCAAATTGCATATCTATGCCTCATTTTAATTCTCTTTCAAAACAGGAATGACTAATACTAGCCTCATTTCTATATTGTAACTTAAATTGCTTGTTTTAGGAAGGGCAGAACTTTGCTTCCTCTGTTTGTAGCTGCTCAACTAAGGGTTAAATCCCATACTTTTATCATAGGATAGAATTTTCCCACTAGGAAACGTTCAACTGTACAGATCAGAGGATGGGTTGGGGACTCATGAAATTGATTTTAGCATTGCTCTCTATAATCTCTAAATTGGTCCAATTTGAAATTTAGTTTATCAATTTTGTAATCTGTGCATATTTTTTTTTTAAGCTCTCAGATATTCGTTTATTCATTAAACATATATTTAAATTTATGTTAACATTTGGATTTGCTAATATGCACTATGATTAGTGATGAGATACACTATGAATTAGGGGACTATACAAGTTCAATATTTGTAGTGTTTCTTGCATGTCTAGCACTTGTTTGCTTGCATGTTTGCCTCTTCTATTTTTTTTTCTTTTTCTTTTTTTACTTTCTTGATTGGCATTGTTTCTGCTTTACCCATATAAGCCTGTGGTGGTCAGTGGAATATACTGCATGTAATTGAGTGATTAGACATGGCAGTCTGGAGTCTGTGCTGTAATTGTTAGGTGTGTTGCGTTTGTGTGTATGTGTATACTCCATGTGGCTCCACTGCATTGGTGAGCTAAGATGTTTTCAATGCAACTAGCATTATTCCAGCCCTTCAGCGAAACTCTTAATTCAGGCTTTTTATTAAACCTTTTCAATATCATTAATGGCACATGCCACCCTCGCTCCTAATATTTATTATGGTCCTTGAGCCATTAGTACAACATATTAAACAGGACACCAAAATTAGAGGCCTTCAGACTGCTACAGGAGAACAAAAAGTGACGCAATTTGCAGCTGATATATTTATGTTTATAACTAAGCCATATACAGCTCTCTTTCAACTGAAAGCCGTGCTATTTAAATATGTAATAAACAATAATGCTAAAACTCTCAAGCTCTCCCTGTTGGGATGGATAATAAGACTAACTTTGGCATACCTTTTGGAAAACCTCCCTGGCATACTATGTATTAAGCTAGTAAGTTCAGTGACAATCTTATCCCTTTATTACACAAATTGGATCAACATTTAAAATCATGGAGTGGCCTTGAGGTGTTGTGGCTGGGTTGGATAAATGTAGTGAAGATGATTTTACCTCATGTTTTACAATTATTCCACCCAATGCCTGTCCTCCTGCCAACACAACTACTAAATAAATGTCAACCTGTCATTAAAACCCACATTTGGAAACATAGACCCCCAAGGGTGCCCTATAGATCTACCTCATTGCCGACTGCATTGGAGAGACTGGGAATCCCCAATGTAAAATCTTATTCTCATTTCTCAAGGACTCGCACTACTGACCTCTGGCACACCTCCTATTTGGATTGAACTTGTGTTGAACCATTTATTATGGGCTTCATACCTATCTAGCAACTTATTATTATTATTATTATTATTATTATTATTAATATTATTATTATCATTTATATCTCATGATGCCCTTTCTACTACAAGTTGCTTATTACTCAGGTGGAAGTGATAGCTAACCAAGTTAACGTCACCATTTCCTATGTTGAGTTTGGCTCCCATTCATACTCTATGGGTCATAACCCTGAATTTGTGACTTGGTGTGTAGAGATCGAGGAGTTCTCTCTCCCAGCATGAGAACTTTTTACATATCTTCAAATTAAGAACGTTCTTCTAACCCATAATATAAAGGGATTTGCCTCCTCTAACCTCTTCCATTTGGTGTGAGATGCCCAGAGAACAAAGCTGTCCAAAAGGCACTATCCCTTTGTTATAAATCAATTACATGCTTGGTTGGTAAATCTAAGTTACCTTATATGATCAAATGGTAACAGGACATAAAACAATTTCCCCAAAGTCATTGGCTACACGCAAAAAATAAATCACACTTTTCGCTTGAAGGAGTCTCTCTCAATGGGAAGCGTATTGTAAAATTCCTATGAGATAGTATTATGTGCCCCAGCGCTTAGCCCCCGATATATCCAGTAAGTTCTCCTGAGGGTTGACTTCGCCGGAATGAACAGGGAATTTTAAAGTACATATTCTGGGATTGCTCCCAGTTACAATCCTTCTAGAAGCAAATGCATGAACTTAACTTAAGTTACAAAGCTCCATCTCACATTTCTCCCCTGAAGCCTACTATTACATTAATTTCCAGTGGAAATGTCATCGCCTTCTATTAATTTGGTCATCTTCTAAGGTCAGCATAGCAAGCAATTGGAAAAGCTCCACCCTCCATATGTAGAAGCAGTTTTTACAGTTTTAGACTAGATAAGACCTACGAATACGAGCGTAAAGCACATAGATTGATGGCGTGGGAGTGTGTGCATTCTGTGATACTGGCAGGGTGGGCCCGAGCAAGGTCTTCATATCTGGGTAATACACCAAACTGACTTTTTCATATACAATAACACCTAAACGTGTTTCGTACATCTAAATCCATGAGATAAAAAATTGTCCCTATTATAAAAAAGGTCACCAAATCCTTTATTTACCTCTATTAATCTTTATTTCTATTTTCTGATTGTAAAAGATGGTAATTAGCATACCATTCATGTTATCACATGGGTATTATGCACATAACGTCATAACTTTTCTAGGTCACATTCAAGCTACATGTACTCTCTTGTGTATATGAAAATATTGCACATACAATGATAATCAAAATATTATACCACAAAAACCGCTGCTTACTATATTGTAATTGTTGACATTATTTTGTAATATGGCCTTTATTCTTTTTGATACCATATATGCAAAGATCTGTCAATGTATATGCAAAATCTTTAAGAAATGTTATACATTTGAAGAAAATAAACAGATGCAGTGTGGGCATAAAAAAATACTGCAGTTAACGTTAGCTTGGCATATGATTGATTGTTGAACAGTTCCTCTAGAAAAATATCTGGGTCAAGCCCCTAAAGTGGTAATTACTAGACTAGAAAAACTGGCAACAATTCCTGTGGAAGATTAAAAAGTATTAAAGGATGAAGTGAATAGGAGGGCACAGAGTTCCATGAGAAGAGCATTTCTCAATTAAGTGGAACAATGTAAGCAATTTTCCGCAGAGGCTAAAGTCTGGAATACTTTAACATAAATCAAAGAAGCAATCGGCTAAATAAGTCTCCATAGAGGAGATTGAGACAGATGTTGAAAGAATAGATATATTTCTTTGTTTTTTTGGGGATGCTCTGCTACTTGGCAGACAGGAATAAGGACCTTGTGACACCATTGAACTTTAGGACGTCATATCTAGGCAACAGATACATTGTAGATGAATAGCCTCTCTATATGTTTAAATAAGGTGTCTGTTCAGGCTGTTATCTCAATGGACCTATACATAAGGTGACAGGATTTGAAAAGGTGGTTATTAAGTAATTTTGTAGTTGTGTGGCTTTTGTATTCTCCGACGAAGAGACATTCAGATTACAGATCCCGTGGAGCTAAATGTAGATCACACTTTATATACACAGAAAAACGAACATATCTCTCTTCTCTGCCATCAAAACATCATTGTTAAGAGGATATGAAGGTGACAGGCACAGGAAATAGTAAGAGGAGGATATTATTTTCAGTTTTGGTTGGTCTTTGCAATATTGCATTCTGTTGAATGGAAATTTTCTTTTGTGTCAATATTTGTTACTATAAATATTGCTGAAATTGTAACTGAAAGAAGTGATAGAAGCCATTTATTGGGTTAAGGAGGACCGGAACCCTAATCTAGGAATTTTCTAATTCTCAAACCAGGTGAGAAATTTAGACCAATCCATTGCCAGTAACTTCCTATGACTCCAAATTAGAGGTACATTTCCATGTGGAATTAAGATTTAGTTCTGCCAAATGGGCATCTTCATTTTGGGATAATCCTTGAAACATAAAGGTACAAAATCTCTTTGAGCCAGCAAGTCTCCCTTGTGTAGCTCCCTCTCCCCCAGTGTTCCTTTTCCCTCCCCTCCCCTGTACCTTAGTGCCATCCCTTGTTCATCTCTCTCCCCCCTAGTGTTCTTTCCCCCCCTCCCCTGTCCCAGAGTGTTCTTTCCCCCCTACCCCAGTGTTCTTCTCCCCCCCCCACCCTCCCCTGTCTCAGTGCTTTTTCCTTTCTCCCCCTGTCCTATAGTGTTCTTTCCTTCGTAGTGTTCTTTCCCCCCTGTCCAGTGTTTTTCCTTCTCCCCCTCCCCCATCCATAGTGTATTTTCCTTCCCCCCATGGTGTTTTCCTTCTCCCCTCCCCATCCCATAGTGTTTTTTCCTTCCATAGTGTTTTTCCTTCTCCCCCCTCCTGTCCCATAGTGTTTTCCTTCCCTGTCCATAGTGTGTTTTTCCTTTACCCCCTCTCCTGTCCCATACACCCTCCTGTCACATGTTTTCTCCCTCCTGTCCCATAGTGTTTTTCCTCCCCCCTCCCCTGTCCCATAGTGTTCTTTCCTTCTCCCCGTCCCATAGTGTTCTTTCCTTCTCCCCCTTTTCCCCCCTGTCCCATAGTGTTTTTTCCTTCTTTTTGTAATGGCGCAAGCCAGATAAAATTTGTTTGTGTCCTCCCTAGTAGATATTAAGTGTTGAGCACATACATTTTTATTTTTTGTTGTCCTTTCTTGCTGTGTGATTTTTGCACTCCATTTCAGTCTTATTCAAAGTGTCCACTACCTGCAATTAATTTTATTACAGGATGCCAAATCATTATGCATCGTTTTAGTCACCATCATTCTTTTATTAATCCCAGGCATACAAAGTTCACAGATCTCATAGATCAACAGTTAACGCTGCTTTACGTTGGATTTAATATGTAATAATTAGATGTGCAGAACAGAAGGCAAATTCCTTATCAATGTCTGTATTGCACATTCCAAGTTTTAACAACTTTTTTTTTTCCATTTGGCTCTGGAGCTTAAAATGCTCTGATTTCAGTGTTGAGTGCTATTCTGGCATGATATTTTGAATACCATTTCTTAATTCAAGTGGATAAGAAATCCAAGACCTGTAATCTAGTGCCAGGCCAGCATCAGCATCTTGTTCTATTGGGAACATCCATTTAAACCACTCAAAACATTTGACATGAAGTTTCTGTCTTTTAAAACTAACTTCATGCTGACCGTTAAAACAGTCAAACATTTGGGGGATAGTGGGCTGTAAAAGAGCCGTACTTGATAAGCAGAGTCCTTAACAAAGTGAATTTCAAATTTAAGGTTATTTATGTCAGTCCTTTGTTTTCATAAACTGTTCTTGGGGTATCTCTTATTCTAAAGGGTAATCCACACATGGATCCCTTGATCAACCTGCCACCTCACTGACAAGGCACAAAATTATCATCTAGAGATTTTCCCTATATAAGGAACCTGTTTCATTTTACCTGAGATTACTTTTGTGGATGGTATCAGTTTGATATTCAAATGGCGCAGGTTCTCCATATTATGGCCCAAGTTGAGCCACAATGTCTTAGAGAGAATAGGAATTAACCAAAGGATTCTCATTGTTTTCATAAATAAAGCTACTTTAGTGTTTTCCCACCTGGGCCAACAATATTGATGGAAATTAAACAGGTGATTCCTTTGTATGATATTCTATCTTCACAAATCTGAGGCCAGAAGGAACTCACATGTAGTGACATAATTATCGTTAGATTATCATCATCATACTTAAATAGACAGTGTCCCCTTAACCCTGGACATATAGAAACGTCCATATTTACATTACAGTGTTAAGACTGCTCTAGTGGATATCTACCAAATAGCCACTAGAGGAGCTTCCTATATTTTCACAGTGTTTCCCCATAGGATAGCATTGATGTAATGTTTCCCTATGGGGAAGGCCTAATGCGCACGGGGCTTTCTGTGAATGCAAAGTAGGTTTTTAGGAGGTGGAGATGGTAGCTAGTGCCGTGGGACCTCTGTGCTGGAAACTGGTAAGTATTCACCCGTTAATTGGGCTGGAAAGGGGAAGGAGCGGGGACACTGTAGAGTTTTTTTTTTTATTTATTTTTTTTAAATCATTAGGTCAACATGATATTTAGTGCATCAGTGTATCTGCTTCTGAAGCATTTATCAATCTTTTATAGTAAGGATATCTTCTTACATTCCTGCCACTTGACAGCAAATCACCTTCTGTACACCCAGTAAACATGAGGTTAATGAGGTTAACTCCTATGTAGTTACCATGCTACTTGTACAATCTTAGGCTTACATGTGTGCTCAGAGGTAATGCACCACTTTATTAGAATGTCTGTTGGCATAGCAACTGAAGGGAAGAACGCACACAAATGGAAAGAGCAAAGTATGTGTAAAGAAATGTACTGTCTGCATTAATGGCAGTTTGGATTTAAGGTCTTGTACAAACACTGCTTTGCTCCAAATAAACAGCATTTATGGTTTCCTAATAGAAACCCTATCTTCTGGACACATGAGATCCTAAAGGCATCTATAGAATATAAAGAGTGAAAGGTTCCACCAATTTGTACTCTTGGGAAACTCTCAGATTCCTTGAGGAATAAGTTATTGCCTCTACATGTAAATTGTGATACACCTTTTGAGTCTTGAACTCCATGTTTCAATGGCAGCTAAAACCTCCGTCCAAGTTTGGAAACAAGGAATGGTCACGTTTGGGGACAATGCTCAAGTAGCTTATGGGGCAGAAATGGAGGAGATGTATTGGATGGCCAATTAGCTTTTGTCCTTTTCTAGATTAAGCTCCACCTGGTTTTGAGAGAAATTAGACTATCCCATTCTTATGCAAATCCTCTTTCCACATCGCTCTTTCCCTTTTGGGATGACAGCAGTTTTGTCACTTTAGGCCTTCCACATGGAATGAATGTTTGACTTATGTAATAAGGTATAAACCATAGGTTTAAGTAAGTACGTTTTAATAATTTTTCTTTTGCAGCTGTCTTACTATGTTTTTGTTTTCTGTTGCCACCTATTACTTTTTTGCTTTTCCTGTTTCATATGGTATATGGCCTTTTAAAAAAAAAAAAATGTTTTTAAAGAACGTTTTAAATTTCTTAATACTGAATTGTTCTGCTTTCTTTTCTCTAAAGCGCGACACTCTGGCCTTCTGACTTCTCGTCTATCTCATTCAGAGCCTCCCTCAGGCAGTCCATCTCCAGCTCTTAGCACAGAGAGCCTTCCCACTGAGTCATTAAATGGAAACCATGAACTTGAAACTGTGCCAAAAAGCTCCTCAGAACCAACCATCCACTCACCCACAAAATCTGGACCACCAGATGTGGAGAGTCCACCTTGCCTTAACATGCCTACTGACAGCCCCGCTCCCAATGATCTGTCCACCAACACCAGCCTCTCTTCATCAAGTGACCTAGTGAATACAAATGAGGTAGTGGCCAGCCCATCTCCAGAGAAAATAAACTCATCCAGTGAGAGCCTAAGAGCTAGCCCCAGTCGACCAGCCCCACAACCCCCTAATGTATCCAGCCATGATCCTGAACCAATAGAAGGTACAACTCTTTCTCCAGAAGCCAAACATCCAGCAAAAGTGAGTCATACTTTCAGAAATAACACAAATATATTAGATTGAATATTTCACAGTTAATTCGCTGTTTTGTATATTGTTTGTTAGTAACTTTTATTCGTATAAGCAATTCAGAACAAGATGTAATGATTGTTTACAAACGTTAGAGCCATGCTTTCTGATGCACGTCGTACGAAATTGTATTTTAATTTGTTGTAGACCATATAGTCTCTGGTCCAAATATGGCAATAATGACATTTCCTACTTAATTCTATCAATGAATGGCATCCTTTTGGCCTATTGATGTTGGCACATCTTATATAGGTTTAGTAACTTTTCTAGTCTGCTTGTAAATGAAAACCCAGTACGTTAACATAAAATAAAAACTTGTTTCACTATATAAATTCTTACTAATAATTTATAATAATCACTTTTTACATTCTAGTCAATGTGCAAAGAGAATCCATTCAACAGAAAACCATCGCCCATCACCTCTCCCACCAGAACCAGTAGTCAGAAAGGCCCCAAACCAGCGCGTCCACCCGCACCAGGACATGGTTTTCCTCTCATCAAGCGTAAGGTACAATGGAGTTTGGCATTAACATTGTGTGCTGTGAGTTGCCATTGGAATAAATAATCCAATTAACTTTATCAAATTTGTTTAAAACATTTATTTTGAGCTACAGAGATCTTTCGCTCAAGAGATATAATTACAAAATAACTAAGCAGAAACTATAGGTACGTAAAAATAGCTCAGGTCACACAGTGATGTAACTGTGAAATGAATACTGAATTTTGTTTGGGTTATCTACAGCCTTTTTCTAAACAAACAGTAAATGAACATAAAATTATTCAAATAATTACATAATTTCTGTCCTTTCATTTTGTCCAGTAGCTTAACATAATCTGTCTGGTGCTTACAGGTTCAGGCTGATGACTACATCCCAGAAGATGAGATTCAGATGGAGATGGAACAAATAGAATTGCGGCTGGATGAACTGGAGCGGCAAGGTGTTGTGCTGGAACAAAGGCTCCGCAAACTGCAGAATGGTGAGTGAATCATAGCTTCTTGGCAGAATTGGTTTTGGGAAGTGCAGGTAAATGAACAATTTTGTGACTGTGCCTTCGTCCCACAGAGAGCGAAGAAGACAGTTTACTGGTCGATTGGTTCAAGTTAATTCAGGAGAAACATACTTTGGTGCGTCGAGAATCAGAGCTTGTATACACGTGAGTAGCTTCCTATTTCATAATCCTTTGACATGCGTTTCCCATGCTTAAGATGTTTAAAAAAACATTTAAAAAAAAAAAAGTCCTGAGACACTTGTATTTAAAGAGTGAAAAGCTGATCAATAAATTTTCAAGTCTTGTTGCTACACCTGGAGAAGATTCCTACTATTGTCCAATTTGAAAGTGTAATTTCTCAGTATAATTTCAGGTGGAAATCTTTAGAATTTTACTATTTGTTGAGCTTTTTTGTTCCTGTAATGTTGATTGTATATGATGAAGTATTTTACTTGGGGATATTAGGCAGTTCCAAGTTGTAGACTTGACACAAACCTACAACATTTTTGCTCTTCTCCTTTCTCAGTAACCTCAACGATATACTTAGTTCTGTCTTCTAATAAAGAAATAGTGTTGTGAATAATAATCTCACTATCTCAGTGGCTGAAGTACTCAACCTGAATCACTGTGCTATGTGTCCATTATCTTGTCTCCATCTCCATACATCCAGGTCCAAGCAGCAAAGTCTTGAACAGCGGCAGGCCGATGTAGAATATGAACTGCGTTGCCTTCTAAACAAGCCAGGTAAAACTGGGGTTATGGTTTACATGCAAGCAGGTGAATGAGAAGGACAGTGTCAGAATTATAGTTGATCCAGCACACAGAATAGTATCAAACCTAGGACTAAGGATAACTTCTAACCGGACCTTAGAATGGCCGGACTTAACATACCTGAGAATAGTCAAAATACTTGCCGAGGTCAGGGACACAGAAAGAGACACAAGTATGAGGAAAGCCAGAAGTCAAGGATACCAGAAATCAGGTTGCACTATTGAACTGGTCTATGTTCGAAGGGATTCTCCCAAACATAGACCTGCTTTCTAGCACACGCTTGAAACCGTTTTTCCCTGAAATAAGACATCCCCTGAAAAAAGGCCTTAGTGTGTTTTTCAGGGGAAAAATTAATACAAGACCCGGTCTTATTTTCGGGGAAACACAGTAATTTTGAACTTTTATATTGTACTTGAAGGGCAACAGATAAGGTGATTTTTGTATAATTTTTTTTAAGGCTATCACTTTGATAGCTGATCCATTGTAACATTGTTTGTGTGTCCACCCTTCAATTAATTCAAACAGCCTCAAGTGTATTGCTTTCAGGACACCTTGCTATGCATAAAGGGGTCAGCATGTGATGTTCCTTGTTAATTCTCCATAATTCCTGATTTAGGATATAATGGAATTAGAAAAAGTGGAGAGGAGGGCTACAAAATTATTAAAAGCAATGGAACATTTTAGTTAAGAATTTTAAATCTATTTAGTTTAGAAAAAACGCACCTCAGAGGGAATATGATAGCATTACACAAATATATCCGGGGCCAATACAAACCATTGTCTGGAAATCTATTCACAAACAGGGCTATACATAGGACACAATGTCACGTGTTTCGACTGGAAGAAAGGAGATTTAGTCTAAGGCAAAGAAAAGCGTTTATTACAGTAAAAACAATAAGGATGGTGCAATTCTTTACCTGGAGAGGTGGATCTATCAGAGTCTGTACAGATGTGTATACAGAAACTGGCTGCATACTTGCAAAAACATAACATTTAGGGATATCATTTTTAATTTGTGTCAGTTATTTTAGTGTTTTTCATGTGCCGTTTCTATTATCTATACTTTTTCTATAAATTTTTCTCAATCTGATATAAATAAACATTTGTTTTTCATTTTTATTGAGCAGCGGTTGTTTCAATTTAATTTTTCACTAAGCCAGAATTTTGCTAGTCAGCTCTTTTCTACGGCCATGCGACTTTAGAATGTGCCTTCAATCTACTCAAAGCTTTTCATAGCAAATTAATATTTTCCAAACCAGTTTAATTTATTATAGGAGATATTCCTACCTGTTTACTATTTACATATTTGTTCCTATTGACTGTTTCCATAGAAAAGGATTGGATAGACGAGGACAAGGAGCGGGAGCAAGTGCTGATGCAGGAGCTTGTGACGCTTATTGAGCAGAGAAACGCTATTGTCAAGTGCTTGGATGAAGACAGACAGAGGTACATACATTGTTGGTTCAGACAAGCTTATCATTTTAATTACTGTCAATTAGAATGGGATCATTTTGTATTGATGGTGACTGGTCCATGAGGTTTTAGAAAAGATGACTAGCATTTCTCCAAGAGTCCTCAACATGTGGGAACATTTTTACAGTCTGCAGAAAACCCTACACAAGAATACAGTGTTGTATGTATTATTTACTGCACAGGGGGTTACACTCCAACCAACTTTTATATTAACTCACCAAATATTTAGATTCTTCAAAGTTTACTACCCTAACTTTGTGGCACTTTATAAAAGTACAGCCAATCCTTCAAACCCTCAATGTGACCTCTGACTCTCACAATAATTTTTGTCGTATGGAATCCCATACCACATTGTAGTGTCTGCCAATATAATCCATTGTTGATGAAAAATGTTTATGATCATTTTCAGAGATTCATGGTGTGCCTCACTTTCGATATTCCTTTTGTTGTGTAGGACCAGCAGAAACTAGATGGAAGTCCATTATTGTCAGACCAAGTAAATCCCCATGATTATTTTTGTTAATCATAGTCATTCTCTTTTCTTTGCAGGGAGGAGGAGGAGGATAAATTGTTAGAAGCCATGATCCAGAAGAAAGGTAAATTCCAGTATGTGAGATGTGTGTAACTCTTCGTATACAGTATGTGTTGAGGCATTCTGGAATATTTCAGGGAGTGTCAGTGACTCATGTTTAAGTAGACCTTGAGTCAGAGAAATAACTCAGATCATCCTTAAAAGTTTAAGTTTTTCATTTTGATCCTGCCCTTTCATATTTTAATTGTATTTAACATTTTTTTTTTTATAAGAAAGTATTTTTACATTCTCATTATTTTTATATATGTTAAACCTCACTCTTCCATGTTCATTCTATGTCTGATCTGCTTATTCCATATCTTTTATCTACATTTCCCTCTTGCCTCTGTGTATTTCACAATCTCCAATATCCCATATTAATTCTAAGAATTCTGTCTGGTTTTTAACATCTGACTTTTTCTCCACTGTGTTTTATCATCTGTGTTCTAACTGTTTTCCCTATGTAGCCTCTTCTCACCACCCACTCACTAGGTCGGTGGCCAAATTTCCTTCCTGATTCCGCCCACTTTTTCAAGTTCTATGCTATTTCTCTCAGATTTCCATGCAGATCCTCACAGAAAAAGAAAAGGAAAATTCAAACCTATGAAAGTTCTCAAGCTCCTCTCTCCAAAACAAGACTCCAAAACAAAAAGCCCAAAGTTTAAAACCAGAGAACCGTTGGAGGAAGCCAAAAGGTAGATGAGGCCACCAGCGGAAGATAGGATGGACAGATGGCCATATTTGCACCATTCCTGGCTTCTTTCTGTTCTATGACAGACTGTGATGCTTTTCTGCTGCATTACAAAGCAGGCTTCTTATATGCCATAAGGTTGATTACCAGCTTAACACATTAACCTGTCTGCCAGAGAGTTTGCTTTAGTAGACACTGTAGTAAAGGACCTAGGCTGTAAGGAGTTGATTTGAAATAACAAGGGCAATATTTGCATCCTCCCTGTGGGAGTAGCCATGTCAGTTGCTTATTAGCCATATTTTGTGCCGTACAGCTTCCTACATCACTCGCCCATTTTGATGAGCAGGGCTGAAAGTACACACCTGGCCTTGGTAATATGGTTTTATGTGGCTTGTTTTGAGGTTTTGTGTTGTCCATTTTCAGATTTTAATTAGTCAACACAAAAGCCAATTAACACTTCTTGTCACACTGCATCTATTTGTGCTTTTTTTCTTTTTATTTGTTACATTTTTTATATATTTATTTCTGTAGCTTAACTGCTTATATGCCACTGAACAAAACATTTGGGGACGATAACAGCACAAAAACTATAGAGTGAAAAAATACACATGGAATATTTATTAAATGTTACAAAGATACTCTATAGGAAAAAAGTGGCATTTTTGCCAACCAACTTTTTCCTCTTTGTAAATCTACCCCACTTGCAAAGTCGGAGACATATTTCAATAATGATATTTTAATGTCTCTACTCTATAATGGGACCATACACCGCGTTTATTGAATGAATCCTAGTTTATTTACACACTTACTGCTAGTTTTACAATGAGTAATGAATTGTAATTGCTTATTGTATTGGTCATGAGACACTGCAAGATTTTCACATCAATATTAGGCATTTATTTAAAAAAATTAAAAAAGAGAAAATAATTTTATTCAGCTGTAGTTTAAAAGTTGTGTGAGTATGTAATTGAGACAAAATAGTCACATTAAAATGTAACTTTTATTTCGTAAATACATTAAAATATTAATGGGTGAGCAAGATCTCTTTAAAAAAAAAAAAAAAATTGTAGAAAACAAATCAAGTAAGCAATTATTGCACAGAGTCACTTTATAGGTATATATAACATGTATATTTTCTAAACATTACCCATACATAATACCTGGTAAAGTAAATGTCTATTGACTTGCTGCTAAGGTTTACATTTAAACCAGTTAATACTAAATATCCAGTTCAATTACTATTTTAATTGCTTTTCACTGTACCATTAAGGGCCTTGTAGTGCAAATTTTATTATTTCCTTTGGGGGTTATTTACTAAATAAAAGTCACATTTTAAGTTCCCTTATTTGTCCCAGCAATTTCTGCACTATCCTTTATTAGAAAGGAATTTCCAACCACCTATGTTATTTTATAGCAAGATCAAAAGGAACAGTTGGTCAAAGTCACCCAGGACGTGGGGCACGAATGCAAAGCTTGCCAAGTGACTGGTAAAGAACTTTAATAAATGTTCATTATTGATATGTGGCAAGTGGTCCTCTGACCCTTGCTGTTTAGAAGTTATATTAGTGCCCAAAACTGAGAGTGGATAAGTAGATTTGTGCCAGTCCCCCCATACGTTATCAGTTTATAAATTAGGAGTACCCTACCTTTCTGTCTAAAATTGGATACTCTGCTAGTAGTACAGTGAGAAGAACTGAGGTCACTGATGAAGGGCAATATTCAATCTGAGATGAAGAAGGGGAAATAAGAGACATATTAAAATGTGTGCACCCCTGATTTTGTTGTTTTGAGTGCATAGGAAATAAACATTGATTTATCTGGCACCTGTGAGCGGTTTCAAACAAAATGTTAAATGGAATAACTTTTAAAACGTAAAAATGCAACAGGCATGCAAATATGGCATGGCATCACTTAATTGAAAGTAATGTCTTCTTTTCATAAAATAGCTGGCATATTTTCTGATGAAATTGCCTTTTATACTTTTAATACTTTATGCCATCATATAGAGAAATGGACTGCGACAATGGGAACTGCTGTAAACTCATTGCTAAGTGTGGCATCCCACAGCGCCTATCAAGTTATGCTTGGCTTTAAGAGTACACATGTATGCATGTGCAGTCCACAGTAAACAGGAATAGAAAATACAGATGTCACTAGCACAAAATATAGGTCAGTTATATTTCACTCAAAGCTCTTATTCTGATTGCTAGGATCCATTTTAATAACAAGAATAATATACTCATTGGACCCTCGCAATTCCAATACTGCTTATCATTCTGTTTATTTTTCTGCACTTGCTTTTTTCACAATAAATGTTCATGAGTTCCGCACTAGTAATTGTAGTTCCTGTCTGCTAATGCTGGGTCTAGCTTTAAATTTCAAGTCCCATGGTACTAGCTAGGCTTTAAAAGTTACTTTCCACTGCAAGCTTGGAGTGGGCATGGCACACTCACGACTGGAGACTTTCAACTTGCTAGTGGCAAGTGGACATTTTGAGCCCTGACCTAGAGGCCACCAGCCAGAGGCTTCAGATGGCCCTATTACTGTGGCATATGCTCAAGCAATAAGGATCAGGTGATCCGTAGACTCCAGGTTGTAAGTGTCTGAACCACAACATGTAGGTAGGGGATCCCAAGCCCCTGGCAACATCTATATACACTAATCTGCCGGATCCCAGCATAAAAATTCTACTATTGGGAACTCTGAGCAGCATAACCTCTAAAGCTTGGTATAGTCTGGATGTTGCAGCTTATTTCTGTGTGTCAATGTTCTGGAGAAGTTTGGCAATAAACAGGTCTTGCCATGGCAATCAGAGACCTGCTTTTTCTTGGCTGCGCTGTTAAAGGAATACTCCAGCAGAAATATATTTTTAAATTATTTAGTAGACATACCCCCAGTGAAAACATTTATGCATTTGTTCATTGGGGGTATATATCTAAAAACAGGCTGCAAAAGCTGCCGACCTTCTTATGGGAAGATCTCCGAGACTTCTCATTGAGAATCATCTGATTTTGAGCCAGGCTGAAACCTAGAAAGTCTATGGGAGGGACTGAATTGGATTGGGGAGGAGGGCACTCTTGTGCTTGGGGAAGAAGGCAGTCTATTTAAAAGACGTACCACCAAATAAAATCTGCATGCATTTGTTCATTGGGGGATATCTAAAATTGGGGGATATCTAAACTTTGCAAGTTCTTCTTAATTCTCCCGCAATCTTGGTCACAGCACAGCAAGTGGCAAAGTCACCATCAGGGGTCTTTGAAAAGTATACAAAGATCCCAGAAGGTGACAGAGCTTCTTTAAGAGAAGATGTTCTTCACACATAAAGCACTTCGACAAGATAAAGTGCTCTATGTGTGTGGCGTGTCCATTTAATACTGTTTTAAAATGTACACATAATCAGTGTCAATTCCATTCAACCAGGATTACATTGATTGGTTTAGATTGGTGGGGGCAGGATAGCCCAGCTTTCTAGGCCTATGTGTGCCATCAAGTTTGGAAGGAATTGACATCGATAAAGGGTATGTATAAATTGCATATTATCAATGAGGCCTGCCTATAGGTGCCATGCAAAGCACCGTTTTTATCAAGCACCCAGGGACTCCAGGCAACATAACCACTGTACTTAGTTAAAGGATTCTGTTTGTTAGTGAGTACCATTAATTGTCTTCTTGATTCTACTATCCCTTTTCTCTAATATAAGTATTAGGAGGCATCTTGGGTATTTAATATCCATAAAAAAAATACTTAAAAAGACTTAAAATAAAAAAAAAAACTCGTTCATAAAATTTCTTATACTATAACATTAAGTAATTCATGTAAAATGGAGCTTCAAAGAAAAAATGTCACATGCAAGGAGGGAAGAGGAATGAGACCTACATTGACAGAAAGAACCTGTGTCTTCCAGTGGAAATTCTTGCTTCTGATTGAGTGAATGTACATCCATTCAGTCACAATTTAGCCCTGCATCAACCATGCTGGGATTACGAAGACACATTCTAAGTAAATCCATTGCAACAAAGAGGGATTTGTCCTGTTCTAAATGTATATGCAAGGATTTTCTAAGTCAATTACCTGTTTCCATTGGTAAAATTTAATGGGTTTATTATTACTGTACATGGCTGGTGGAGTCTCTGGCCATTTCTTTTATTTAACTCCATTCTTATGGAATGTAGGACTCATAACATGTGGAACATATATTCTGTACATATGTATCATCCTTCCCCCTGCACAGTTTTGTGTACATGTCTGACGCGTGTGCTTGGCAGTCCTAAAAAGGGTAATTTAATTGCTACCATTTTTATATTTTATCAATGTTTTTGTGGAAGAGGAAACTATAGCCATAGAGTTTATCATTTTGTATCCCCTTAAGGACACAGCTTTAGAAGTAAAAGGTCAGCATGACGGCGGAAAATTGCTGTCTGGTGTCCTTAACCCCTTAAGGACCAAACTTCTGGAATAAAAGGGAATCATGACATGTCACACGTCATGTGTCCTTAAGGGTTATATTGCCAGGAAAACAAATGAGTTCAATGCGATTTTCGCATTGAGGATCGCGGAAGCGGCCTCCAGTGGTTGTTAGGAAGACAGCCACTAGAAGCTGTATTAACCCTTAATGTAAACGTAGCAGTTTGTCTGAAACTGCTATGTTTACACCTGCAGGGTTAAAACTAGGGGGACCTGGCACCCAGACCACTTCATTGAGCTGAAGTGTTCTGGGTGCCTATAGTGGTCCTTTTAAAGGGGAATCGGGGGATTACACAGAGACAAATCTAATGTGTTTTTGGACATATACTGAAGTAGGTATTTAATACCTCTGAACACAGGGGTTAAAGTTGCTTTTGCACTGGTGTCCATGCTGCTTTCTAAATTTAACCCAATGCATCATCAAAGTGATGCATTTTAGTAAATGAGAATTTCAGGAAAATCGTCAGATACGTTTTGAATGAGTTTTGATATTAAAATCAGAGAAACATTGACACAGACAGATTATACAGTAAACATTCAAAAGTTACAGTTGTATGAAGTCAGTTGATCTATTGCAATCTACAATACCAGAGGCTTTTTGCCAAATATTTTATAGGATGATTAAATTGTGATTGTATTTCTTTAAGCATAGATTTAGCTAGTAGAACACAGCCAGTAAAGTATTTACATAATACTATTGAGGGAATGTTTTGTACATGAGTCTCTCTACAAAGTGCAATGCACCAAATTTCAAACTGAATAGGCAAATGTCTAGGAACATTTCATTATAATTATATTTAATATTTTTGGTATTCTTATACCCTGCTATTATTGGCCCAGAAAATGCCAGAATCCATTAATTGGTGGTTTTCTAAAATCTTGAAGTTTTAACAAAGAATGGCTTCTGAAATTGAATTGTACATAGCATACAGCTATTTAATTGTATACCCATATTGTTTAACCCCTTAAGGACCAAACTTCTGGAATAAAAGGGAATCATTACATGTCATGTGTCCTTAAGGGGTTAAGAAGGTTCCAATATATTTTCTACAATCTTGATTTGTAGAACTTATAAAGGATAATATTAAAGAGACACCATAAACAACCTTAACAACTTTAGCTTAATGAAGCGTTTTTTTGTGTGTAGATCATGCCCCTGCAGTCTCACTGCTCAATTCTCTGCCACTTAAGAGTTAAATCACTTTTGTTTCTGTCCATGCATCCCTAGCCACACCTACCCTGGCTGTGACTGACACTGAAAAACTAATAGTTTAATTTTTAGTTATATGTTACTTTAAAAGCTTGTATTTCGTGCTCTGTAATTTTAACTTTAATTACATACAGGAGGCTCCTTCAGGGTCTAGCAAGCTATTAACAGATCAGAAGGTAAAAAAAAAATCTATATGATCAGACTTTACAATAAAAGAAGTGTAAACATTGGATGACTCTTTACAGGAAGTGTTTAGGAAGGCTGTGCAAACCACATGCAGGGAGGTGTGACTAGGCCTGTATAAACAAAGTGATATACAGTGGTACCTCAGTTTACGAATTTAATGCGTTCTCCGGGACGTTTTGTATTGGGAAAAATTTGCAAACCGAAACACGGTTTCCCATAGGAATGCATTGAAAACCAATTAATCCGTTCTGGAGGTTAGAAAAAAGTCAAATGAGCTGGCATGGAAACCTACCCACAATGCAGAACACACAGTAAAAGGCATGCAAACAACAAAGCTCAGCTCCCTTCCAAAACCGCTGCAAAAAAATTCCAGAATGGCTCTAAAACCCGATGCAAAAGCCACTCCAACACCTCCACACTCGACGCCACGTGCTACCCACGGACTCCAGCATGCACTATAAACCTCCCAGGCACAATGCATCCTGGGAAAAGCTTTGTATTGCAGAACAAAATTGTAAACCGAGGCATTATTTTCAATGGATTTTCATTTGTAAACTGAAAATTACATTAACCGAGGCGTCTGTAAACCAAGATACTAATTGTAACTCCTGAATGGCAGAGAATTGAGCAGTGAGACTGCAGTGGCATGATCTATACATCAAAACTGCCTTATTAAACTAAAGTTATTTTGGTGACATTAGTGTCCCTTTAATGTGGACTTGCCATTTTACTACATTTTACATTCCAGAAAACTGAGACACATGTTACAATACAATTTGCATATACATGTGTGCAAAGCCTACCTGCATGTATTTCATGCAAAAGACTGCTGGATTTGCAAGACTAAATGACTGTTATTTCCCTTAAAGTTGTTGGGTGTTTTCTTAGTTGCTAGAAGATTAACCCCTTAAGGACACAACTTTTGAAATAAAAGGGAATCATGACAGAATATTTCCATCATGTGTCCATAAAGGTTTAAATGCCTATGATATTGTTAGAAGTAGTGAGCAGGTATGGTGGTTGAAGAACACATATATAGAAAACAAAACAAACCTCCCTCAATCAGTGGATAGTTTTAATGAAATACACATTATGATGCTGTAAGTGGTGTTTGCTATGGAACCACTCTAAATCCTACATGTGCTTGCCTTTTTCAGGACAGTGGTTTGTGTATGTGTCTTCAGTTGTAAAAGTTGGTGAAACCTCTTGAAATGTCTGTATTATTGCTATATTCCTACACAATCTACCCTGAAATGTGATTTTTTTTTTTTTTTGCCCTCATCAAAGTCTTAATAATGTAGATAAAGAGTCTAATTAAACAAATAACATTACATATTTTATTTGGCCATTGGTCTTTGTTGAACAAATGTTTGCAAATCTAGATTTAGTGACTGTGGGTCTTGATTTAGTGACTGCGGGCATTAACAAATCATGCCACAGGTAGAGTTTACTCAAAGATTGCCCAGCGGCCTTTCAATCGTTGAGTTTTTAAATTGTTGGCATGCTCCGTGGCAAACATTCTGCTGTGGTTTATGGATAGACAACATGACGTTAAGCTTAATTTCAGTGATTACATTGAGGTCTTAAGGATGAAGGTCTTAAGGATGAAGGAGAGTCAACCTTGGTACTCCTACTACCATGCTTCGTGGTTGGTTCTTTTCTTGCAGTACATTGTTTAATAGTTGCCAACATGAACATTCCTTATTTATGCCAAAAATAATTATTTTTTACCATCAAAAGAGTCTTTGTTAAACTTGTGCATCAGGAGAGCATACCACCTTAATAGTGCTCTTCTAATTCACATATTTTTGTATGCAACATATGTTGTGGACATTGACTCAATGGGGACATGAACAAATGCATTGTTTGAGTTCTTTGTTAAATCTAGTTCTCTTTACAGCCAGGACTTTGATGTTTTTTTCTGTAATCTGTATGTGTTCTATATATTTAATATAGAGAGAGACACAAAACACTCACCCGATATATTCACCAGGTGCTGCTGAAATGAACATATGCACAGTACATAGAGGAATTCTTATAAAACAAGCCATAGCTCTTTTAAAGCTGCATAAAACCCCTATTTCACATGGAAAATGGAGATTAATTGCATTTCATTGTTTTGAGCTGAGTTTGTATATATCTATGTATCAGATTCCAAGAGGCATATAATGGAATTTCAGAACTGGATAAAGGAACGTGGCACCCTGCTGTTAAACTTTGTAAATAATATTCCATAACCCTAAACACCAGCTATCCTAAAAACCAATGATTCTTTGTGCTAGTGCCTTTTTTGCTGTCTCACTCCATGTTACATCAGTCTGCAATTGTGGGTCACTTGTTATGTGCCATGTAATATTAATAACCCAAATGGGATTCAATCACTCACCACTCTCTAATCTCAACCTTGATAAAGGTACACAACACAGTGCATTGTTGCACGTTTGACTATACTGTTACGCTCTAGCTCTGCCTGTTTGATTTATTTTTTTATAATTAAATTATTGCAATGTTTGTAACTGTTTGAAGAAATCCTTCTGTATCAGAACAAAATAAAAATGACGTTCTAAGTCGTGAGTGTGTGTGTGTTCTTTAAGGAACCATAGTGCACAGTGGGGGAGTGGAAATGGATTAACCACTTCATTGGGCTAGGAAAATGTGTCCTGAGCTCATCTGCAAGTGTTGTAGTGTTTACTCAATAAACATGAATATATAGCTGACTTAAAATTTTATTAGAATATTTAAATAACTATAAATAGCCATTGCAACAGAAACCGAGAGTATGAGAACTCTGAGAAAGTGCAAAAGCATAGAAAAACTCAGTAGCTTGCCCTTTGGTTAGTCACCGTTTAGACAAAAATGTGTTTGCTCACTTGTGCCATTACAAAGAGAACCTGTACCATTTGCATATCTGACTGATCCCACTGATAATGGCTGTCCAGAACCGAAATGCTGGTTCTCACGGGAGACACAGCAACCCCAGACAAATGTTTCTGCCTTCCTTGGGCATCGTCAGCGAGGTGTTTCTGAAATCTGACTATACACAGTGAATAAATAGCCAAGTTGTGGCTATAGCTGAGTTATTGTATTCTTGAAAAAAATATATAATCCCGATAAATCAGTGAATAAACCCAGTGAATTCTTAGCTTACAGCTCTGACGATTTTATTTCTAACTGAGGTAGCCAGTTAAACCTTTATCTACTGTGAACACCTGGATTATTAAACCATTACCTCCAGGGCTGCTCCTCCCCTGCTTGATGTGTAGATTCATTAATGGATGTTTGTTGTTATACTTTAATGTTTGAAAACCAAAGCAATATTAATCATTCTGCAGCAAGGAAAACAGAACAACTTCAATAAAATGGGTTTCAAGTATTTATTTGATATCAGTTCTTATCTCAACGGTCTGTGTGCAAAATTGTTTAACTTTCATTTTATCTAATTTTTTTTGGTCTAATCTACAAATAGTTCAACCCCTTCAGCAGCAACATGTTCGTGCTATAACCAATGATTAGCCTAAACCTGTTTTAAAATTAGCCAAGCACATCACAACATATAAAAATAAAGTCACTTAAGATAAATTCCACTGCTACTACCATCAATGCCGCCATGGGTGCCAACAGTTGCCTTTCCTTTCTTTAGGCCAACATGCTACAACAGAGAAAAATAAATGCCGAAATTGGATGCAACCATTCATTTATCCGAAAATCTTTCAGGACAGCAATGTCTCGGACAGCGGTCCTTTCGTAGTGAAGGGCATTGTGCGTTGATAAAGGGGTACTGCCTGAAATATTTGCTGTCCTGTGCAAATAAACGTGGTGTTGCATTAGTGAAGTATTTGCATTTTGTGCTGCAAAACTCAGTCAATATTCTAATATTCTAATTGTTTGGGGGCATTTGTGACCAGAACAGAGATGAAAATCTTACTTATGCAGCCAGGTTCCTAGGGTAGTTTAATGCATGAAGTTAGACGTTGTATGAACGTGTATTATTGTGAGAAATTAAAAAAAAACAACAACTTTGAACTGGGGCAGCAAAACTCCAATACGCCAGTAGCGTAAGTTTCTGAGCATAAATGAAAAACCATAAAAGTAATGGGAACACCAAGTTTCCACCCAGATGAAAGACAGATCACCAACTGGGAACAACAAATCCAGTAATAAAAATCTAAATAATACCACTGCAAGCGCTCAAAGACCACAGGAGGTATAATCGGCATTAAAAAAGTAACAAACTGGGAAAGGTCATGCTAAAACACCAAACGCGTTTCAAACATACAGATCCTTAGACACTCTTATGTTTAAGGACCTGTAGGTCCAAAAAGCATTAGTTGTTTGGTGTGACCCGTTTTTTACTTTTTGTTTTGGCCAATTAAACATGCTGTGGATTTTGAGTGCTAGGTGGTATTATTTAGATTTTTTTTATCTTTCTTATTGTGAGAGTTGGTTATACTTTGCTACGAGCATACTAACCAACTGAATAATTTTGGAATGTAGAGTAAAGATTCATAAAACAAGATGGCTGATCAGTAAGACTACAACATGGATGATGATTTATGAGCCATTTTTGGGCAGTGAAGTATTGCTTTTATAGATGCCATTGTTTCTAAGAATATGGAACCATTTATGACGGATCAGGGTTGGTGTTAACAGATTGTTGTAATGCATCCCTTAGTTCTGAACATCTCTGTTTATCAATCACTTCCAACTCACGCAGCTTCTGTAGAAGAAAAATGACATAGTAAATTAAAACATCTATCAATCTAATTTCTTTAATCTGCCTCTAATAAATCTAATTTGCCCTTCCAAATTGCACAGCCAAAAATGCATTCTGTGGATTTGTAGTTATGTTGTCTATTTTCAGCAATACAATGTTTAGTGAAAATGATCTGTATGCTCACTGACATCATACTCCAAGCGCACAAATATAGGTTTCAGATTCATATATCTCTTTTTAGTGGTGGAGTTTGCAATCTGCAGAAAACCTTCTTATCATTTTACTACTAAATAGTAAATTGTAAGTTTAGTATACTAAATATTTCATTATTTATGTTAGCTGAATTGAATTGAATATTCACCCATTTTCACCTTTAAACTGTATGAAAAAAATTATCATATAAAACATCAAGATTAAGAAAGTTGAATGTTAACAAAATGTTTATTGGTAGCCATCTTTATTTTGTGGCTGGCTATAGCAGAAGTCACATGACTGGTATCCATTAGATATTAAAGGACCACTCTATGCACCCAGACCACTTCAGCTTAATGAAGTGGTCTGGGTGCCAGGTCCAGCTAGGGTTAACCCATTGTTTTATAAACATAGCAGTTTCAGAGAAACTGCTATGTTTATGAATGGGTTAAGCCTTCCCCCTAATCCTCTAGTGGCTGTCTCATTGACAGCTACTAGAGGCGCTTGCGTGCTTCTCACTGTGATTTTCACAGTGAGAGCACGCCAGCGTCCATAGGAAAGCATTATGAATGCTTTCCTATGTGACCGGCTGAATCCGCGCGCAGCTCTTGCCGCGCGTGCGCATTCAGCCGACGGGGAGGAGAAGAGGAGGGTTGGAGGAGGAGAGCTCTCTGCCCAGCGCTGGAAAAAGGTAAGTTTCAACCCCTTTCCCCCATCCAGAGCCGGGCGGGAGGGGGACCCTGAGGGTGGGGGCACCCTCAGGGCACTATAGTGCCAGGAAAACAAGTATGTTTTCCTGGCACTATAGTGGTCCTTTAACCAGTTAGTGTGTATATATGAAATTCCTACAAAAATTCAGTTAAAAGTGTCTCCCCAATTCTTATGTCGATTAATGGAAAAATCCAATTGAAATGTGGTTATTACAACCAAATAAGCATATTTAATTTGGTACAATACGGTGTCTGGTTTAAAATCAATTATTTTTAAGGTATAGGATTTGCATTTTTTATCGAACACCAGATTTGTTAGTCGCATGTTAGGTGGGGGTTAAGGGAGGTCTTTGTTCGCACAATAATTATAGAGGGTCATACTGCGTACGTTATTTGTCGGGGGGGTATTTTGTTTGTCTTTTATTGTGCTGGCTGGCTGGCTAGCAGTCACTAGTCACTAGTCAACTTCCACATCATTAACCCTCCAACAGGCAAAGTTTATTTTTGTACTATTTGTCCATTGACTTCTCTCACTGCCAACAAGCAAATAAACCATATTTTCAGCATGCAAGCAAGTAGAACTCCGGTGTACATTCATATGCATTCAGATGTTGAATGCCAAACTCTGGATGGTTGCCTAGCTTAAAGGGATTCTCCAGTGCCAGGAAAACATATTAAACATTAGCAATGGCCGCGCACGTGCATTAGTCCTCCCCATAGGAAGGCATTATTCACTGCTTTCCTATGGGGATTTCGGCGATGCTGGAGGTCCTCACATAGTGTGAGGACGTCCAGCGTCTTATAACACACTTTTTGTGTTCTAAGAACACTGAAGTCCCTCTAGTGGCTGTCTGATAGACAGCCATTAGAGGAGGACTTAACCCTGAAGGGTTAAGGGTAGTGGGAGCTGGCACCCAGACCACTCCAACTGGCAGAAGTGGTCTGGGTGCCTGGAGTATCCCTTTAATAATGTAAAAATATTAAAAGTATCTTTAAATGGCAAAGACTATACCTGAGAAATCTCTGTGTTGATCATATTGCTATATTGTTTTCCACGACCCAAAGCTTCCATTTCGCCCAGAAAATCCCATCTCTCTTGGATTTCAGCCACCACTGAAAGAAGAACAGTTATTTAATGCCACATATCTGAATCCAGCCCCTTACTCCATGTCTGCCCAGTCCTTACATTCATCAAATCTGTCCTTCTCTTCCAGAGGTTCTTCCATTTGTGGGGTTGCACATTTTGGCTCAGGTAGGTCCTTCCCAGTGGCCATGATGTGTTGTAGTTTAGATTTCTCCTTGTTTAGATCTCCTGTGGAAAGTAGATATTAAATATGTGTACTAACTGCAACTATAATGCCTGCAAGAATATAATCTACAGGATGATTCACTAAAGTGAGAATTCAAAGTGAAATACAATTTAAGACCAAAATAGCTGAATTGGAAACATTCTCTAAATCAGTTGTGCTTCCGTTTCAGCTACTGTTACCTAAAATTGAAATAATTTTTAATCTCACTTTAGCTAGTAACCCTGCTAATCTGTAATTAATACAAATAAACAGATCAGTCTAAAGAGGTTATATATATAGTATGACAATATGTAATAAAATTCACAAAATGTAGGCCATCCCAAACTAGAACCACTCTAAAATTGACTAAAGTGGTCAGAATGCCTCAACTCAGCATATAGATCCAGGGACAGCTGTCAGGAGTGATGGCTGACTATTTGACGCTAGACATTTGACCCATGCATCATTTACGGCTACAGTCCACTATATTAATTATGGTGCCAGGAGTGCCCTGATGCCCTCCAAAGGTAAGTAGTCAAAACATTTGTGATGATTCGACAACTTATCTGGGGTCCGTCCGTTGCCTCCTCCCTGATCCTAGAAGCTCTGGCACTAAGCTAGTTTATGAAAGCCAGGGAGGAGTACACTGACACAGTTTAGGCTTACAAGGAGCTTCTGGCTCCATGAGAGGAGGCAGCTAGCACCCGAACAACAATAGGTATGTTGTCAAACCGTTCTCAATCGGATGTACTACTTACTCTGGGAGGGAGCCATGACACTCCTGTCACCATAACCACTATAGCAGACTGTAGTTTTTATTGTGCTCAGGGTGTCTCTGTCTAATTTTTCCAATAGTGTTCCCACCTAGTTATCCCGAACCTGAGACCACCTAGCTCAGGAGTAACAGGATAACAATTTCCAAAGTAACCCTGGAAGAAAATTACAGGCTATGGGCTGAAATAAATAAATACAATGAAACAGGGGCGGTGTTAAATTTGGCATCAAATTTCAATTTAGTTTTAGTCATAGTCTTTTGACCTAAAAAGCCATTTTTAGTTTTAGTTGTATTTTACTCATCTGAATTGTTTTAGTATAGTTTTAGTCGACTAAAATTTGACTAAAACTGATAGTCGATAAAATTAACACAGAAAAAGGATCCCCACGATCCATTAATTACCAGGCTAGACTGATATGTAAAGTCAAATTAGACAAGCTGAACACAGAAGTAACTTGGAGACTTTTCTGCATTGGCTTTTTGACCAGCACCATATTGCCGTTATTAAATGTACAAATAGCAATTTATGATAAAAGGTAGTTTTTCTCCCTAAATTTAGTGTTCATATGAAGCTTATAGTCTTGTTCCATACTAACACAGAGAAGAAAATTCTCTTGGCCTCATATGGAATTATGAGTAGAAGATGTCCACATATCTAGTCTACCCAGTACGACCACTCACACTGAGTCTGCTTATTATCCAGAATAGCTAAATGCATATACCATGTATTATAAAATTTACCGTGTTTATTGTACTGCACTGCCCACAGTTTTGATATGACATTTTTTTTTTAAATCAATAGGTGATATTGTTACCTATGGCCTTTAAAATATACATGCAAAGTTAAATTACTCTAAGAAACAGATGTATAAATACATAAAGGAACACTATAGTCACCAAAACAACTTTAGTTTAATGCAGCAGTTTTTTTGTGTATAGACCATGCCTCTGAAGTTTCACTGCTCAATTCACTGACATTTAAGAGTTAAATCACTTTTGTTTCTAGCCACACCTCCCCTGGCTGTGACTGACACAGCCTGCATGAAAACAAAATGGTTTAATTTTCAACCAGATGTAACTTACTTTAAAAGTTTGTATCTCCTGCTCTGTAATTTGAACTTTAATTACATACAGGAGGCTCCTGCAGGGTCTAGCAAACTATTGGCAGACCAGGCGATAAGAAATGCTAAATTGAATAGAATTTGCAGTAAAGGAAGTATAAACATTAGAGGACTCTTTACGGGAAGTGTTTAGGAAAGCTGTGTAAGTCACATGCAGGGAAGGTGTGGCTAGGGCTGCATAAGCAAAGTGATTTAACTCCTAAATGGCAGAGACTGCAGGCGCATGATCTATACACCATATCTGCTTCTCTAAGCTAAAGTTGTTTTGGTGACTATAGTGTCCCTTTAAGATTAGGTAGACAGCCAAGCTCCAGTCATAAAGTATAGTTTAGACTTCTCACTTGTAGGGCGAGGGTGGAACTTGTCTCTGCTGTAAGCATCCCCAGCACGGCACATCTCTGCAGGTCTCAAACTGGGTCTGTTGCGTTGGATAGATGCATTTACCCGCTGAGCTGTGACGATTTTTTTACTCGGTCCCGTATTGCTAGAGCTAGGATGACATTGGGTTGGTAGTGTGTCTCCACCTGGTGAATAAAATTGCTGCTGAATAATATTTTTATTTTTTTAAATTATGTGTAGCAATAATGGAAAGGTGAGCATGTTTCGTATTATAGAGCTTTTTTTCTGTCCATAGTAGTAGATAAGCAAAGACAGTGCATACAGAATGTTTAATCTTCTACCCTTATATCACCAATTATTTTCTGACATTTTTCTTTTGTGAAAAAATTATAGTAAGCATAGAGTTGTAGGGCCATTATAGTACATGCCAACAGAATCCCCAAAATGCACCAAGGGTGCTTTGTATGTGCCATGCTTGTATTGTAATGTCTGAACAAGGGCAATACACCTTTCAATTGCTTCCATATATTTCAATAAAAAGTAATTACCGGTATATATAATACATATATATCCATACACACTGCACAAGTACTGTGAACATGCATTAATCAGAATGGAGAAACTGAACTTACAAAAAGAGCTTCCTTGCATTCTTGCATTTAATTCAAGCAAACATGCTTTTTCAGGACTATTTATAATGTATGAAGATCATGGGAGTTAGAATCTAGTGTGGAGTGTCCTTTCAGAAGGTGAAACATCAGATCTACACTGAAGTATAATTATAGAACTAACTCCTTGGGATTTAGGACAGTGCGATATATGTATTGCTACATAACACGTTCAAACAGGAAATGGGTGATGGAAAAATCTTCAAATCAGGACTCCAAGGCAACACCTCATAAGAAAGTAAGTGAATGACGTACGCTGTATTCGTTCCCGTATCTGACGCTGTTGGAAGTTTGTGAGCTTGGATTCCTGCATCATAACTAAAAAAAAACAACAAAGAACACATTCACTGTGAGGTTTTATGGGGGATATTTACAAATACAAGCACACTTTATTAGTCATAGAAGAATGAACAATGTGTTCAATATTAATGAACAATAGAACAAATAAGTGCATAGAAAGTCACCCCTCCGATGTTCTAATTATTAAAATAACAAAACTCACTTTAGGAGTGATGTGCTAAACAGGGAATTGTATGTTTAAGACCAAAGCAGTCAAATTGGAATAATTCTCAAATCCAGTTATTTCCTCCATCTTGACAACTGTGGCTTAAAATTTGCAAATTCCTTATAATTCCTTTGAATACAAGTGTAATGTATAAATTCCTTTGTGCCACACATAGGCAAGTCACACTGAATTTATCACCTCTATTTAACTATATATAATGAAACACACTCAGATCTATTCTCTGACTGCATTCAAATACCAAGTGGTTGTCAAAATGTGTCAGTTTCAACCAAATTTAACCTATTCTCCCAAGGCAAATTCTACTATTTCAACTAATATTTAGCTGCCAAATCTCCAAATATATCCTGAGTGAACTGGACATTTAAAATCTGCCAAATTGCAAAAGAAATCCCATTATTATGACACAATTCTTTTGAAACAGACAGTTGCACCTATAAATCTAAGCCCTCCCAAATCCCCTTTTAACCTAAGGCAGCTCAATTATCAGGACGCCAGGTAAAAATTTAAAATGTAAAAATACATATGGCTACACAAATAAAAGTGGCCAACAATACTTTATTAATTAAAGGGACACTATAGTCACCTGAACAACTTCAGCTTAATGAGGTTGTTCAGGTGAGAATACATTGTTTACATTAAAAGCTAGGAACATCTCCAGTTGCAGTCACTCAGACTGCCACCAGAGGGACTTCCGAGTTGCCTCCATCCACTCAGAACTGCTGTCAGCAGAGCACAGGACAGCACTATGCAGAGCATCCTGTGATTCAGTATCTCCTCCCTCTGCATGCAGACACTGAACTTTCCTCATAGAGATTCATTGATTCAATTCATTTCTATGAGGAGATGCTGATTGGCCAGGGCTGTGTTGAATCATGCTGGCTCTGCCCCTGATCTGCCTCCTTGTAAGTCTCAACCAATCCTATGAGGAAGCATTGTGATTGGATCAGGCTACCACATGTCAGCAGACTGCTTGTTTTTCTGAGTCTAACAGCATGCAGATTTACAGCTTCTGGCTTGAATACAGTAAGATTTTTACTATATTTATGGAGGCATGAGGGGCCAAGGGGGTTTAGATGGTGGTGTTAACACTATAGGGTCAGGAATACATGTTTGTGTTCCTAACCCTATAGTGATCCTTTAAGAAACAAAATAATAATAAAAAACTATTCTAATATCCACAACACGTTTCACGAGTTAGGCTTTATTAAGTGGATGCATACCACACACTTTTTTCTTTTCTTATAATTTAAAAGCCAGACAAGCACAATCATTACAAATAGCACACATCTTCACTCCCACAGGAGAAAAGGCAATCACACCACAAGACATAAGCCAACAGTTTGCAGAATATTACAAACAATTATATAACCTCCATCTAGACGTAAAAAGGACACAACCAACACAGGAAAGCATACAAACCTTTTGTATGCAGGAAAGCATACAAACCTAATGTATTTGGCTAACATTAAGCTTCCATCCTTAACTCCAGATCAGGTAGCACAAGTCTCCAAACCGATCTCTACTGATAAAGTTATTGAGGCAATACAGAGTTTGCCGTCAAACAAAGCCATGGGACTGTACGGCTTCCCAAATAGTTACTGCAAGTTGTTCTCCGAACAACTAGTGTCTCGTCCGTCTGCCATACTCAACTCAGCACTAAAATCAGGCTCACTCCCTCCAGAGATGCTGTCAGCACAAGTGATTACATTTGCCAAACCAGGAAAACAACCAAATCAATGCCAAAAATTCTGCCCGATATCCCTTATAAACAAGACATAAAATATTAGCAAAAATAAACCTTAAGTTGCAGCTTTCTCCAGAGGTCATTTTGCTTCATCTAAGCTGGCCTGCAATGCCTTATGAATCTAAAATCATACTTTTTCATCTATTTTTAGCGGCCAAAATAGTTGGCGCAAGAAATTGGAAAAATGATATACATATTCCTTGGGAGAGAGTAAAGGCTCAACTTGAGTTTCAGATTAAAATGGAATTAATGTTGAGCAAACAGAACTTAAGTAAAAAAGTTCTGGAGTTGATTAGGGAAAGAAATTGACGATTAAAGCATCCGTTAATCCTTATGTCTGTTAAAAATATCTTTTTTTTTTCTTATGAGACTATTGTAACATATCGTTCATATTTTGGATAATTTATAATGCATACGAAATTTATCCTCACCTCAGAAAATTTTTTAAAGTGTCTTTTTCTCTTTAGTTGCATTGTCTTGTATATGTAGAGATGTATGGTAATTGTAATTTGTTGTAATGTTTAGTGTCTGTGAGTAAGGGAAGATACATTGATATTATATTATATGGCTCTATATAGAAGAGAAAAATCCATGCAGACTGGTGTATATGTATGTAATGATGTGTGTTTTCTTAAAAAAAAAAAAAAAAAATGTGTTTAATAAAGATTATATAAAAAAAAATATATATATTAACAAAAATATATGCACATTAAATTAGCTCCATCCTTCCATCAATTATTTCAGACAACCAGGTAGGATTTGTTAAAGGCAGGTAAGGTAGCGATAAAACAAGGAAAGTTTAAGGTTTACTTCATACAATACATGCCTTCAAGGAAGTAGCAGTGTTGATTTACATAGATGCAGAGAAAGCATTTGACTGCCTCCATTGGGGGTTCCTGGAGGGGCTCTTACTTACATTTGGCTTCCCAATGCAATTTATGTTAATAGTAGATGCACTGCACAATAATCCCTCAGCGCAATGGGGAATTGTTTTGGACCCTTTTTGAAATGTTCAATGGCACATGGCACGGCTGTCCCCCTGTCACCATTACTGTGGATCCTAACGTTGGACCCCCTGACTTCTACAAACAGTGCGAATCTGAATATATACAGTATAAAGCCAGGGAGAAGGGAGTTCAAATTAAACTCCTTTGCCGTTGATTTTTTTATTAACTATTAACTAATTATTAATTTCCTTGCCTAACTTACTCCAATGCATCAGGTAATATTGTGCTTAATCGTTTTATAAATTAAATGCAGAAAAAAACACAAGCAATGGGTCTAAACATTCCTGGGTCGATGTTATATAGAATGAATCAGGCATTTATATTTAATTGGAGATAAGATTTCCTTATATTCCTTGGTATCCACTTCACAAAAAACTTATACACAGAATTATGTTAGAATCTAGACAGAAATTTAACAAACACTTAAAAATGGGATAAAAACACCTCACTCTCATTACTACTCCTGACTGCTACTTTACTGACATTGAGGCCAAACATGTTTTCGGGAATTTCACCCTCTTAGCACACAGTACTCATGATAAACCCATACACTTGCTAATACTGTGTTCCATTTGTCACTCGTTCTTGTTAAAAAAAAAGAGTGCAGTTTATTTCTTGTTTGTCTATGCAGACTATGATTATGTATCCTGAATGCTCTACCGATAATGTGCAAATGTCCTTGATGTACCTATGCACGTCAAAAATAAAGAATTAAAAAAAAAAAATGGGATAAAAAATGTTTATCATGGACAGATCACATTGCGGTAATAAAAATGGCTGTATTACCCAAACTCCAGTATCTGTTTAGGAACCTACAAATAATAATCCCTAACTAACTTTTAGACATAAATGTGACCCACAATGGTTGGTAGCCTTGTGTGGCAAAACAAGAAACCTAGAGTAACTATAACTATGCTGCAAAATGGCATATCGAAGGGGGGACTACACTTACCCCATCTTAAAGATTATTAGAAAAGCATAATGCTGGCAACAGTACTTGTATCGCAGTCACAAGATGATAAATCTCAGTGGGAATACATAAAAACCCAAAGGTCCATAAAGCAAGGAGTAGCATATGCAATTTGGATTCCAAAAACCCTTAGGACCCCAATGCCGGACATCCTACCACCAACTAAGATACTAAACCGAAACTGGGACAGTCTAAGGGATAAATGCTTCACATTTACCCCGTGGTCTCTAGTCACTCCACTATTCTCTATAAAAATGGGTTTATACTTATCTTTAAAAAAAAGCAGATTCCATAAACTTAAACCTAATTATGTTCTACCAAACACCTTCTACTTTTCACACATTCAGCTTAAGTCTATAATGTCACACATATCTGTCTTGAACAGCAAGAGGGAGACAATAGACTACTGTCAACTTTAAAAAGAAAATTATATCTTAAACAGAAACCTGCAACAAAACTTATCTCTGCATGTTATAAACTTGGGCAAAAACCATCAACACAACAGTTTACGTTTTTACAAGCATGGCACAAGAAACTAGGATACATCATAGAAAAATACATTTGGGAGAAAGCATTTCAAATACACAAAGGTCTCACACAGTGCGCAACACAAATAGAGTTAAAAAATAGAGTTTTAAAGAAAATCATGACTTGCTGGTACTTAGTCCAGGCTAGGGTTAAACATATATTAAAAGATGGTAATGAGAACTATTGGAGGTGTCAGTAACAACCAGGACAATGCTACATGTATGGTGGAGAAGCCAGAGGATGACCTCTTTTGGTTATCTGTGTAGAAAATTATTTACAAAACCAGTGGTATCAAACTACAGCTTTCACCCAAATTATATATACTATTTATGCTCCCAGAAGGTATACCTAAACATGTTTAAAAAAAACAATGTTATGGACACTGATAGCAGCCAATACACTAACAGCAAAAAACTGGAGGTCAACATTGGTAGCTTCAGTGAAAGACATGACAACACAAATCTCACAAAAATGTACTATATAACTGTATGAGACAAATCAAAGGAACAAGTAACACAATAGCCTTACAAGCAAAATAACTATGGTTCCAGTATCAAATCAAAGTAATTAGAGACAATTAATAAGCACTATAGTGAACTAGTTGCACAGTTAATATGCTAATTAGATAGGCATATATACTCACAATGGTTCACACCAACATAGGAACTCCCGAAAAGTTCCAACCAAACCACTTAGGTAAAACGTTGAGTGGTCCAATGAAGGGATGTATAGAATGTATTATACCACTCACCATACGGATCACATAAATCTTCTTAGACTCCACCCTTGCCCACTTTCTTTACTCCAAGTTATGGTAGCCCCTAATCCCCCTCTAACTAATGAACAACCTGTCGGCAGGGCCACATGGTACCTTTTCGTATACAGATGACATTATCGCGAGTCACAGGACAAAATAAAAAAGTGCGGAGGTAATTCATACTTGTTGAAAGAATGAGTTAAAAGTACAGTGTCTCCCAAGTATAAACAGATCTTCACGAACCACAGTTTTATGACCACAGAACTGTTTCAATACAACTATTATAACCAACATGAAAAGAGGATTAGTCAAGGTCAACCACACTGGCTCACAGTCTAAAAACCTCATGGAACACAGATAATGACCTGCCCAGATAACCTTTCCAATGGACATATCTACAAAAAAACTAATTAGTGTAACCCAAGACACTTTGAAACCAAGCCAGTGTCTGTGTACACAAACTGAAACATACGCAACAAAAATTTACAATTATACCTATATCTTTGGGACGCTGTGGTGGAACACGTGGGGATCTGGTAATTGGTATCAGAGTTGTTCGTTTTTTATGTTTAACAAACACACGTTAAAAATAATATTTTTTGATGCGGGTGAATCCGGCACACTTACCAAGCCACTAACAGCCTCCTGTGTGCCATACATCATGGGCAAGAAGGCGAAAAAATATAAAGTTGATCCCGGCTCGGGCTCCCGAGATATCGGAGCTTTCATGCGCACGACCATGCGGTCGGACTCGAGCAAGATGGCGCCGGTTGGGGCCTATACCTCGCCTTCGTCAGACGACGAGAGTCAGACGGCCACCCACTCACCTCCTCCTAATGTACCAACGAAGCCCGCGACACACATGGAGCTGGGTGACACAGCCCCAGCCACGAAGGCCGACATAAGGGCCCTAGCACAGGAAATACAAACAATGTTCCATGCTGACATGGCGCTGATCAGGGAGGAAATCTCCACACTCACAGGAAGGGTGAAGATGGTGGAAGAAGACCTTAAAGGTGTTGGAGTAGCCCAGACTGCCACAGATGCAGCCCTGGGATCACTGCAAAAGCAATTCAACACCCTGATTACACAAATAGCTGCTATGGAAGATAAGGCGAAAGCGCGGAACGTGAGGATCCGAGGGGTTCCTGAATCGGTCACTGACTCTGAGTTACCCCATTACTGCCGGAGGCTGATAGCCACACTGCTACTACCCAAACAAGTGAAACAAATAGGGGTGGACTCATGTTTTCGGCTCCCCAAGGCACCTAGGGCTCCCCAGGGGGCTACTGGGGATGTACTTGTCAAATTTGTTCGGGACTCCGACCGAGGGGCTCTCATGGGAGCCTCAAGAAGCTCGCCCACGGTTCCCTTTGAAGGGGCACACCTAACTTTTTATAGAGACATTTCCAGGCACACTTTGACATGGAGACGGTCTCTCAGTCCGATTACCCAGCAGCTTCGAGAGCACACCATCACGTATAAATGGGGGCAAAACCGACTGATGGCAGAGAAAGCAGGCAAAACGCACCTCCTCACGCACAAATCGGAAGCACCAGCTTTCCTTCGGGCTCTGGGCCTGCCAACGGAGACGACCCCAGCGGCCAACGGCCCTTCTTGGTGTGTCGCAAACATCACTCCATTTGTACCCAGGGGAACAAGAACGGGCATACCGGACTCACCAACCTGAAACTAGCATGGACTGCAACCTAGCATGGCACAGTTTTACCTAACATTGTTTGACACAGTATTGTTTTAATGTTCGATGCCGTATTATTTCCGTATAAGTTCACTAATATTTTATGTACATCTAGTTCGTATAAACATATGCCCGCCACCTCTATCTGGCTCCGCAAGCTGACAGCCAGCCACCGTGCCTTGTATTTACCCCCACCCCCGTCTCCTCTATTTGCTGCTCACCATAATCAGCGAGCCAGCGCTCTGGGGCGCGTTATTCAGCCGACCTAGCTGGCACAATTACCTACTGGCTAACCGCCAAGTCGGCACTAGGCTCTTTATCCCCTATGACAACTTGTATTAATTAACTCGCACCCTAAGCAGAATTACTTTAAGACATAGCCTTATGACCTGAAACCCCCAAGGGTGCATATGCAACTGATCGGCAACCTCTAGTCACTAGATGGGCCAACAACTCGTGTAGTCATGAGGAATCTAAGCAAAACTGCAAAACTGGGTTCCATAGTACGCATGTGATGCTGGGGAACAGTGTGAGGTCTGCAGTATACCTTTCCTGCACTCAATGCAACCGTGTTGATCTTGATTACCCTAACAAACAGGGAGAACACTGTTTTCCAGCACCGTTAGCATGCCTAATAACCTGTTTCACTCCCACTGTAAAAACCCACTCATTCCGTTGAGCTTGGTAATATATAAATAAAAATAAAAATGTGCGATCTCTAATGCCACTACATAACCTGTATGCATCTATATATTTACGCTGTTGTGGCGTCTTGTCCAAGTTATGTACCTACCTGCACAATAAAAATAAAGAATTTAAAAAATATATATATATATTTTTTGGTGTCAATACAAGATAGTCGAACCTGTGTAGAAAAAGGTATGTACCTCCATGTGCCTTAATATCAGAATGTATTGGCATATCCCTCCCCTTTTCTTCTCTTTTGTACCCTTTCTAAGTATCTATTATACAGAAACCAATATAAATTCCAATGATGAAAATAAATATATAAAGTGATTTTATATTTTTTCAAATATTCTATTCATAATTAAAGTTGTATTAGTAATTAGTCAATATTAGTAATCATATAGGTTTCAAAAGAAATCATAATTCCTCCTTTAAAGTATTTTGTATAATATGTATGGGTGTATTTAAACAGAAAGGGTGAAATAAAAAAAGGGGAGAATGAATGCATGGAAAAGTGACAAAAAGACCTTGATGACAAATGAATCCCATCTTACAAGAGCCTTAGTCCTTAAAGCGTTAATCAATTCAATGCTTGTTTTGCTTTCTTGTAAAGAATTTAACATAATGCTAATTTTATTTCCAAAGAAACAATTTTGGACTCTGGACATTTGGGTTAACCCAAACTATTTCTTTTATTTTTTTATTTTTGTTGTGCACAAAATGAACAAACAGCCTCGGTACGCCACAATAGCAGTATCAAGGTATAAAGGAATACAATATGCATGACAGATTGTAATGTTCTAAAATTAGGCACATTTTTTAGTATTAAGTAGAGGATAGTTAAGCTGGATAGTAGGTTTTAGTGTGATGTGCTAAATAAGTAGAGCTGACGTTGAGATCACGAGTAGTCTGATATGTGTTAGGTAGCTTACACATTAATTATACAAACTGCAAGCTAATATAAACACATTTGCTAGGTAAGAAGAGGGTAACAAACCGCTGGCACCCATACCGCCCTGCCAAGGCTTAGGTATGTAAGGTAAGCGTGGTAAAGTAATTGAAAAACAAAGGCATAAACAAAAGGAGAAAACATGGGTTGAGGCACAGAACTCATTGAGTATTCAGGTGGGAAATATACTGAGGAGAACCTTAGGACCTGCTACCTCCACCATGATTTCTCCTGGTTGTATGTAATGGGAGTGTGGGGGAGTTAGGCAGGTTAAATACTATCCAATGTGGGTTGTGGGGTGTAAACAATAGAGCATAACAATTGCATTGGGTGTCTGCCTGTCCATAGGTGGTATGGGTCGTATTACACAGGCTGATTTGGACACTGCAGTGTGTGTCCTGGCATAGAGGGAGACTCTCTATCCGGTTTGAGATTGGCCGCCTCCCCCGGCATCCAGGTCGCTATCCTTGCTAGGCATCAGACGCATATCGCGGTAATCGGTAATAATAGTTGCTTGTGTGGCACCAAAAGATTCAGTGCACTTCATCTGTCTACTGGTAGCCCTTTTGTAGTGTTTTCTGGCTGTGTTGTGCCGTTTTTCCGCTGTATTAGCCAAGCTGAGCGGGAGCTGTGTCTACATGGGTCTGCTCAGCTCAGTGTTTAAGCCCCACCCCCAATCCAAACTATTTTTTTAAATCTTATTCACAGTATTGCTTAGGAGTCTTTATGCTGAGCACTGGATTCTGATTTGGTGATCAACCTAAATGTTATCTCTGATGCAATATTTTGAGGGGAAGAGTATTTTTTTTGTAATTATTTTTTTTTTAATTATTATTTTTTTTAATTATTTTTTTTTGTAGTGCAGAGTGAAATACATATTTCAGTAGTAAGACATAGCATAATGAAATATAACAAGGTAAGACATGGGTAATCGTGAGATGCTGCACTTTTGTTTTTTGTAAAAGCATGGTATAAGACATGGGTAACTTTATGCTATAACATGCAATATTTATGGTATAACATGCAATGGGTAGTAGGGAGAATAGAGTATCACAAGCAAACATATTTGTACAATTGGTAGCCTGAAATTTTAGCTTATTCACCTGGAGTGTGCTAATGCAGGTAATAAAAAGCTTAAACAAAAATAGTTAACTGAAATTAAAGCAGGAGCAATGAAGAACATGTTGCCACAGTAGCCAGTTGACTAAGATGGAGCATGGAACAGGAGGCTCAGCATGGGAGTCAGCCTATTCCCATTATAGGAAATTTACTGTCCCACTCGAAGTGGATCTGAATCAATGCCGGAGGTAACAGCCTCAGGTCTTGTGGCTTCTGCTACGTTCCACCCAGTTCTCCCATATTCCTCTCCTCTGTAATGCCCGTTCTGTGTATAGCCTGTGTCGGGGCTTGCCAGCTAACTGCTCGCCTTGCGGAGCACTGATGCGGTCTTCACGGCCATAGGATTGTTCGGCTTGTGGGAGAAGTCACTGTGCACCAAAGGGTGCGAGAGGAATGCTTTGCAGGAATTTCCACACTTTCAGATGAGGTCCGCTTGTACTGCAGCTTGCTCCAGAAGGCGTAGAATAGGGCCTCCAAGTGCTGGTCAATAGATGGCAGCTCCGCACCAGGATTAAGGGTACTCGTAGCGCCCGCCATCTTAGGTGTGTTGCCGCTGGTCTCATTGGCATCTGCGGCACAGCCATGTCTTCTTGATGGGGCTTGGAAGCCACCAGAGTGGGGACTGGGATTACCCCCACAGGTCCAAAGGGGGGGCAGCGGGGTGTCAAGAACATATCTGGACACTGCTGGCGCCGTACTGGGAGATCAGCCGCCTATCCCTTCTTCAGCATCTGCTAGGCCTCACTGGAGCCAGGCGTGCAAAACGGTTCTGAGGACTTTTGCAACCATTCCCTACACTGTCTGAGAGCTGAAGTAGTGAAGAATATGTAGCATGTGTGTAGAGAACTGCTAGAACAGCTAACATAAGCGGTTTGTTTAGTGTATCTCAGGGAGCTTTCGAGAGACACGTCTAGGCCATAGGGAAAACATTGGATTGGCTAAAATTGGCAAGGGGGCATGGCCAAACCCTGTTTTGGCCAATCAGCACCTCCTCATAGAGATGAATTGAATCAATGCATCTCTATGAGGAAAATTCAGCGTCCACATGCAGAGCGTGGAGACGCTGAACGGCACTGCTGCCCACTGTGCAGAACTGAGCCAGGAAGCACCTATAGTAGCCATCTGAAGAATGGACACTTGGAGGTGTCCCTAGAGGCAATGTAAACACTGCCTTTACTCTGAAAAGGCAGTGTTTGCATGAAAATGCCTGCATATAATGTTTATACTAACCAGAACATGTAGTTGTTCTGGTGACTATAGTGTCCCTATAAAAGCTGCTTGATTTAATATCATTTTTTCATTTGTGGCATTATACATTCATTTTCACTATTGAGAGAAGCTTACCTCTCAGCATTTCCTGAGTTTCTTTGCTGTACTGAGCTGGTTTTGCACTATTCCAGAAACCAGTGCCAGCCTGTACACTGACATTTCCAGCCTTTAGCGACATAGTGATGAGCCTGTAAATCACACAATTCAATTAAAAGCCAGAACATTCTGATGAATTAACAATTAGCAGAAATTCCCTTAAGTGTTTAAGTAGGCATGCAGATTTTCACAGCGCTATTTAATGTGGGAAGATGATGTGTTCCACAGGGCCTTCACCTGCCCACACAAATATGGCGGCACCCAGGACCTAGGTCCGGGCATCAAATAAACTGCTAAAAAAAAGAAGGTAAAATTGGGGACCTAGGGGCATTTGGGAGTGACTAGAAAGACATTAAAATGTAGTGGAGTCGGGAGGGAGGGTTAATGACAGTGCCTCTTTAAGTCTACTGGTTTCAGCTCAAATACAATAGAACATTTTGTAGACCTTCCCAGAGAAGCGAAACAGATGGAATCAGCTGATTGATTCTAGATATAGAATCTAGATGCTTTGTTAGTCCATCTCATTCACAGAGAAAATGCTGTGAATTTATAGCCCACAGTGAGTGAAATGTGAATAACCACCCACTTGCTTGACTAAACATTGGTATTTCATAAAAATATTTCACAGTGCAATTTGCTCACACTTACCTTCTCACGTATGAGATGCAAATAGCAAGCATTTCTGATGGCATTTACAAAATCTGTCTATGCATGCAAATGTATAAAGTAGATCAATGACGACTTATATATATTTATTCAAACTCATTCCTCTTCCTCAATAGTGAAAATATATATTCTGCCTGGGTGCCAACCACGTATACATACAAACTAAAGAGATTAGGTGGCACTTGTATGTCTTCTTCAATGTGAACTTATTTGTTTAATTTACAAGGCAAATCGATCAACGTTTTGCCCTATCTTCTTGATATTGGCCCGAATAGGCCAAAATATTGATCGACTTGTCAAGTAAATTACACCTTGAACAAGACCTGCCAGTGCCACCTAATATCTCTAGTTTATAGACATATATGTATAAATACATCGTTCATGCGGTGAAAAGTTGATCGCTTTGTCTTGTGAATTAAACAAATTAGAATGAATCAATCTGATTTAATTGATGATTTCCACCTTTGACCAGATCTCGGGGTGATTGCTACAAACTAATAACACAATTATTTTTTTAATATGGTTTTATATTCCTCAGTACACTTTTTTAGATGTATAATTAAAAATTATGTTTTACAATATTTAGGGCTGTATTAATTTCCTTTTTTCAGTCTCTTATATGTGTATGTGGTTTGCATATTCTTTATATATATATATGTAGCTAATATGCAATACATGTAACATGTTGACTATGTATATGGAAAATACCATCACAATATAAATAATGACAATAACAATCAATCCATTGTACAACACAAAGTGAAAACTGCTTTTATTTTTTATAAATAATAATAATAATAGTAATAATATATACATAAAACCTACATATAACAATGATACAATGTTTTATGTAACAGTATATAGAGGGGTTTAAAGCTGCATGCACAGAAAATATAAATCTACTATAGAATATAATGAATTGTCACATTTTACAGACTGTGCTATGATTACGGTGATAAAAGAATATTAAATAATAATAATAATAATAATAATAACTATAATAATAGGATACGATAAGTAAATGTTCCATGTTTACACCGGTGCACTCTACCATCCTACCTCCTCCAGCAGGTACTGCAGTTGTTTCCTGTCGTCATGGTAACAGCAGGACTCCAGGGGAGGGGGCGGTGCTCCACAGTGCGTGTTTCCGGTTCCGGTTCCCTGTTTCTGGTCGCCAAACGTGCGCGTGCGGTATTTCCTTGAGAAGCTGAGCTGAGAGCGAGCGGGGCGGCCATTACCTGCACCATGTCCGACAACGAGGACAAGTGAGCGGCTTTCATACATTATAATGGGGCCTGTATATAGATGGGCTGATAGCTGTGCTGTGTGTCTATGGGGGTTATTATGGGATGTTATCTAGGTACAGGTAATGTGCTATACATCTAACCACAATGATGCGTCCTCTCCCTACTCTGCTTCATTAACTGGGGCTACCAATAAATGGGGGGGCATGGTATAGTCACCAAATAGGGAAATGGGGAGCGATATGGATTATGTGTCCTCTCCCTACCCTGCTTCATTAACTGGGGCTACCAATAAATGGGGGGCATGGTATAGTCACCAAATAGGGAAATGGGGAGCGATATGGATTGTGTCCTCTCCCTACCCTGCTTCATTAACTGGGGCTACCAATAAATGGGGGTCTCGGTATAGTCACCAAATAGGGAAATGGGGAGTGATATGGATTATGTGTCCTCTCCCTACCCTGCTTCATTAACTGGGGCTACCAATAAATGGGGGGCATAGTATAGTCACCAAATAGGGAAATGGGGAGCGATATGGATTATGTGTCCTCTCCCTACCCTGCTTCATTAACTGAGGCTACCAATAAATGGGGGTCTCGGTATAGTCACCAAATAGGGAAATGGGGAGTGATATGGATTATGTGTCCTCTCCCTACCCTGCTTCATTAACTGGGGCTACCAATAAATGGGGGGCATAGTATAGTCACCAAATAGGGAAATGGGGAGCGATATGGATTATGTGTCCTCTCCCTACCCTGCTTCATTAACTGGGGCTACCAATAAATGGGGGGCATAGTATAGTCACCAAATAGGGAAATGGGGAGCGATATGGATTATGTGTCCTCTCCCTACCCTGCTTCATTAACTGGGGCTACCAATAAATGGGGGGGCATGGTATAGTTACCAAATAGGGAAATGGGCAGTGATATGGATTATGTGTCCTCTCCCTACCCTGCTTCATTAACTGGGGCTACCAATAAATGGGGGGCATGGTATAGTCACCAAATAGGGAAATGGGGAGCGATATGGATTATGTGTCCTCTCCCTACCCTGCTTCATTAACTGGGGCTACCAATAAATGGGGGGCATGGTATAGTCACCAAATAGGGAAATGGGGAGTGATATGGATTATGTGTCCTCTCCCTACCCTGCTTCATTAACTGGGGCTACCAATAAATGGGGGGGCATGGTATAGTTACCAAATAGGGAAATGGGGAGCGATACGGATTATGTGTCCTCTCCCTACCCTGCTTCATTAACTACGGCTACCAATAAATGGGGGGCATGGTATAGTCACCAAATATGGAAATGGGGAGTGATATGTGGGACATTCAAAGTGAGTTTAACATTTTAGGTCAAAATAGCTGAATATTGGGGGAAGGAAAAGAAAAACAACAAGGCTGTTATGATTGCACTTCAGCTATTTCGGCCTAAAATGTGAAATTTGCACTTTATTGAATAACATTGCATGTTTCTCGTTTAGATAAAATGCCTATATCCTTTGAAAAGAGTGAATGCAAACATGGTGAGAAATAATAGGGATGGAAAGATGTAACGTGAAAGGGACATTCAAAGCACCATATCTGATGTAGTTGTTATGGTGCTGGTAGTGCCCTGGCACCTCACCCCTTTCCCGCGATTGTAAGTAGTCAAACTAGTAAAGGTTTGGCAACTTACTTGATTTGCACCAGTTCTCTATGATTATATGAAATCCAGGCTTTCCCTCCTTGCCCATGCATTTATGATACCATCCCTAGCAGTTTAGTGAAATGAGCCTGATATATATTTCTTTCTATTTCAGGTCTCTATTTCTTTGCAATACTTTTTTTTTTTTTTTAAACATTCTTTATTTATTGTTTTCCGGTGTGGAAAAAGAAAACATTAGGGTACAGAAATGAAAGAGGGAGGGGGTGAAACAGCCACAATGATACGGGAGCACAATATTTTACTTGTCTTTGCGCCTTATGGTGTTGCGAACAAGTAGTTGTGTCTTGGTGCGGTCCGTTGGTTAGGCGTTTATCGTGCAATAGTGCGGGGTTCAGGGATTTCTATTTTGGACTTATTCCCTTTGCCCAATTCGTTTGGACCAGTCTGTATTGGTGGCCGTATGAGATTTGCGGCTCGTCTCGTTAACAGTTTTGTGGTAGGGTGGGATGCCCCCTATTGACTATTTTTATCGTCCTCGTTGCGTACTAATGGGCGCCCCTGCGTCTGGGTAGTCAGTTGGGGGGGAGGGTGGAGAACCTATGTACAAGGGTGAGAGTACCATGGCGGGACACTATTTCGGGAGCCCAGTAGACGTCCAATGGTTCGGGTTGGGGTAATATTTGTACTGTGAGTTTCCGTGCGTTGGTATTTTGATCGCTATGTTGGAGTAGCGGGCCTGGTGGGTGAGGTGGAGGCTGTCCGTGTGCCCTTATTGTAGGTGGGGATCGGATAACCAGGGGTCCCAGATTCTGTGGAAGTGTTTAGAGGTCTCGTGAATTATGGCTGATAGCCTGTCCATGTGTATTGCTTCCTTGGTTTTGCGTATGATCGTTTGCAGTGTGGGGGTGTTTGGCGATCCCCATACTTCGGCTATTGCCCGTCTAGTCGCTAAGGCTATCCGGTTTGTCATTTTGTTTTGGGCTCTGGTCAGGTCCTCTCGTGGTCTGGAGAGGAGCCAGGTCCAGGGGTCTAATGGTATGGTGGTCTGGAGGAGTGTTGAGACTAGGGTAGCTACTTCCGCCCACAATGGGACCAGTTTAGGGCAATGCCACCATGTGTGTATGTATGTGCCTCTCTGCCCGCAGTTTTTCCAGCATAGGTCCGCGTCTGCTTTGCCCATATGGTACAAACGTACCGGGGTTAGGTACCATCGGAGCAGTGTTTTATACGCTTGCTCCTTATGGTTAACGCATATGGATATTGAGGCCGTTGCCTCCCAGATATCTTGCCAGTCCGTGGGGTCGTCCGGTGGCCCTAAGTCCCTCTCCCAAGCCGCCACATATGCTGAGGCCCCCTTGGGTTGGTTGGTGATAAGAAGTGTGTAGTTTTCCGTGATTTGACCTTTGTGGAGTGGGTTATGTAGGCATGACCTCTCAAACCGTGTGAGCGTGGTGGTGGCTGCTTTGGCATTGTCGGGTTGATCTAAGAAGCTTCGTAGTTGTATGTAGCGAAAGAAATCGTGAGTGGTATATGTTGCCTGCGTGTTGGGAAGGTCGTTGTATGGGGTAATTTGCGTTCCCGTGTAGAAGTGGTGCAGTCTAGACAGGTCGTTTTGCTCGTAGTGTGCAAAGTCTTTGGGTGTTAACCCTGGGGGGAATGCTCTATTGCGTAGTATTGGCGTCAATGGTGTCGGGTTGTTTATGATGGGGAATTTCCGGGACGTTTTGTCCCACAAGTCTATTGAGTTCGTGATTGCTGGGGGCAGTGGTGGTGGTAGGGGGCGTGATTTCTTTGGTACCCATATGTAGAGGGATGGGTGGTCGCGTCCAAATAGGTCATGTTCCAGGTCCGCCCATCGTTTGATCCCCTGCGGAGTGTGCCAATGTTGGATCTGTGTGAGTTGTGCGGCGTAATAGTAGTTTTGGAGATGGGGTAGTCCCAGTCCTCCCGTCCTATTGGGGATGTACATGGTGCTCCTTTTTATTCTGGGTCTTTTATTTGCCCAGATAAAGTTGTCTATTAATTTTTGGACATATTTTGCGTCTGTTGTGGGGAGTGGGATGGGGAGGGTTTGGAATAGGTAAAGGAAGCGGGGTAGGAGGTTCATCTTTACTGATGCAATGCGGCCTAACCATGAAAGTGATAGGTTTTGCCATCTTTTGAGATCGTCCGTTGCTTTCTGTATCATTGGAGTATAGTTCAGGGCGTACGTGCGGTGTAGTGCTGCTGGTAGCTGTATACCTAGGTATGGGATGTGGGATGTGTTGTAGCGAAACCTGTATGTTTCCAGTAGTGTCTCCATCGTGTTTTGGTCGATATTTATGCTAAGTGCCTCTGTCTTGTCCAGGTTTAGTTTATATCCTGAGGCTGCTGAGTATTCTTTCACCAGTCTCAGGAGTGGTGGGAGGGCGGTGAGGGGTTCAGTTAGCGTTAGGAGCAGGTCATCGGCGTACGCCGCCACCTTGTAAGCTTGGGAGCGTACTGTAATGCCCGTGATGGTAGCGGTGGTGCGTATGAGGTGTAAAAGTGGTTCCAATGATAGGGCAAAAAGGATCGGTGACAGTGGGCAGCCCTGCCTCGTTCCGTTATGTATAGGGAAGTGGGGGGGTTGCGCATTTGGGATGAGTAATTTTGCTTTTGGGACTGAGTAGATCGTTTTGAGGGCTGTCATGAATGGTGTTGGGAATTGGAGTTTCTCTAAGGTGGCGAAGAGGAAGGGCCATAGTAGTCTATCAAATGCCTTCTCGGCGTCAAGGGATAGTAGGAGGGTGGGGATGTGACGGTGATTGGCTACCCATATGAGGTCTAAAGTCCGTCTGGTGTTGTCGCTCGCTTGTCTTGTGGGGACAAATCCGACCTGGTCGGGGTGGATTGTCGATGGAATGTAGGGGAGCAGTCTGTTGGCAAGGATTTTGGTGAAGATTTTGATGTCTACGTTTAATAGGGAAATGGGTCTGTAGTGACCTGGTTCTGTATGCGGTTTGCCAGGTTTGGGTAGTAGGCAAATGTTTGCCTCCAGCATGTCCTCGGGCAGCTGATCTCCAGTCATGAGCGAGTTATATAGCTTTGTCATGTAGGGTAGCAGGTTGTCTGTGAATGTTTTGTAGTAGATGCCCGAGTATCCGTCCGGGCCTGGGCTTTTGTTGGGTTTCGTGGTGCCTATGACTCTCCTCACCTCCTCCTCTGTAATTTCTGTAGAGAGGTGTGCTTGAGCCTCCGTCGTGAGTGTCGGAATGTGGGCCTTTGCTAGGAGGGTTTGTATGTTATCGCGTAGGGGGCCGTCGTCTTGGCGGTGTTGAGGGGAGTGGTCGTATAGGTCGGTGAAATACTTCTGGAAGGTCTCGGCTATTTTGTTGGGTATGTCGGTTGGTTGGCCTGTGGGGGTATGGATGGTGGTGATTTGCTTGGCTTGCTGGCGTTTGCGTAGCCTTCGGGCCAGTAGTGTGTCTGCTTTGTTTGATTTTTCGTAGAACATTTGTTTTGTCCATTGTAAAGCTTTAGTTGCGTCTTTCGCCATGGCCTGTTTAAGGGCCTGGCGCTGGTGGTGCAGTTGTGTTGTGAGATCTTGTGTGGGGGTTAGTTTGTGTTGTGCTTCGAATTGTCTGATCTGGTCCAGTAGGAATGTTATGTGGGCTAGGTGTTTTTTTTTTTCCGCCGTGGCTATGCTGATCAGGGATCCCCTGAGCACTGTTATGTGTGCTGCCCAAAGTACCGCGTGTGATTGCACCGAGTCTTTATTGGTGTCGAAGTATTGGGTGAGTTCTGTCTTCAGTTGGGCAACTATGTGGGGGTCATGGAGTAGTATAGGGTTGAGCCTCCAGGTCCAGGGTCGTGAGATTTGTGGTGGTTGGAGTTGTAGTGTGATGTCTGCGTGGTCAGACCAGGTAATGTTGCCTATTGCAGACTTTGTGACATGGGGGATTAGGGATGGTGAGATGAGAAAGAGGTCAATGCGGGAGTAGGTGTGATGGGGGTGCGAGTAGAACGTGTAGTCACGGTCTGTTGGGTGTTGAGATCTCCATATGTCTATGAGGCCCGTTTGGGTTATGAAGTCGGCCAACATTTTGTCCGCTCTGGAGGGATGGGTGGGTTGCTGGGTGTGGGGGGAGTAGCGTTGTCTGTCTATGGATGGGGAGATTGTAGCGTTGAAGTCGCCCCCTATTATTCTTTGGTAGTTAGGATGTTGGCTAAGGTGAGCTTGTATTTTCTGCCAAAATTGTGGGTCTGGAGTCGTCGGTGCATATATGGAGGTCAGAGCTATTTTTGTGGGTCCAATAGTGCCAAGTGCTGTTATATATCGTCCTTGTGGGTCTTTTTGGACGTCTTTAAGGTGTATAGGGCAATTTTTTTTCAGTAAAATTGCCACCCCATTATGTTTGCCTGTATGTGAGTTGGCGAGGTGACAGGTTTGGTAGTGACGGCTTAGGAGAGGGAACGGGCGTGTATGAGCGTAGTGTGTCTCCTGGAGGAAGACCACGTCTGCCCCCGACCTGTTGGCCCAGCGCATAACCCGGTGGCGTTTCGAGGGGTGGTTGAGCCCCTTGCAGTTAATGGATATGCATGTTACCTTAGCTTGCATTGTGGTGTGAGGGGTACTGCGGTGTCGATCGTGCCTTGGTCCTGCTCCCTGTGTTGTGGGTGGAGGTTTGGGGATGTTGCGTCGGGTTTCTTCCCGTTTTGGACGTGGTTCTAAGGTCCCGTGTCCCGCCATGGTACTCTTCGGGGGTAAACTGTGGGTACAAAGAAAAATAACTGTGAACATATATACAACTTCCTGGACTTATGGTCTGTGCCAGGTTCAAGTTTAGTGGTGTGTTGGGAATGTCCCTTAGGTGGGACTCCAGTGCCCAGGTGTTAACGTGGGGCGTGGTGGGGGTAAGTCCTGAGGTGCGTCCCGGTCCAGGTGTGTGCGGATTTCCACTGGGCAGTCGTGGGTTGGGAGTGGGGGGTGGTGTCTTTGGGTCTGTTAGTTACAGATCTGTCTGGGGGGGTTGGTAGCTCCCGTGGGTTAGGGGGCCCTTCTGGGGGAGGGGTGTCAGCACGGTCCCTTGGGCTGGGATTCCTGGTGTCAAGGTCGGGGTTAGGGCGATCCCGGCTTTCCTGGGTCCCTGGTGTTCGGTTATGGGGCGTTCTCCCCCCCGTCTCCCCCAGGTTGTTCCAGTGGGGTGGCGTGTAGCCTATTGTCTGGGGGTCAGGTGGTTCAGTGTGGGTTTTCCCTATCGTCCCAGCCCGTTCCCACTTACTTCCTCCCCCCCCCCAACTCCCCCTAGTTTTACCCGCTGAAGTGGTGTGGCGTTCCCCCTGCTCCCCTACCCCCCGCTGTCTGGTCCCCTTGGTGCTAGGTGTGGTGCCTCTTTTCTAGTTTGAGCCGTGCACATTTGCAGGGCTCACTAGCTGTTCACATGTATACAAGTAGACAAATAAACAATCGTGGCACGTATGACCAGCGTCTCTACATTTAAAGTACGTAAAGGATATTTGATGGGTCGTTGGATAGGTGCAGTCTCTGTGTTACGGCTTGCTCTTTATTGAAGCCGTCGTTTCGGTGCGTCTTGTCTGGGTTCAGGGTCGGTGCGATGGAGTCAGGTCTTCTTCGGTCCGGTGCTTGGCGTAGCTTTTGGGCTGTTCCCGGCGTGGTGGTATCTTTGCGGCGATGGTTTTTCCCACAGTGGTTGTAGTGCTGGGGGTCGTCTCCGTGCAGTGGTAGTAGTGGTGTCAGATCTTGCCGCTGGTAGGCGCAGGCCCAGTTTGGAGGCAAAAGCTTGCTGTTTGGAGGGGTCTGTGAGGATGTGGGTCGTGTTGTCTCTGCGGACAAGGAGTTTGAAGGGGTGCCCCCACCTGTAGGCTATGCCTGCTTGGGTTAGTGCCGTTGTGAGCGGTTTCAACTCTCGACGTTTGGCTAGCGTGGTGGGTGCTAGGTCTTGGTAGAATGCCAGCGTGGCGGTGTCCAGTTTTGGCGGGCTTTTTCTGGTCGCCGCCATAAGTGCTTCCTTGACGGAGTAGTAGTGAAGCCTCACTATCACATCTCTGGGGGCTGTGTGGTCTTGGCTAGGGGGCTCTGTGGGCTCTGTCCATGGATAGCTCTTGTGGGGTTTTGTCAGGTAAGAGGGTCAGAAATACCTCTTGCAGTGTGGAGTGGAGTAACTCTCCAGTGATGGTTTCTGGGAGGCCTCTGATCCTGATGTTGTTTCGTCTGGATCTATTGCTGAGGTCTTCCAGTCCGTTTTCCAGTGTTTCTATGCGTGATTGCAGAGTTGAAATGGTGTCTGCCTGGATGGTCACTGTGTCCATAATGTCGTCCACTCTGTGCTCCACTTGCCCTGTCCGCTCCCCCAGATCAGTGATTTCTGCCCTCAGGCTCTGGAGCTGCTTCTCCAATTCTGCTGCCATGTGATTTTTTATATCGGCTGCTGCCTCTTTAAGCAGCCGCTGGAGGTCGGCTTTCGTCAGCGGTGCTGACTCCGGAGCTGAGGGCTCGCTGTGCTCCGTGTCAGAGTTTTCAGCGCCACGTGGGGAAGATGGCGCCGGGTCCCCCTGCACTCTGAAGTGCGAGGCGACCGACGGCTGCGTGTCCCGGTTTTTCCGGCTGCCGCCCATTGCTGTGGGGTACCCGGTGGGTGAGTGAGTGAGTTGGTTGGTGGGGTTTGCCGCCCTGCCAGTGCGCTTTGGGTTGCTGTTATGTGCCTGGGTCTCGGGAGCTATCGGCTCACGCGGCCATCTTGGTTCCCGGCCAGGCTCCGCCCATCCTTTGCAATACTTTTTAAACCTCACCTTTTTAAAGTCCTTTATCTTAAGTTACATACAGAAACAAAACAGACAGCATCCACATTCTTCTAACATCGTAACCACATCCATGTGTTTATATGGTTATGGTGCTTGGTGTCCCTTTTAATATTGTCATCTAAGCAATGAATGGCTTATCGTCCTAAAAACCTTTTGTGTATGTACTTATTTCCTGGAGTTAGATTTCTCTATTCGGACTATGTAGAGAACTTTCCCTAGGTGTCTAATTGTAAACTGTTGCATATGCTCAGTAACTTTTATTTTTTTACTTAATTTAGCAATATCTCTAATATTTTTTTATTTTTTTTTTTTTATTTCCTATAGCTTTGATGGAGATGATTTTGATGATGCAGAAGAGGATGAAGGACTTGATGATTTGGACAATGCAGAGGAGGTAAGAATATTAAAGTAACAATGCACATATTTGTGTTATTACATTCTTAAAGGGATATGCATCACAAGCAGGGGAACAAGGACAATGACTGCTCTATAAAACTGCTTATATTGCAAGACTCTAACCAGCTTACTCCAATGCACTCCTCATATTGGGCATCACGCTGGAGCCAACCAGCACCTTACCCTTTTCCTCTGTTAGGACCATGAGCCGATAACGAATATGACCTTTAGCAAAACAAATGCTCCCATCTGAGAGCCTTGGTTTTTAGAATGCTGCTGGATTTAACCTAAAGCATCACCTTCAATCCAATGTTATCGTTGCTACAAGTTCTTGTAGTTATTATCTTAGCCTTCCTGTTGGTATTTGTTGTGCAGACTGTATTACTATTGCTGCATTTATTGTTTTTTTAGCTTGTACAATGTTATTAAAAATTATCTATATAAATGCTACAAAACATCTTAAAAGTAAATCAAACCAAAATTAACTAAGAAAAACTTTGATAAGTATGTTTTACAAACTTGCTGCAAACTCTGTCAGATTGCATTGTTTGGCAGGGCTCTTAGCTGGAGGAGTTTCTTCAGCCCCCCATACCAGGCTATCTAAGTTTCAGACCAGTCCACTAATGGCAAAAACAGGGCATCACTGTGCAGGACAGAGAAACATGATCTGCATGATCAGACTCCCTATCTCCTTTCCCTGTCCGCGTCTTGCAAGCTGAAGAGATCTTCCAACTGCATGTGTGGAACTCTTTCGCATGTCCAGTGCACTTTTCCATCATTCTTGAAGATAAGACACTAGTTAGATCAGTGCCCCTCCTTGAGTGGTTATGGAAAGCATAAGAAAGAAGTACATAATTATGTAAAAGGGAAAAAAAATCAGTCTGCAGAGAGAGGCTAAAGCTTCTGCATGAGACGGTTATCTCAAAAGTAATGCATGTCCCTTTCATTGCACCTAAATGCTTGTTCTGTATATAGACTAAAATGTGTCATAAAATTTATTTGCATATGTTTACATATTTTGGCCAGTGATAACCATGCTGACAGGTGAATGAAACGTGCATAACATTTAATTTAAAAAAATTAAAGTTGAGAGCATCACAGTGCTTTCCTTAAAGGACCACTATAGTGCCAGGAATACAAACTCTTTTTTTTCCTGGCACTATGTAGTCCTTAGGCCCCCCCTCCCGCTGGGCTGAAGGGGTTAAAATCCCTTCATCCACTTACCTTTATCCAGCGCCGGGCTCCCTCGGCGCTGGTGACCTCTCCTCCCCCTCTGATGTTGGCTCCCAAGTGGAGCCGCGCGCGCATTAAAAACGCCCATAGGAAAGCATTACTCGGTGCTTTCTTATGGACATCAGCGTCTTCTCACTGTGATTATCACAGTGAGAATTGCGGAAGCGGCCTCTAGTGGCTGTCAGTGAGACAGTCACTAGAGGCTGGATTAACCCTGCAGTATAAACACTGTTTTCAGCTGCAGGATTAAAACTAGAGGGACCTGGCACCCAGACCACTTCATTAAGCTGAAGTGGTCTGGGTGCCTATAGTGTTTCTTTTAACTATCAAAATAAAAGATTTCTTATTGAATCATGTCTATTTTAATTATAATGAAAAATACTTCTCCTCTTCAATTATACCTTACGCGAAACATAATTCTTGTCTGTTGTGCTTTACATCTTTTTAATGTGTTTTGTGATTTCTCAATTCAGGAAGACCAGGAGAATGTTGCGATTCTACCTGCTGGAGAAGGCCAGCAAGCCAACCAGAAACGCATCACTACTAACTATATGACAAAATACGAGAGGGCACGTGTGCTGGGAACAAGAGCTCTGCAGATAGCGTAAGTGTGTAGTAGCAGAATCAAATTCCAGACCTAATGCTGTAAGCAGACTGTTCTTTTAACAACTAGAAACTCAGAAGGTTCTCGGAAGAGATCTGTTGGCATTGGTTTGGGTGTACAGGCTTATAATAATTTATAGCTATATTCTTAAGTGGAGGTTATACAATAAAGTGGAACTATCACCTGTGAGATTTTCACAAACCAAATAAAATTAGCTTTGCATTGTGCTATTATTTATTATTGCAAGACTGTAAAATTTAAACTACATCAGTCTTATGATGTATTATATTTAGAGTTGTTTTATTTTTTCATGTCTAGCATAGTGGAAAGTGTATGTTTATTTGGATGTCTGTCTACAAAACATTAATGGCAATCATCAGAAGTGATTTGTATGTTGAAGGGTATCTTATTTATAGTTAAGAGGCACCCTTTGTTTACTGGATTTCCTGAAAATGGATTTATCTACAACCAGCACGAGAGAATTTCTCTTTAAACTGTAGATTATTCCTAAATCTTGTAGAAATAATAATAATTTTGTTGATGGTGATGTTCACTATTGCTGTAGGATGCCATGGCACTTAAAAGAAAATAGTTGCGTCTGACTTTTGTGTGTCTGGGAAGTCCACCACAAGATGTCATTAGAACACAAGGCACGCATGTCTTTCTCGCTGTCAGCTGAAATCTGTTTTGATTAGCAGTGCATAAGTAAGACAGAGACATTATTTATCCAGGTTCACAAAGGACAAATAAGCTTAATATCTACTTCCTGGTGGCTCAGTGACATTAGTGAAAGGTATCCTGCTCAGGATCACCAAAGACATGCACTGCATTTCCATAGCAGATTGAGTTATTGCTCAGTTGAAGTGACACTTTACATTTTGAGTGGAACTATAATTCTCACAATGTTTGGCACACCGGGCCAGGAGTTGTAGTTCCTTTTTGAAGACGGACAGTCTAGTTTCAATTAAACCTTGTTAAGTTTGCACCTTATGTGCGCCTCTGTAGTTAATTATTATTTTTTATTTTATTCTTTATTTGTGCAATGACAGAAATTGCGATATATCTGCAGTATGGAGGTTTGTGCAAAAGCCATAACATGTTTTACACAACATTATCCAGTGATACAGAAAGGAAAAGTTATTTAGTTAAGACATGTTTTTGTTATACAATGGTAATTGGCTCGGTCACAATTCGTCAAGGTTTTTGCATTTTCATAAAGACAGAAAATCAGTAAAAAAATAACTTTAAAAATTAGCATAGCCTAACAGAGCAGTGTTACTGATATAATTCTGAATGATGTGAATTGGCAGCCTCATAGTTGACCCTGCTACAGGGGACGGAGAGCTGCGTTGCCCACCTATTGGCCATGGAAACCACCCCACGTGCACCCCCGAGAGTCCACTTGCCAGGGCTCTTTTATGGGCTATGAGCCCAGACCCCAGCCAGAGTTCCCCCAAGGGAACCCAAAAAGCGGTGCGGGGAGCTTCCTCTAAGCCCCTTTTTAACTCCTTCCTGTTTCATCATTATTCTCTCTCCCCCCTTCTCCTCCTTTTTAAAGCATCAATTTTGTTACTTACCAACTCAGCTGTGAATACATTTTCAGGCGATCAAGTTGTAACAGAGGTCAGTATGATCTATAGTTACTTTTATTAGAGAACACCTAAATGTCAGTATGGAATTTCTCATTATTCTTAGTTTGTGTTCTTAAGTATAGGTGAACCTATAGAGCTACCTGTTTGCGTTCTTACTCCGTAAGCAGCTGCTTCTCAGATAATGCCATTTAACACTTTGAAAGCCAGATACTTGTGCAACAAACTGCAAAGCAATTCTCTTGGCTTGTCTCTGGCTCTTAAAGGGTTAAATGCACAGTGAAAAGTTTGCACTCTGTAAAACAGTAGAAAGATTTTCAGGCAATGGCATGAGGACATTTATTGCTTCTAGATTTTAATGGGATTCTGTTGCCATTTACATTTAACAATTTAATACATGTTTTATAAACATTCCGCTAGTATTCACAACTTTTCCATATCTTCTGTTTTTTAACAGGATGTGCGCCCCAGTCATGGTTGAGCTGGAAGGAGAAACAGACCCCCTGCTTATTGCTATGAAGGAGCTCAAGTAAGATTTTTATACATATATTATAATTTTCCATATGGATAACCATAGCCGTAACCAGAACAGGAATTGAATTCCTATGTATTCTAAATTACAGGCAGCTTTTTATCCCTACAAATTTAGCTGCCCATGTTAGGAACACCACCCACTCCACCACTTCTTATTAAGAGGATAATCCTAAGAGTCCCTAGTTTTCTGCCGGTCTCTAAAGTGAGGTTGTCAGATAGCATTTCTTCATTTTTTATTTTAGTTCCATACCTGCAATAGGTGAGATTGCAGTTGGGCAGTATAGGGGGCTTACAGGCCAGGTCTAGAAGCACGCTGGGGAGCTGCTTTACCTAGAACGTTTGTCTGCATGTACCCTCTCCCGGCGTAGAAGCGCTGGAACGCATGTTGAGTAGCTATGCGTTACAGCGACATATAGTCTGCTCATCTCCTTCCTCCCACATGGCTGGAATTGAAGGGGCATCTGGTCACAATACCGAAAGGTCTGTATAGGTCGTGAATTTTCCTAAAGTGCCATAACCTTTTGCCCCAGGGTACTTATATATATTTTTTTTTTTATTATTATTATTTTTATATTTTAAAATGTCCTGTATAACCACATGGAAATTGAAGTGTTAATTGAATACTTACTTTGTTTTTGAATAAGCAATCAAACTACTTCAATTGTTTAATAAAGTTGGTGGTAAGCAGGGTTCTGTCACCAGCCCTGTCAGGGTGAAATAACTGAAGTTTCCTAGTCATGTAATATTCTTCTACAATCTCTATTCCTTTCGATTAATGTCTACATATATTGAAAGATCATTTTTTCTTCCCACAGAGCTAGAAAGATACCTATAATCATCAGACGCTACCTACCTGATGGCAGTTACGAAGATTGGGGAGTGGATGAACTCATCATTACAGACTAGGACCTCACAAGATACTGTGGACTTTTCCAGCCTCACAGGAACTCTAAATATTTTATCAATCTCCACAACATTTCTTCTTTTGCTGTTGTACATAGTTTGTTTTTAAATAAATTCTATATTTGGTAAATTCTAAAAGCTATGTGGAATAATTCTAGTTAAAATGACCCGAGGTGATTTACCAAATGTTGATCATTGGAAAATTAAGATTGCAAACAACATAAGGGACAGGTAGTCTGTGTTGCAATCAAACGCCACAAACTTAATTTAATAATTGTATATCTCTTTCTACCTGAGAAATATGTCATGTTATGAATCGTAAGGCATAAAGTTTGTCAACTCTTTGTTTTCAGAATATCCCTTGCTAACATGAACACCAAAATTGGTGTCTTCTAGAAAAAGTAATTACTCCAATCCTCTTTTGAGCAATGACTATTCAAGCACATAAAGAGAATTCGTGCACCTGTTTTCTTCGATGCGCTCTCTTCCTAAACCCCCACATCCATTCCTTACCTGTTTTTGGTAGAACAGTAAGCCTATTGTGTGTCTCTCCCACTGCACCTGTTGTCATGGAAACGCACATGGTTGGGACAAATTTCTCAGGAGTATCAGAAGGCAGGATGAATCCCACTCTTTGTTTTCCAAAAATTATGGTCCGTTGCTGCTGCGTTCCTTGTCACACCTGGGGGACTGCATAGTCATGATCACAGTGCTACTGTTTGGACAGTAAATGTTTTCATAGACTTGTATCTGAAATATTGATTTGATGTTTTCAGTACTGTTTTATTTCAGATACGTCTTCCCAATTACAAAGATAAACACCTTGTATGTTAACATTTTTTTTTAATGGTAGAAGTAAAACCAGTTGATGGGTCATAATTACTCATATGATGCATGTTGTGAATGTTCTTTTTATCATGTGTGATAAGAGTTGCTTTAAGTAAAATTTGCAGTACTTGATCCTTTGGATTATACAGCCTATACAGCTTTTCAGAGTGTACCTGTCATATTACCACACCTCTTTAGCTCAATTTAAAGGTATACTCTAAGTGCTGTCTCAACTTACCCTGCAGCCATTCGTGGCTCTGAGAGTACTACAGAGATTTGTAAAAAGAAATCACTGCACATTCAAGTCAGGCAGCATGGAACAAGAGTTCTGGTCTGCCTATATATCAAACCAAACTTTGTGTTTTTTTTTGTTTGTTTTTTTAATCATATTTGATGCATTACCTATGTGATAAACTGTAGGGCAAGATACACAAAATAGAAAGGCAAACTATCTGGGATCAAAACAAAAATCACATGCAAAGACTCAATAGATGAGGAATAAAAACATTGTCATAGTGAAGGGAAAAAAACTGTCATACTAAAATGCTCAGGGGAACATCATGACAACTCTGACCCGTTGGTACACCATTGGGCAGTTCTTTTTAACTGGTCTAATCAAACATGTTTTTACTGCTCATTAAAAAAGCTTCAGATATGTTTTTACTATTTTGGACCTGAATAGTTTAGCTGTTTTTACCCCGCCAAAAAATGTAATCTCTAATTTGAACTATCAGTATTGTTGACAAATGTTTAGATTTTATAAAAAAGCTATGCAATTCAATGTCCTTAATTCCTAACTGTCAATTGGTCCTCCTGCTCTGCATACTTTGTAGTTGCTGTGATTACTTTTGCAAGACTGTCTCGCACATGCTTGATACTAGGAATAATTGGGCATATGTAGCTCTGTTCCGATGCCTATGCAATGAAGTTAGTGTGTGGGCATCATGGGAGAGAGGATTGCCTTTTTTTGTTTTGTTTTTTTTAAAAGCAAACTGGCAAATTGCACCAAAACTACTACAAGCTTCTTAGCATCCTAGCTTAAGATGAATAAGTACATACAAAGAACAGGTAACCTGGCAAAATTCTACAGAGTATAGTTCCCTGTAATTGTATACCCGCAGGTATCTTTGCTTTTAGATTTCTGGATTGTAAAACCACCTCCTTAAGTTTCTGCATTATGCAGGGCATGTCTTCTAGAGTTTGTTTTGGGAGCTTAGAAACCTCTACAGTTCATTTCAGCCCCCTGTTTATTGAATAAGGTGAATAAAAAGGGGATTTAGGGCCCTGTACAATCCTGGTTTCTACAGTTTTTATAGATGTTATTTGTTTTAGGAGTTGCTCTTTCTCCAAAGAGTTAATAGCTCAGAATCATCTGACAACATTATGGGAAATAACGACACAATTAGCTCATTGTTCTACATGTCATATGACAGATACATAGAGCCATAGCAGTGATTTGAGTCAGCAATGTTGCTAGTGCAGTATGTCTTGTCTGTATTAGTCCCTGAGTTGCTTATTGCACACCAGGTAAGTGCATATAAAGTGTATATTATCACACCAAGGACACATACCCTCTGAACTGAAAGCAAGTGTACTAGAAAATAAATATGGCCTTTTCATGGCTTCCATTGCTTAGCTCCACTGTTAGTGCTGGCTGTGGAATGCTATGCCTAGCTCAGCTGAGATTCTGTGTGCTTTACCCTCTAAAGCTGTATTAATAGCATTTCCACTAGTGCCCAGCTCTATCCTAGCCACCGAGTGCTGCTGAGATTACCTGCAATTTCTGCTCTCATGTGATGCAAGGGCCATGGCTTTAGCATGTTGTAATGTAATCCGACATGGCACTAATGAATAGAACAGATTGCACCAGAAAAGCAGAATGTATTTCTATTTTATTAATCCTTTCAGGACCAGGGCTATGCATTTCCATCAATTTGTTGTTTAGTTGGATTCTGCTAACCGAACATGTAGCTTTTCTTTTGTTTCCCATTCATTTTGAATTCCAAAATTAATATAAATAACATTTGGTTCAAAGGGTTCAATCTGCATTAAAATGCATCAACATAATCTGTAATGTGATCTCAAATACCACACTTTTTGGGTGGAATATAGCTGTTTGAGACATTTTCCCTTTCAGATATTTTGACCTAAAATACATCATCCTGTTGTCAGATTTTTTTCACATTTTCCTCTTTACTTAATAAGTCCTTGCAGTGCAATGTAATGATTAATTTGTCAGAACAGGGCCATTTTGTGTTAAATGTGCACTATAAATTTGTTTGTTTTTTACCCTTCCGTGGGTTCATGAAATTCAGAAGGTATTTTTAAAAAAAAACTACATTTCAGCGGTGGAGCCTTGCTACTGAGCTGTGCAGACGTGTGGAACTTGAGCTCTTGCATCTAGGACCGAATTTGGGTTCTACACCTTGCTATTGAGAAACTACATGTACCAGAGATCACCATTTGAGTTGGAGGACCCCGGTGAATGCTCATATGTTTAATTTGGATTACTCTATACCTGAAAACCCAGAATCTCAACCACGGCCTACTGCGCACAGAACTTAGAAAAGGTGGCCAATCTCTTCGAACTCAAACCCCTTGTTTGGACCACTCCCCCTTCCCTTCCAGACCGATGGGGAGAATGCCAGTCCCCTCTGGACCACCATGTGCCATCAGCACTGCAGTCACCTTAGGCTCAGCTGTACCTTCACCACATTGGACTCCTAAGATGGGGACGGCTCTTCCATCTGCAAAACAGGGCCTGATCCCCCCCTCGAATGTCTCACAGTAGCTCCTGGAGAATATCCTAACTCTGCTTGATACTGTCTTCCAGAGCTTCTGGGCACGAATCCATGATCGTGAACGAGCAGCCAAGCTGGGGCAGTTGGAACTGTGTGCAAGAGGTGTGCAGCCGAAGCAGAAGAGGCCTCCTCGGAGTGACCCTGTTCTACTAGCACCTACTCATCTTGACGTCTGCACACCTGGGCCAAAAGCCCTGCAAGGCAATGCCTTGATGCATCCTCCACATCAACAAAAGATTACCCGCCAAAGGCGTCTTATAACATCAAGATCTCCTGTTGACCCCAGTCGGGGAAGGCCTCTATGAGCAACCGAGTCTGTGGATTAACGATGCTGGCCCTCATCCTTGCCTGGGGCTGGAGGAGAGCCCTGCACCTGCAATGCCCTGTAAAAACTAATTCTGACATCCCCCGATCATACACTATCACTGCTGCTAATGGGAATCGGCTGAGCTCGGTGCCAGTCTGCTGCAGTGCAGTGAACCCAATATTGGAGGATGCGGTTTGCTCTATCACACTTGCCCTGTGGCATGTTGCTACTAGAAACATAGAATGTGGGTTAAGTGTATGGTTAGGGTTGGTTTAGGAGTAGGGTTAGGGTAGGGTTAAGGGTAATGTTAGGGTAGGGGTAGGGTTAGGAATAGGGTTACCCCTAACTCTACTCCAACCCCTAACTCTACCCCTGACCCTACCATTACCCCAACCCTCTCCTGTTTTGCCACTTTTCAGAAATCCGAAGCACTTTGGCACTTCCGAAATTCGTCACTTCGGCAATTCAATTCGGTTTGGCACTTCCAAAATTTGGAAATTCGGCACTTTGGCAATTCGGTTCAGCATTCCGAAATTGGGCACCTCGGAAATTCGGCACTTCGGACATACGGAAGCAACCGAATGTCAGTATTTCCGAAATTCGTCCGAATTTGCATTCACATTTCTCTTCAAATCTTTTTGCTCCAAGTCTAACTAAAAAATCCTGCTTAAGTTCAGTTCTTTCTAAGAGTGTTATCAAAATCAGCATCCTTTTCAGTCAGGTTGTGAGATCTGTATTTTTCAAAGTTTATTTTTTTTTTTTTTTTACCAATAAACAACCATGAATTTGGAAAGCTGGTTAAAACAGGGAACTCTTCAGAGAAAACATAACTACTTCTCCCTGTTTGGCACTTAAAGAAACTGAGAAAGAAGATACAACTAAAGGTCTGAAATAGCTGTATCTACTGTTCCTCAAATAGCAGAGACAAGTGACAAGTCAAAAAAAAAAAAAAAATAAAAGCACACAATGCTAGTCAATCTTCTTCTCAAACAAAGATAATAAAATATGATGATAGCTACTTGTCATTTGGATTCACAAGTGCCAGAAATAAAGATTGTCCTGAAGCACAATGCGTACTTTGCAATAAAATATTGCCAAACAGTTCATTAGCACCTGCTAAATTACGTTGTTTTTGAGAAAAACCACGCAGAGTACAACGATAAAGACATTGACTTTTTTAAGCGAAAGCTAAAGGAGTGTAAGAAGAGTAAACAATTTATGAGCAAAACATTTCAAAATGCTAATGAAAAAGCCATACTGGCTTCTTACAGAGTGAGTTACCGCATAGCACTTGCAGGGGAAGCACACACAATTGGGGAATCACTAATAAAACCATGTGCAAAAGAAATAGTGTCATGTATTTTAAGTGAGAAGTTGAGTATAAAAATTGAAGCTGTGCCACTTTCCAACAACAGACATCCATACTGAACTAATTTCTCGACTGCATCAATGTGATGGGTACTAACTGCAATGAGACAAGTCCACAGATGTTGCAGGACTTTAAATTTTGTTGTTTTTAGTTAGATATAATTTTGACAAAAAGATTGAAGAAGACTTACTTCTGTGTGAAACTTTGAAAACTAATACCACTGGTGAGAACATCTTTAACTATATCCAGAAGTTCATGAACACACACAGTATAAATTGGTACAAATGTGTAAATGTGTGTAGTGATGGTGCCAAGCAATGGTTGGGAAAGCGGCAGGCGCTGTGACACAAATAAGAAATGTAGCAAAACACAGCACCAGTTCTCGCTGTGTTCTTCACAGACATGCACTGGTAGCTAAAAATATCTAAATCTCACTTAAAACTGTGCTAGACGAATCAGTCTAGATTATTAATTTTATAAAAAGTCGACCATTACAGTCACGACTATTTAAAATTATATGTGAAGATATGGGTAGTCACCACTCTGCTCTGCATTTGCATTCAGAAGTCCGTTGGCTATCACAAGGTAAAGTCCTTGTTTGAATTGCGTCAAGAGTTGTTTTCGTATTTCCAGGATCATAAATTTGGATTATCTGATCGATTAACAAGCACTCTGTAGTTATACAAAGAAGCATATCTTGCAGACATATTCACAAAATTAAATGACCTATGTTTATCACTCCAAGGAAAAAACACTAATATTTTTCATGCAAGAGATAAAATATTTTCACTGTCTCGTAAGCTGCAGTTTTGGACGTCATCTGTTGAGAAAAATAATTTGAACTCTTTGCCAACATTTAAGGATTTTCTTGAAGAATCAGAAATTGAACTTGAAGATGAAATTCGCAATGAAATTGTAAATGATCTTTGCCATTTAATCACATTTATTAATCAGTATTTTCCATTCTTGAATGAAAACGATGAGTGGGTTCGAAATCCATTCATAAAAGACAAGCCAGCCAATTTTTCTGATGTAGATTTTGAGAATCTCATCAATATAACTTCTGACAGTCAACTAAGCCAAAAATGTAAAGAAGTTTCTCTTATTGCTTTTTGGGGTGATTTACTCAAAGAATACCCAGAATTGTCCAAGCGGGCAATCAAAGTTCTGTTGCCATTCGCCAGCACATACTTATGTGAAACTGGATTCTCGCTTTACTCTGCAACAAAAACAAAGTATCGAAATCGACTT